TAAACCACGCCAGTTTCCGAGAATCTTTATTATATTTTCCAAGATGCTACATGGTAAAGCATATTCGCAGATGTGCTCATGACACTAATTTAGAACAAGACCTTTGACGAGAGGAGCTCTTTAATGAAATCCAAACATGTCAAACTGAATTTGCACGTGAAAGAGTAGCGTTTGTTGGAATCGTTAATACTCGACGCTCGCTTAATACATTTCTCGTTCGCTTTGCACTGAATCTGAGATAGGATCGAGTATGGAAGTTGGCCTTTTGCCAATTTTCTTTGTTTTGTGTTGACGTATCTTAGATGCCTGGATAGTTTACGCACTCACCTATATATAGAAAAATAGTACTTTTGTTATACTTTTCTTACATTGTATCGTGTTCAAGTCATTGTTGATTGCGCTTTAGTTTTTTGTTGTCGGTGCTTAATGAAAAAGTTTGGTTATCTATTTTTGGTACATTCGTTCAAGATGTACGTTCACATAACAGGATTGACTGGAATTGTCATATGCTCATATCCCAGGTACGATGACGGTATCGTTATTTCCTATAATTAGTTACTTTTAAATGTCGCCAAGAGGAAGCTAGCGTATTGTAATATATAAGTTATTTAATCAAGGTCGAGTAAAAGGTCACGTAATTTTTTAACCATTACATCCGTTAGAGCAGATTTGAGACACATTAAATACTAGCAAAGAATGATTTTCAAGTTTATTAAAAATACATACTAATAAAAGCCTACCAACTTAAAGCCAATATTTTCTCAAATTAAATTCTATATCACTCCAAAGCAAAGGCCGCAGAGATCGTAACGTAAATAAATATTGATAAAGCGAAGTTGGCCGGATTGACTATGACATTAAAAAATAGTAATGACAATTATTGAATGTAACAAAAAACCCGTCTTCATTGAATGTAATAACTATTCGTCTTATTTTTTCGTCGCGGATACCATTTTGGAATATTATACCCTATTTCAATTCCATAACTGAGACGATTATATCTGTGGCAGGGCCACGCAACGGCTTTTGTTTTTGCACGAATGGGCAGCTTCGTCCGGGGAAGTACCACGGTCAGAAGACCGTCGTGAAGTGGAAGTATTGAACTTTCGCGTTTCCTCTGGCGAGTGAGGTAACCGGGGCACACTTTTTTAAAGATTGCTAACGCGTTGGGTGTTGCAGATATGGACGGCGGTATTCATTTAACCTTAGATGAACCGCCTGCTTGTTTGATAACTTTTTACATAAAAAGAAATTGATTAACACTTCAACCTCACCTGTATATTGTCAACAGTTCCTTTAACAAATCCGTTAAGTATCTTTAAGACTCGTTATTGTGTAGTGTGTGTCAACTAACTATTTAGGTGCTTCTACTAAAATTAGAATCGCGAAATCTGTTTGTTGGTTCGCCCTCCTTTACACCGCAACGGAGCACGGGATCCATATAATTTTCAGCAAAGATATAGTATACAGGTCAGAGAGTCACATGGACTACTTTTATGCCGGAAAAATTATAATTTACGTGAGATAGATCTGGAAAGTATTTCTAGGCCATTATTTTAAGCCAGTTTGGTCCATAAAAACGAATCCCATGCGATTTCTGTCGCCGGCAACAATTAGTTTAAAGATAAAAAAGGATGTTTCAGATTTATACGTAAAACTGACGGAACAGTCTTGAATGTGGCTTTGATGACAGTCGTTATAAAAACCGGCTAAGTGCGAGTCAGACGTACGAAGGTTTTCGTACCATTGGCAAAATATCATGTCTGTTGTATTGGAGCCCCACTTAAATATTTTTTATTATTTGTTAATATAGCGGCAACAGAAATACATCATCTGTCCAAATTTCAACTTTCTAAATATCACGGTTCATGAGAAACAGTCTGCTGACAGACAGCGAAATCTTAGTAATAGGGTTCCGTTTTACCCTTTGGGTAGCGAACCCTAAAAATGTTGACACTTGCCACAAAGCCACAATAATAGACAACTTTGAGAGAGGCGTAATGTGGACGTCATATTACCGAACAGTAATGTTTATTTAGGCCATTTTGAATCACATGAGAAACGGCACTGTAGTTAGCAGCTAAAAACATGTTTACTGCTGATACAGTAAGGTCCAAAGCCGGTTTTAGGATTAGATAATCTGGTGTACGTTCCGCGAAAAACGTGATCCGTAATTGGGGAAACCTATAAATTAAATTTCACTAAAAACAATAATTGAAAAACAATAAGTAATTTTCCATAATGGGGTAATAAGTTAATGAGATTTATTTATTGATATTTTCATGTTTTTTTATGTGAAAAGTGGCAAACGAGCTGGCGGTTCACCTGATTTTATGTGATAACCGCCGCCCATTGACATTTGCAACACTCGTAGGGTTGCAGATGCGTTGGCACCTTTTAATAAATTGGTTCTCCGCTACCTCACCAGACGAAAAGCATAAGTGTAACACCGGACTAACCTGTCCATTCGTGCAACAGCGAACACTGTTGCGTGGCCCTACCACAGTAAAAAAAATCGCATAAAATAATCTCAAAGCTATATGTTGTCCAATATTGAATTTTTCTTATAACCATATCTTGAATGGTACGGACGAGGTCAATGTCTGTCTTAGTTATTATCAACGCAGCAACAATACGTGATAAGCTTTTGGTCGACAGCTCCTTATCGAAATAAAACATTCAAAAAAATAATTCCCTTTTATACATTTTCAATGTTGAAATTCTCGTGTAACCTCAATATATTATAATATTCTCCAATGCGCGAAATTGGGCCTCTGGACCTCGTCGGCCTTTGAGTCGGACATTAGTCCAGTAAACGATTTACAGGCGTCCAACGCGTATCTTTATTCTGATTAGAGAACATATGTTTTTAGAAAATAGCTTACGTTTTGTGGTTTATGTTTTACGAGTGGACCGCAGTTGACGGTATAGATGATTAATATCCGGAGTCAACTTCACTCGGGCGCTTTATTTTTTTTAATTTCGCGCGGCGTAGAAGAGCGAGAACATAGGAAAAAAAATAATTAAAAAGAAAAGAAGAGTAAATTTTCGCTATACATAGGAATAAATGAGTTTTAATACATTGAGAAAAAGAGTCGATATTTTTCTTCCGACTTCTAAAAGTCTCGTTTGTTGATCCTCGTATTTGGTATAAGGATGGTGCCGTGCACACTAAAACTCTATGGCTGTCTGTATATCTCTGTTAAGAAGACAACATCAATTTCATATCAGCATAGAACTTGTATGAAACGCATTAGAATAAAAAGGATGCGTTGGTTACAGTAGGTAATTTAGATATAGACGGCACCATTGTCTTTAATGAAAAGAGAAAATGTTCACACGCAAAATTTTCTCAAATGAGAGAGGTTATATAAAAATTTGCCCGCTTATATTCTTAATTAGCGTGAACCATTTCTCTTCAGGAATACATTCATACAATGACACGTGAATTCTTAACTATGTTAATTAAACATTTATGACAAGACAGTCGATAAAATCGATGTTTCAACTAGTATATCCATACATTTTGTGTCTACAGTAAACTGTAGCTGTATCCTGGTTAGCATCAAATGTTTTATTGGACATTATTCGCGCAGATTTACGAGTTCGCGGAAGCCTGAGCTTTATATTACATCATCTGTGTTATTTTGTCGATCGCAAGTTCATGTTGGACGTATAAATCAGCAGGCTTTACCCAAAATGTTGACCGGTAATGCAGTAAACGTCTAAAAGGTCGTACCTCTCTATCGCATTGAGTTGGACCTTGCTGTTTTTATAGAGCGAGGAGAGACATAATCTTATGCTTTAACACTCATTTTTATATTTCACTTGGCTCTGGTTTGAATGGACTATTGATATTGAATAGACAGAAGAGAATAATAATGTGACTATGTTAGGTAATGCCCGTCTATTTTATCGAAGTACGATATTGATAATACAATCGGACATACTGTGTTTCAGTTATATTGGCGCCTTTGGTGACACAGGTGTGCTTTGATACGTAATTTCTTAAAGATAATATGATATCGAAAAGGAGGTTTATAAATTTGTTGACTAAAAACAATAAAAAAATAGATTGAATTTGAACAATTATCGCATAGATATAAAAACGTTAAGCTTGTTTTTTTTATGAATCATTGGGCTTAAGCGAATACCTACTGCCCATTGTGAATATAATTGTTTTAAGGATTTTATCGTGCTTAATTTTTTAACTTCCCGAATTCACAGATTAGATATCTGTGTCCCGTGTCCATTGATACTGTAAAGCATTTGAAACGTCGAGTAGTTAATCAACAAAACTCATAAAATTATAATAGTAAAATATAATTTTGTTTAATTAAATAATTGGATTCAACTATAGAATTAATTACCATAAATTATAAGAATGCTCTAAATATTACTTTTCGAAATTTTACCTTTGTGTTTATAATCTTAACATTTTTCGGATCAGGTAACAACTAATATAAATATTTCGCCATTGTTTGGCAGTTTCATGACGTTTCAGCATTTATGCTATCACACATCGATAAGAACGATAATTGAATCTATTTCGCGCCATTTTCTAATCTTAATTATTATGATGGGAACTGTTCCAAGAAGTTCCGCTGTTTAATTGCGCCTTGGATATCCAATGCAGCCCCGCTGTGCAGCTCCCACACGAACTTTACAACAGTTCGATACAATGACGGCATTGATTCGTGTGTATGGACATATGCTTTCGCAGTTTTAAGGTCTTCTGCCATAAATTTGCGCTCCTATTCATCAAGATATTTGGCTTCATCGAGAGTACATTCATAATTAGTCTCATTCTAAGGTATTTTATAGTTAAAGAAAAACATTGTTGTAATAAATATGTATTCGATGCATAAGTTTTCACTATCTCTATCAGTGCAAATATTGCAATGGACTCCTATCTTATCATAATGTTAAATAATTTAAGGACCATTATATTATACATGTGCTTTGTGAAACTGTTATTAATGAAGCTAAAGGATGGATTACCATGACTGTGGTATTGGTGGCACTTCTTTGTAATACCTGTTGGAAATAAGTAGCAATTTTAAATAGAATAATAGATAGAATGTCCTCGAGAAGGTTCTTCCGTAATTTACCGGAAGCCTTAGACTTAATAACCAGGTTAACAATGGCAAGCAATTCACCGCTATATTACATATAAACATTGTTCTTAACATGTTTTTCATTATTTGAATCTCCACATACGCTATATACGAGCTCAGAGATGCTCAGAGATTTTTGACAAATAAAATTCGGTAGAGCAGTTTATACTGCAATTTTTCGCTTGGTGCTGGTGAGTGAGGTTAATGGGCCCGCTCATTTAAATTTTTAGCAACTCTGTTACAAATGCACTGGCATCGTGGAATTCTTTGAGCGGGTAATCACTTAGCATAACATGAAACGGTTGCCCGTTTGCCTATTTTTTTCTTAGAGATAAATTAAATTATCTCGGAAAGATAATGAGTCTCCAGAATAATATTATTGCTATCTAAAGCAAATAGTCGGCTTAAATTTTCATAGGGATGTCAGTGGACCACGTTTGAGTCGCCGGTATTCGTGAGAGGCTAATAGTACGTTGCTCCACATTAGTTTTATAGTTGACCAACGTCCTTATCCATCACCGCTGACCTGTTTTCGAATGGCTAGTGTTTCTAGATGTTCTATTAGTTCTAGTAGTTTCCAGGTGTTCTAGTAGTTTGTTGTTCTCATCTCCAATATGTTTGTTAATTAAGTCGCCTTTGCTTCACTTTTTAGTATCTATTGCTGCTTACTCACCTTTAAGTTTGCGTATTATTGTTACTAAAATTTAGGCATTGGGTTTATGAAATTATCTCATCCTTATATACCTTACGAAGCCACCGAGAGGTGAGAAAGCTTTATCATGGAGCGGCACCAGGACTGTAGAGGATTGCTCCCCGTTCGGCAGTTTGACGAAGTATTTAACGCTGCTCGGAATGAGGACACCTGAAACGGACGGAAACGGACGGCAATGTTTACACTATCACTGTAAAACACGCAAACTGCATATATGGCACTGATACATAACTAGTACTTGGTTATAGAAACTAGTTCCTAATAGTACATGAAATTTTATCCAGTCACGTTATACATAACATTAAGATGTGATTACTTTGTTTAATTACTGTGTCATCGTAGTTTTATATTATAATTATTATAATTGTCCAACTAACCTTTTGCGTCGTATCTATACTTCCGCAGCAACGAATGCATGTTTGGATTTTGCGCGTTAGAGAGTACCACAATTGCACAAGGCTATAAATAAAAATGTAATTTATAAATATAATTTCATTTGCAGCATATTTTTCCTATATACGAAATTACGTGTAGTTGGTACCTTTTTTAAGTTATCCTTAACTTGCTTCTCCACGCCATTTCCACTGTCGTCCGATTCTTTGTTTCTGAAAATTCTCGAATTTGTATTCGTCAGGCCGAAAGTCTTTGTTTCGTATGCCGTGTCGTCCAACGTCGGGACAGCCTCTTCGTTCATGGGTAATAGTCTCTGTAAATTATTAGCAATTTAATATTTAGTGTATACGGCACGTTCAGAAATCGTGGTGATACTAACTGCGTCGGTTAAGAGGCATATTAAAACACTCAGAACTGTTGGAAGGAATAAACCCCTCATGGTCGTATCAGACGAGCGCTCTTGCCAGAACTGAAACTGGGTTGAAACGTTGAAAAAGAGGTGCTCTATTATTTTATAAACATTTACTCGCGTTACAATACGTAGAGAAACTACATTATTTGGTGGATGTTATGAAACAATTGCAATCGTAGAATGTTGCCTCAAATAATGAAGATAGCTGAACTAAACACCAGTGTTAGTGATGAGTGTCAGCTAGAGGAACCGTATTGACAATGTCTGCTTTCATAAATATTTTGTGATTTACATTGCTCGAAGTGACTTCATATTTTATTGCTCTCTTATTAACGACCCCTGTGTTCATCTGAAGTGGTTGCAAACTGAGTAAATTTATTTCCAGTCACAAACTTTTGTTAAACGGTGGTAGAGCCAAGCCAGCCTCGGCTGTTGCACGAATGGGCAGGCTCGTCCGGGTAAGTACCACGACCTCACAGAAGACCAGCGTAAAGTGGAAGTATGACAAATACTTTCGCGTTTCGTCTGGTGAGTGAGGTAGCCGGAGCCCATTTTCAAAAGGTTGTCAACGCATCTGCAAACCCTCGGGTGTAGCAGATGTCTATGGGCGGCGGTATTCACTTAACATCAGGTGAACCGTCTGCTCGTTTGGCAACTTTTCAGATAAAAAAAAAACATTTATTTATTTACAAAGATATAACATATCTAAATGAAATATCGATTAAGCTGGAGTTGGTGGGATACATAAGAGTGTCTAATTAAATTTTGTATATAAGAATAATTACACTTGTCTGTTTAAAGGAAACGCACATCCTCATTATAGGACTGATAGCTTGTCCGTTGACTTGGCACCGTCCAAATAAATTCTATATAAAATAATGTCTCCTTGTGTAGTATCTAATGGAGTCTAATGTCAGTCGTTTGTTCTACCAAATCTGCTGCGCCCACGCAACGCCTACGATACTTTGTGACATACACTAGACTTAGATCTCTTAATCGAAAACTGTTCTTCTATAAAAAACTGTATGAAATCTCTACATTTAGAATTGATTGGAATTAGCAACGATCAATTATCGTTTTCAACTTTATGTGACCTTTTCGAATATCGGGGACTTCCTTATTTATATGATTAAAACGTCAATCAGAATTGTTTTATATTTTAATTTTAATGCGTTACTTGACGGAATCCATTTCAAGTTATTTATTTTATCATTAAGAAATCGCGACAATATCCACCATGGTTTTATTGTTATTATTGAATTTTATTTAGATATAATCTTCACGTTTCAGATCTTTGCTTTCCAGTGCTATGATACTACTTCATTTTACGTCTGTCACACAGATTCTAATTTCTAACTGTCATTATGTCTACAAAAGTTTCTATAGACTATCCGTGATAGATGGTGATGCCATAACGCCATTTTGCGATCTTGATAAAACTTCTATCTCCAAGCTGGTCGAATGGTCAGTCCCTTTCTGTTGCTATCGTGTGTCAATTGATTGACAGTTGCGGAAGATATAAAATGCTCGGTTTTAGGTCAAACGCATTCAGATTATGCCTGTGTAATAAAAACTAGCCGTTAATTCACTAATAAATATTTCGCGATGGTGGAATAAGTTTTTGGGGTTAAAAAGACCTGTTTCATGGCGACTAAATGAAATGTTGAGATGTTATTCTGGTTTGATTTGAAAACATTGTTTTATGTTTCAATTTAGATCTTTTTTTTAAATCGTTAGTTGAATATTTGAGGTATTGATTCATGCGCGGAAATTATTACATAATTCCGAAATACCCGTAAGCTTTTCGCCATCGACAGCCGATTTATATCGCTACAGATTTTTTCACCCACGTTTCTTAAGAAGGACGAAAATAGTACGTGGTGGTGCGAATGCAGGGTTGGATGGTTTGCAGTTAGAAGCGGAATTTTGTTAATCGTGCGTTACGTGGAATCATTTTAAAATCGGAGCAATAATGGTGCTCATATTTAAAATTATAGTATCGGCGCATTTTAAACGAAGTTCACATGATACTTAATGAGGTGATCAAAGGTGGAGACAATTGAATACGTTTGACCCTACTTATTCGGTGTCTTTGGCTGAGCAATGAGTACATTGGGCATTGAAAACGCATGTATGCATAGATTTCGCAGCCTACAAACACTGGAGATATATTGTCAATTTACTAAATTAGATTTAACTTGGTTTTAATGTGTTCAAATAATTTTTCGCTTGACGAAATTTTATGTGCAAAAATTACACTCCTATTTTGTGCATAGAGTGCATCGTCACATTTGGGTCTAATTTGGCTGAATGAAAGAGATAGCATAAGCTGTCTCTTTCCTTCCCGTATTTTCAATTCACGTAATTCCCATTGTCTATCGCAACTACTGCACGTTCTATCTGGTAACTCTACGTTGTATCTTGTAATTTATATTGGCATAATTTACCTTTTCATGGATGATGTTATTGAAACCACCAATTGGTTCAAATGAATATTCATTTCAGCTAATTAACTCTGTGCCCTAGGCTCCAGTTCCTTGCGTTCATCATAATTATGTTCATCGCCCGGCGTTATCCTCTGTGGATATGGCATAATTTGTTTGTTCTTGGTTATAGAAGCGGATTTTATGCTGAAAAATTTATTATAAAAATACACGTTTGGCGCAATGATTCAAGTCAACTGTTCAACGACCTTGTGCCTATTGACTCTTCGTGGACAAAATTTTGTGTAATCCACAAATGGCTGTGTTAAGTCTTTGTTTTCGTTTTGTCCGTGATTTGTATCCAGAGTTGGTTTTTTGGCTATGAGTTCGCGAAAATCTCGAATTCTGCAGTAGAACCACGCAACAGTCTTTTCTGCTGCACGAATGGGCAGTTTTGTCCGGGTAAGTACTACGACCTCACAGAAGACCGGCGTGACATGGAAGTGTTATACTTTTGCGTTTCGAATGGCGACTGAGGTAACCGGGGCCCACTTTATAAAAAATGTGGCAACGCGTGGCAACGCATCTGCAATCCTAGGGGTGTTGCAAATGTAAATGGGAGGCGGTTATCACTTAACATCAGGTGAACTGCAAGCACGTTTGCTTCTTCCCACATAAAAAAGACATTAATCTATTTTTATATATATTTTTATAAAAAAAGAAATTTTTATTGTATTTTTACAACCTCTAAAATTATCATAGTTTTTCTACTACATTATGCATAAATTCAACACATCAAAATCCGTGGCATAGTTTTAAAGATCCTAGCATATATAGGGACAGACAGACAGCGGGACGACTTTGTTTGATACGATGTAGTGATAACTACTATTGATTACGATTTCCATCAAGAATGTAGATTCTATTATATTTTATTTACAACTATCAGATTGTGGCGAAACTTTGGGGGAAGTGGTGTGAATACGCCCGCGAAAGTTTCTTTGTTGTTTAAAGAAAATAAAAAAAGGAAAGAAGGTATTGCTAGTGCTGTGCTGATTAAGGAAGGATCAATCCGTTTTTTTGCTTTGCACAGTTCAAATATTAAGCTCGGCTCACTAAATTAAGCGAGTCAACAGAAGAATCGACAGAAATCTCTTAAGCGTTTTCCTATTTACTTCTAAATTATTCTTAAATCGTTTTACTTAACAATATTGTGAAACGTAATCAGGGAAACAGAAAATTACCACTTTCTTTGTCAAAATAGGTACATTAAAACAAATATGAATGTGAGTAAGATCAGAACAAAATTAAAGTATCTTGTTCCATTGGGTATTACACTAGAGAACAACTGGCACACAATACGATTTCTACTTTATATTGTACTTGACTTGTATAAATCATTCTTAAAAGCAAAATTGTATAAATTTTAAGACACCTTCCAAGCAAGCTTCAATGTCATCGCGTCATTAAGCGTTTTTGCCAATTAACCATGTGAAATAAAAAAGAAACTCATTATAATATAACAACTATACTTCATGTAATTTACGTCATAAAATATACAGGTTTAGATGTTTCTAGAAATTTTGGCAGTCTCTTTGAAGATTATACGATTTTCACATTTTAATAAAAGTAAAGTAAAGTAACAGCCTATACATGTCCCACTGCCGGGCAAAGGCCTCCTCTATACAGAGGGTATCAGGGCATAGTCCACTACGCTGCCCCACTGCGGATTGGCGGTCTTCACATATTTTCGAAATCTATTTTTTTTTGTTGTTATTTCGAAAATATGAAGGTTTCCTCACGATGTTTTCCTTCACCGCGGAGCACGTGATAAGTCAGCAATTAAAGTTAAAAACTTCATTGGTGCCGGCACCGGGAATCGAACTCAGGTTGCTCGAGTATATTGAATTAAAGGCGAGCGCCCGGACACTGAGCTATCACGGCCGAAGTAATCAAACGGGTCCTGGAAAGGGCCTATAACCATTGTCAGATCATTTCTCATTTTAATGCATTACGAAATATCTTAATAAATAAAAATGAATGTTGGTAAGCGCATATAACTCAAGAATGGCTAGACCAATTCGGCTAATTTATTTTTTTGTATGTTCCTTAAGGTCCACGGTAGGTTTTAATACTATGAAATTAGTAATAAGAGAAAATTTGAAGATAAGATACAAATGAATTTGCTAAGGTCCACATTAAAGAAAACAGTTGGATACCGACATGGAGTGTACTCCTCTATTTCTTACAAACTAAACTGTGTTAAAGCCACGTGGCAGCTTTTGCTTCAAAATATCTTCGGGAGTAAACAACATAGTAGACCTCTAGTAAACATGTTTTGTCAGTGATTCCCCAACTAATTCTTGTCGCGAAGTCCTAATGGCTACGTCAATCCCTAATGAATGTAATAAAATTGTCATTCGAGATCCATGTAGTTGTGTAGTATAACATTTGATACATTTCTGTTTAGTACTTTCTAGTTTTAGAAATAATTAGTCGCGCATCCCACAGTTTTGTCTTAACATTGGGTTATCCCATTGATCGGCTTTCGGAAATGGAATTTGGGAACTTTGTTAACATAAGTAGTATAAATATTCGCTAAGTTCAGACAAATATTATTCTAAAAGATAATTCTAAATGCTTCCTAATGGTATATATATTTGTCTATTTTTCGCGTGTTAGACGGCTTACTGGTATAACATATGTGTAGCGGAAACTGGTATCACATTCCCTCCACAAGGAAACGTTTTGCAACCGTTGGTGAATTGTTATATGTTGACATATCCACAAAAATGAATTGGTTGATAATGAACATAGTATTATCTACGGCCCAGTTTAAACACAAATTAAACCTATAGCATATAGGTTTACTTACATTCTTATGTTAATGCTTTTGTTTATACTTTAGGTACGCTTATGTATAACTCTGATTAGTTACAAAATAATTAAGTACTAAGTATCGATGAGTCAATCTCTGTTTATGTTTAGAAACTGAAAATAGACATGAAAAAGCCCAAAAAACTCACTAATATGGTTTTAATGAAGTAATTTTCGCTTTATCGTCATTTGTATTGAACTCTAAAGCTTTATGGGGGATTTTGAATACACGCGTCAAAGTTTTTTTTTTTTAATTTTGAACTGGCCAGCACTTGATTGCCTATTACTATTTATTACTTATTAGAGTTTCTGTTTATTCTTAAATCATAGCAATATCTTGGACTCAGGATGGCTCGGTGGCGGTTGCCTTCGACGTCGGGGGTCGTGGGTCAGATTCCCACACGGGACAAGTATTTGTGTGACCCACAGATAATTGTTCAGGATCTGGGTGTTTGTTTCCCAAGGAGGGTTGACGTCAGGCAGGCGGCCAGTCGTGAAAAAAAAATAGCCAAAACTACTCACAACATCATTCACATGTTGTGCCGACCCAACCTAGGTGGGATAAGGGCGGGAGGAAAAAAAATTAAAGCAATATTTTGTGCTATTTTTGTTTTAATTACGGCAGAAATTCTTTTCGGTACGTGACCTAGTTTCTTCAGTCTTCGAGAGTTAATACCGTTAGCAACAAATCACTCAATAGCACATTGCAGAGATCGACCCGAGCTTTCACAGTTTTAGAAATATCAACCTGAAATTTCCCTCGCTCGTGCAGTAGTGTGTATTTTCGTTTTACTAGGCTAAGTTTGTTCTTCTAATATTCACACTGTGAGCACTGTACTTTTTTTTTAAATGCTAGGATTTTGTCGTGATTGTTTCCGTTCATGCTAGGAATGAACCTGTGAAAGTATTCGAAACGCCGGGGATTTATGTTTAAAGTCCTCAGAACCTTAGTTTTTATGCTTTTCATGCATCACGCAATCCCATATTTATGTGTATAAATTTGTAAAAGTGTACAAATTAGTTTTCCTCTTTTTAGGGTTACGTACCCAAAAGGTAAAATGGGACCTTATTGCTAAGACTTCGCTGTCTGTTTGTCTGTCCGTCTGTCACCAGGCTGTATCTCATGAACCGTGATAGTTAGACAGTTGACATTTTCACAGATGATGTATTTCTGTTGCCGCTATAACAACAAATACTAAAAAACAGAATAAAAAATATTGAAGTGGGGCTCCCATACAACATACATGATTTTTTTTGCCATTTTTATAGATAGTGGTACGGAACCCTTCGTGTTCGAGTCCGACTCGCACTTGGCCGGTTTTTCTTTCGTTTTTTTTGTAAGTGCTTATTTTTTTGTCTACTTTAACTTTATTCCATAATTATGTATTTAATTTGTAAATTGAGGTTTTGTGATGTCTTGAATGGTTTCTGTTCTATTCTAAATGATTCACGATAAAATCATAAAAACAGTATCATTTTATAAATTTGTTTTTCTAAAATATTGCCTTTATATTATTGGTGTGATCAAAGCAAATCATAATGAGCGAAATTAGGGGATTTGGCAACAAAACATATTTGGTAATAAGTGTTTTATCACCAGTTTTGTAGTTGCTAGGTAAATCTCGCGACAAGCTTTTATATATCTTTTAATAAATTATGCAGTACTAAATTGGTTGATTTGATTTAATTCAAAGTTTATGTTTTTTTTTAGGGCAATCAAATAAAAGTGCTTTTAAAAAACTTTTTTCAAACCATCAATTTATTTTACTATGCCCGTAAGGATTTGTATTTTGGACGCTTACAGCAGAGGTTATTTTAGAATAATGTTTTATTTTATAATAAGTTTTCGTCTAAATAAGCAAGTTTTACCTGTTTTCCGATGATTATTCCGGTTCGTTTATCGAGTCGTTTTATCATTTGACTTTTTTTTAAACATGTTATTAATGTTCTATACAACGCAACCGGTTTAAGAATTTATTTTGACGTGTTTTTTCCTTCATTATTGCGCAACGTCAACATAATGTTATCATCTAGTGCGCGCTGATTTATATTTATAATTTTCTTCTATTTCTGTGCACTGTAAGGTGTATACATCGCCTTCAATTTATAAAAATAATAACCTACATTTGAACTTTAATGAACTACCTATAACAGTAAAGTACTAAATGTAGTTACAGATTGTAATATATCCATCTAACTGTTATAATGTCGTGACCTCACGTATTTTCGGTAGGGATGCCCAATATCCATATTTTATCGCATCGTGACCGTATTGAATGCAATTGCATTTGTACCGATAGGCGAAATTATTGTATCCCTTTGTATCGATATATAATATCGTAACTCTATCGTTTGTATATAATAATCATTATTTAACAATTTCATCGTGGTAGGGCCACGTTGCAGTGTTCGCTGTTGCACGAATGGGCAGGTCCGTCCGGGATAGAACCACGACCTCACAGAAGACCGGCGTGAAGTAGAAGTAATTTAATCTTTTGTTGGAAGATTGAGAATTTAATGATTAAAATATTTGCGACAAGTAGAATAAAGTTTATCATTTCGTAAAAAAAAATCATTCCTTTAAAAATTTCTAGCATCATGCAGTTCACCTTATGTTAAGTGAATACCGCCGCCCATGGAGATCTGCGGAACTCGAGGGTTTTTAGATGCGTTGAAAAACTATTGGGGCTTAGGGCAAATCCGTCACTGTTTCGGCCGGTAATTTATTCAGGATCAATTAAGCTCAAATGTGTTCGTCGTTTCAGGTCGACAGGCAACTTCGCGGCGGGCGGTGCGGGCGCGGCGGGTGGCGGGTGCGGGGCGCCCCGCTCCGCGCCCGCCACCCCTCTGCAGCTCGAGCCCCACCCGCGCCCCTCCAAGCACGACAAGTAAGTTACGCACCCGTTACATTCTCGCTTTGGTTTCCTGCCATGTCTATTCCAGCTCCTCCGGTTGGCAATGTACTTTGAAGTTTTTAATAAAGTACGTTGAAGTTACTTTACGTGGTAAAATCCTCCATTGTTCCTTTTGTTGTGTGGAAGGAAAAAGAAACTGCTAAAATTTGGCCAAGTCTTGACGGAAACTTTCTTCCTGCTTTAAAACTACTTTATGCCTCTTCTTTATATTGTTGGCTATAACTCTGCGCTATCAGAGCGTGCTTAAAGTTGCCAGTTCAAGTAACAAAAATCCTATGTCCCTCATATAGCAGTTTCGACCCACTGTGCGTCGTAGTGGAGGTATGTGGCACTCCCGTGCGGAGCGGGTTACCCATTGATTTGTCCTGGCCTCCTGTTCCTGTTGCCGGACAGCAAAGATCGGGCACCCGTACAGTGGAGCTGGTGTTGTAAAGACAATGAAGAGGAGAAGAATCTTGTACTTCAGTTAGGTCGGCATCGGCTCATTATTCCAATATTTCTGTGGCATGTATTTCATTTAATGCTACTTCTGCCTTCTCCGTTTGGAATTTAGTTTAAATTCCGAAAATGAGTATTTCCGCCATGTCCGTGTGTGACACAATCGCAGTCTAATTAACTTACTAATCTAAATAAAAATGACCTTGTACCCTTATCAGTTTCAATTTAGAAAGTGTTCATGTAAACAAAATAAAAAGAGGTAATCGCGAAGTAACTTTTTAAATGTTGGTAAGGTACAGGGCGCGTTTCGGGTATGTTGATGAACTCGATTGAAGGAAATCCCTTGTATGTGGTGTTCCTTAGTAGGACATCGTATATTGCACGAAGTCGAAGAGTTCTGCAGACTTATTTAAATAATTTCTGCCAAATATCGGCCAATTAAATTTCTACAAGATCGCTGCTGCTGCTGGTGAAGGAAGCTTCAAAAGAGATTATGGACTCTGGTGATGCTAAGTCCCGAGAAATGGAATGAGCAAACTAGTTTCATTAGTCACAGTTTAAATAATTCGTCTTCTCTCAATCTCGTTATGTGTATTGCTTGTATTGGCCGTTCCCCTGATGTTAAGTGATAACCATGGACATTTGCAACGCCCGTGGGGTTGCAGATGCGTTTCCACCTTTTAATAAATTGGGCTTCGGTTACCTCACTCTACAGACGAAACGTGGAAGCGTAACACTTCCACTTGACGCCGGTCTTCTGTGAGTTTTTGGTACTTCCCCGGATGGAACTGCCCATCCGTGCAACATCGAAGATTGTTGCGTGGCTCTATCAAAGTTAAAAAAAATGGGTAATATTTCCGAGAAATTAGGTAATCCATTTTCTTGTTTTTTTTTAATGATTTGCATGTATTGATTGAGGATATTTTTATGGATTTCCTACAGTAAATCAACAATGTTTGCTTTTTGTTTCGCCATAAAATTGAACGCGTCTGAATCGTGGTTTTGATCGATAAGAGAGCCATTTTAAATTTTACTTTTTACTAGCTACGTCCGGGATATCACCCGCGTGGTGATGATATTGATGATGTATTCTAGCTATACTTACAGCAAATTTTATTGAAATCTATTCGGCCATTTGGTCTTCAAAAGGTGACAAACAGACAGACATATAAAGTTACTTTCGAGTTTGTATATATATTCATTATATATTTCGAGGGATAGAAGGAAAAATTTTCTTCTTATAGTTAAGTTTTTACAGCTTATGCGTTTCACATACATTTTAACTATGTTCTTTAAAATTTTTAAATGAAATATTTTTTTCATTACTATTTAATAATGTAAGTGGACTTTTGGTACCGTTTCGATTGAAAGTTAAGTCAACTGGCAAACTAATTTCAATAATTAGCACAGTTTAATCACATACACATAGATAGTATGACGTTCCATTTTACATATGCGTGGTGCGGAGTCCTGTAATTTTTCTAGTCCGTGTGAAATCGTATGACCGTATCTTTTTTTATGTGAAAAGTTGACAAGCGAGCAGGCAGTTCACCTGGGGTTAAGTGAATACCACCGCCCATGAACATCTGCTACACCCGAGTGTTACAGATGCGCTGGCAACCTTTTGAAAATTGGGTTCCGGCTACCTCACTCAAATGACGAAACGCGAAAGTATTTGTCATAATTCCACTTTACGCCAGTCTTCTGTGAGGTCGTGGTACTTACCAGGACAAGCCTGCCCATTCGTGCAACAGCCGAGGCTGCTGCGTGGCCCTACCACAGATCTGCTTTAAAATACACAAAACCTTTATTAACGACCGCAAATACTGGTCTTTTGCCACTTGAAGTTTCTGAACATTTCGTTCTTCTGAACATTTTCTTAATTTAATATCTTTACATGTCTTATGCTATTGTTGTGACAGTGCGGAAATCTCTATATATATTAAAATAAATCGCTGAATGTGCTGCTAAGAGCAAATCTCGAAAACAGCTGATCCGATTTCGCTAATTATTTTTTATAACATTCCTTGAAGTACGAGGATGGTTCTTACGGAGAGAAAAATTCAATTGCCTGATAAAGTCTATCACTTATCACTTTTCTATATTCCCGTACATAAGATTCGTAATAATACTTAAAAGTCAATTTGAACTTTAACACAATAACCATAAAGTTTAAGTGTTAGTGGAGAAGTTTCGGGAAGGCAAAACAAGTGAGTGACTGTGGCAAAATGTCGCTTGAAATGTAAACGTCTCTGCTGTGCATTGCTACATAATATAAAACAAAGTCGTCCCGCTGTATGTATGCTTAGATCTTTAAAACTATATAACGGATCTTGATGCGGTTTTTTTTAATAGATAGAGTGATTCAAGAGGAAGGTTCATATGTATAATACCTTGCACCCGTGCGACGCCGGGGCGGGTCGCTAGTTAAATATAAAAATGGTAAAGCGTAGGCTCGGAAATGGCTCTAATTACATATATCATCCTATGGTGCGAGTGTCCAAAGTGCGCCAACTATCCCGGTCCTGGGCAGACCGCATCCATCCTATTCCATCCTAATTATAGATCAGGAGTGAATATATGGTTTACTAAATTATAACATGAATCTACTTAAGTCATATTTAGATTTGTTATATATGGCATAAAGTAATTGATATAAATCATCCTTATTTTTGAAGCGTACCTATAGTAATTTATACAGTCGAGTATTGCCGCGTCACGAGCCGCGTAGTAATAATACTTTGCCGGGTTATCAAATTCATATTTTATTTATAAAACAACGATAGCGTCGGTGTAATACGTAGTAGGTGCCGCTTAAATTTCATGTACAAATTGTCGATCGAAGCTATACTTACGTGCGCAATTATGGAAATTAAAAATGTCGGAATTGTTCGTCATTTGGACGGAAACGTCTTGCGTTTGAGAACGTGAATTGTTGTTGTTTGTTTGTAAGAACTAATCATTTTTACTGACTTCAGTGGTTTCTCAGTCTTATTATAAGCTCATTAAGTAATGCCGTCTCCTTTCTATATTTTTTCAATAGTTATTTGCAATAGTTTTTGCAATAGTAATTGCCGGGTTGAAACTCCGATACACCTGGTAAACCACCACTATATAAGATGTTTTGATTGTCAGTTTTTGGTCTGGAAATTTCTGTGCCGTCATATTGGAGCATTGGACTTGTCAGAACGTTGTCGAAACAACCATCCTTGGCCAAGGCTTCGTCTTTGTTGTTCCATTTCTGATTACACTTGTGACCACTGTCTAATGAAGCCCAATCCTGCAGCGGTCACCGTTTTGCACGGACGATAACCACAATCGGCGATTATGCGGCCGGTCGCCATTGTCTGTTGTCTAATCAGTCGCTTTTGTGTCGCGATCTAAGCGCAACGTGTGCTCGCGGGCGAATTTTTTATTTATTTATTTTTTTAAAAACATTGCCCTTACTTTAGCTTAACATTATCCTGTGTTGTGAGGACGTTTTACGAACGTAAATTTCATTAGGACTAACACCCAGATCTCGTGATCGGTGGCTTACACAAATAGTCGTCTCGTGTGGGGATCGAACCCACAACCCCCGACGCCGAAGCCAATTTCTGGCGACTGCGCCACGGAGTCGACAAATTGTTCGGCGTGGGCCGTTGTCGCCGTCGAATTCGTTGCCATGTGGCTGTGATGTGACTGGGACATGACGGAACCCCCCCACCGAGTGGCGGAGGGGCACAACCCATGGACGACAGTCGCCGTCGTCAACTATCTTTACGGCGGACTGAGGTAATACGCTGTCGGCCGACCACAGCTTAGATTTGCGTCATATTTCATAAGCATGGTGTGCTACGCGTATGTGATTTATATTTTCCCGAATATTTACTTATGACTGACGGACTAACGATGCAGAGTTGGAAAGATTTTGACATCAAGACCATCAAGTCTACTCAATCACTGTCTGATAACCTTGTTTGTTTACCTGCTGCTGTTGCTAATACGTTATCGTGTAGCGTTAAACTGTGACAAAGCGCCGTTTTACGATCTCTTCTCGCTTCGGTAGGACCAAACGGGTTGACCTCTACGGAACGGTTTCGCGGATGACTGGCGTGAAGTAGTAGTATTCAGGCTTTTGATTGGGTCCAACTTAAGGCTGGCAACGCATCTACAACCCCTCAACTATAATCACTTAACATCATTTGCACCGTTCGCCCGCCAGTTCTGTTTTGAATTTATTGTCTCCATACGGTTGTATTATTTTATACTCGGGAAAGTTGTTATCTATCGATGTGGCTCATGAGGGGCATGCGAATTCTATGTTAGGAGTCGCCGTGCTTATTCTTAGACTATGAGGAAATACGTCACATGGTGAGTGAAATAATAATGTGCTCGATACGTAGGTTCTGTAATAATGGGTTTAGAAGGGCCTGTTTTATTTATGTCCGATTATTTTTTAAACAACATTGGGTGGATGCTGTCTAAGTTAATTGTAAAAGAACAAATAATCAGACACCACCAAGTCGAGTACACGTCGTAGACAAATTATGATACTGTAACTATCACATCATAATCATTTTTCCTATAGCTATAGTGACCATTCTATACTGGCATGATCATATTCTACTACTATGATGAGGTACTTTCCAATAACACATAGCCCCTATTGCAACCTTCTCTAGGTTCAACAATATCTCAAAACGTCACATAAATAAATAAATATAATAATAAATAAATATACATAATAGCATAAATAAATTCCAAATGTAGCGGTTCACTTCTGATTTGATTCCGTCGATCAAATTACACTTATTTGATTTTTTACGCTCGCCTTTACTTCAATATATTCGCGCAATCAGAGTTCAATCCCCAGTGCCGGCACCACCGAAATTGTTAACTTTAAATGGTGACTTATCACGTGCCCAGCGGCGAAGGTTTTCGAAATATTAAAAAAGAATATTTCGAATGAAACTAATTTTACGGATTTATCGCGTTTATTTTTAATTTTAATTCCCGACGTTTCGAACCCTTTACAGCGTTCATGGTCACGGGACAGACTGAGGTGTTAGACGTCTGATTGTCATAGTTAACCCGGGCTACCGTCAGTTTTTGAATTATTAATTTTGTGTCCGATCTATGCAGAGGGAGCTAATTGTACCTTGTCTTGCAGTAGTGGTTCGTTTGGGCCTAGATTTAATTTTATTGATGACAGGATCCCAAGCTGATGGTAGTACCAAACCTTCTTCTCTATTGAAATTAGGGTGTTTTTTAATTTCAATAGCCTCGCGAATCATCCTTGAGAGGAATCGGTGTTCTTTTGCAAGGATCTGTGGTTTGTCAAACCTGATGTAGTGGTTGGGCCTATTGAGCACATTTTGAATGCACTACTGCAAGACAAGATACAATTAGCTCCCTCTGCATAGATCGGACACAAAATTAATAATTCAAAAATGACGGTAGCCCGGGTTAACTATGACAATCAGACGTCTAACACCTCAGTCTGTCCCGTGACCATGAACGCTGTAAAGGGTTCGAAACGTCGGGAATTAAAATTAAAAATAAACGCGATAAATCCGTAAAATTAGTTTCATTTATTATGTGTAATCGCGTAAATACAAGAAATTATTAAGAATATTTCGAATATAATATGTGAAGTCTGCCAATCCGCATTGGGGTCGTAGTGGACGATACCCTCTGTACAGACGAGGCCTTTGCCCCGCTGTGGGACATGTATAAGCTGTTATTTTACTTTACATTTACTTTTTACCTTACGGAAGGTAATATAGTGGAGCTACCGCTATCTCAGTACAACAGTAATTGCGTTAAATGTAAGAGCACTTGTGTCTTCCGATGCCGCGTCATACTGCTGCTCCATTCAGATGAAAACACGCGTCACGGACGCGAATCTAACAAGTTGTGCCCATTTGTCCAATCAACATAGATATTATTGACGATCCCGTTTCGCCCTCGGTTCATGCAGATCGCGTATGTACGGACAGCAGATTAATTGGCACGATGTAAAGTTGGAAATACATTTTTAATTAACTTTCGTTCAAAGTATGTCACACGAGAAAAGGTCAGGAATTAGGTCATCCTTATTTGTGTTTTGCTTACATATATAGATTTAAATTCCATCATTTTCAGTTTGACAACGTAAATTTTACTTGAATTGTTTTTGAAACTCTACTGGAATATAATTTTAGATCATCATTTCAATTCGATAAATTATCCAAATAACACGTGACATGCAAACATTTTGTCTCGCTAACATTATAGCTTCTTATATAATTTTATAATTTAGAAAATTGTATCATCTGATACATTCACTTATATGTCATATAATTTAACGCGGAACAATTTTGAAACGTTGCGCAGTATGGACATGCGTCATCTTTATTAAAACATCATTGGCCTGCACTGAGATTTGAACCCAGGTCGCTCTAGTATGTCGTGTGGTTCAACAATCTACTTCTATTTTTTGGTCAGGTAAAAAGGCTTAGGTGATCGTGGTCGAGTAGTTTCCTCAAGTAGATATCGCGCCGTGACGGCTCTACGGAGTATGGGTTTATTTCACTCGCGTCCGACTAAGCTCAAAATGCGCCGATCGCCTCATCTCGATTCGAGTTATGCCGTCAGAAGTCCGCGATATTATGTAAAACTTAATTACCGCTACGTTGCACCGCTTCCGTGCATTTGGTTTATAAAAGCGAATAAAGTTTAGCAGCGCATAATAAAAGCAAGTTTTTTAAGAAACAAATAAAGAATCAAAATTTAAAGAAACAAAGAAAAGAATTTGAATAATAATAAGTGATTACTACGACTGAGAAGTCAAAAAGTTTTATGCGGAATTTGTGAGCAGCTGTGCTCAGAAGCACCTTGAGGCCCTAGGCGATGCGATGTTATAATCATTTACTATGGCTTCATAGAGCGACTCCACCGGGAATGTACCAGGGTATTAGAAACAAGTACAGCATTTTTATTGACAACGGAAAAACTGATTACAAATATCTCATTCACTCCAAGAGTTCCCTAACGTTTCTCCGGAGCTCAAGGTCTAGACAAAGGAGCTGTGCCTAATTGACAGGTCGTAGTACTTCCACGGATGAGCCTGCTCAATTATGCAAAAGCAAAGATTGTTGTGTGACACTACCACAGTCAAAGTTATTACGTTTTATCCATACCATATTTACCAACTTCTGAATAAATGTAAATAGTACACGCATTATTTCTTATTGACACGATATAACCAGGTTTATAAGTATTCAGTGTTTACCCCTAAACGTAAGTAAGTCATTCTAATGATAATTTTGTTTTTAATTATGTTGTATCAAGATCAACCGACGAAATACGTCTCTACCAAGCTCTACAACGAGAATTTAACAAAAACGGTAATATATTTTTATATTGCATTGTTTTGTAATTCGTCCCGGCTCAAGGTCTGCGAACAGTTTTATAATAGTATAAACATAATGCCGGACTAATATTAGAGTATCTAGAATTAATGAGTACCAAAACAGTTGTTCAGTTCGTCAGTCTTGTATGGCGGGTATCTGAAATGCCTCGTAATACATAATAATGCCAAGGCGATACGATATTATATCTGCTTTATAATTAAAGATTAGTAAGTGACTTTTACTATTTAGGTAGTTAGATTTTTTTTATTAAACCCATTTTTGAACAGTTTTAATAAATAATTTTCTTTTAAATTCGGCAATTGCAATTTCTATCAGATTTTTTTGTGCTCATTCTAGAGATTATTTGTACTTTGAAAAAAAAAAAAATGTTTCACAAAGAACTATTTATTTTAAAGGTATAATAAACACGTTTATAACAAATAGTTCTTTGTGCAGTCGTGGACGAAAATTATGATTACTTTCGGGTGGTCAATTCCTCTATGATTACTCTTCTCGTCGCATTTAGTTTGGTTAAGTGACGCCAAGATCAACATTTCGTCATTGTGGCATAATAATTACTTAGATGTAAAGAAAACATTTTTTATTAACAAGAAACAAATATGTATTTTTCTTCCTTTTCTCTTTCTCATTATCTGTTTGATTTTGAGGAGTTCCCTGATGTATCTCCGGAGACCAAGGTATCGATGGAATCAATCTGGGGTCACATGGGGGCTAAACCGGTTTTAAATCGTTTCATACATGACGGAGTTCTGATGCGACAAAATTTTTCGAAAGTCGGTTGCAAAAAGATGCTAAATGCATAAAGTAAAATTAGGAAGGCACCACCATCAATCCATATTGACCAACCTTCCCGATTGTTAATACCACGGAGGTATTAACAATCGGTAAGGGAAAGTCTTCATCTCGCTTAGATAATTATCACACTCAGACAAGACGGAATTGCTCGGCGCGGCGCTCTCCGCGATTGTTTTGTCTGACCGTACCGGCGTGTTGATAAACGGGCCATTCTTCACTTGGTCGCGTTCGTTCCGGTAACGAAGTTCGCGAAGTGCGCCAGTGCTTTCCCGCCTGGCAGCCGCGTGGTACGTTCGCGGATCGGTACGGTGCGCTGTCGACTTTCGGCCACCGCAGCCGTCCCGACGATAATGGAGAGGCCGAGACGCGGACGATTCGAGCCAGCGGCCACCGCTTTGTCGGCTAGGACCGCCTTACCGACGCATAACGGTCCGTCGCGGTGCGTTACAAGGTCGACTTGGCCGCGAACAGATCCAGTCACTCGTCGCGTGCGTAACTATCGCCGAAGCGGTGCTAGTGTTGTGCACGTAATCCGTCCTCCTCGGATACACCCCGTTATCTTATCGCCGCGGTGATAAATTAATCCGTATTCGATATGCGATCGATAGCCCTGCCACGGCATTATCGTTATAACAGTCACTCCCTCGATCCCGACGCGTCGCTGGCGGTGTTTTTCCTAAATCCGCGCGCATTTTATCGGATAGGTCGTGGTAGTGTGCGCCGCTGTGCGAAATGCGCTCGGAAGGTCGCTCCAATACGTGACTCCACGTGTGGGTTAGCACCACGCTCCTATTGTTATAAATACCTTCGATTCGGTACCAAAGAAATTGTAAACTAGCCGTTGCCGTATCGCAATGAAATTGCTGGATTCAATTCTATCGTTACCAGGCGCCTTAGTAAACGCGTTATTAATATTAAACTAACGATAAACATGCCGTATAGTAATTATTTGTACTTGAGTCAAACCGAACACTTTATGTACGTCAATCAACGTACTCCCGTTTCTCAGTCGGAATGGTATTAATCGAACAGCTCGACGTGTCATAAGGCTTTGATCTCTTAACTTGTTCTTCCATTACGTCAGCAGCACGCGTTTGTGATTCGAACTTGAAATAACTTCACATATTATTCTTATACAGTGTTGTTATGTATTATTCGACAGCTGCGCACACTGGCGCGCTAGACGTACGGAATTTATAATGGAACACGTGTACCTCGAATGAAGTTTGTGAAGTGATTGATAAAGTGTCGAGAATACGCAAGCATGGTGGACAACGTCTCCTTTGAATACTCCGACGAATCGAGCACGGAGGGTTCTTACAAATTGTACACGAGTCAAGCGATCGATGGGTAAGGTACTTCTTCGTATGTGATTTATCATGCGTTTCGTAAACAACACCAAGTTTGTTGAATCTGAGTCGAGTCAACATTTTATCGATAAGGGAATTTAAAACGTAAATAAATTTTGCCGCTCTTTACGATGTGTTGACGAAAGTAGGTCTCTCAGAATATGAAATATAACCTATCAACAAGACTACAGTATTGTGAGTTTTGAATTTACTGACGCTTGTTCTTTAAGCACACATCGTCTTATGTTTATTGTGAAATAGCTAAGTAAAATTATGTCCTGGTTAGGTTATAATATTTAGGCAGATTCGCAAATTTATTTTCCAAAAACACGTTTACATTATGAGACCCTACTCATAACCGACGAACAATTGAGTTCAGTCCACTACACTTATATTTCTAAAAACGATACACCAGATGATCCTAGATTTTGCTGTGGTATGTACAAGTTCTGCTGTTGCAGGAATACCCGGTGAACCACGGTCTTAGAATAAATAGATAACCGGCGTGAAGGCGTCGAGGATTACATTATCACATTATACTTGCGTTTCGTCTTAACGAGTGTGGTAAGCCGAACCCACTCTTTTAAAGGTGGACACGCTGTAGATGGTCACGGTATCTTCACATCAAGTAAATCGCCTGCTCTCTTACTACCGTCTCAAACAGTTGGACAGAACAAAAAGTTGGATTTCAATTAAATCGAGCATTTCTATGTTGCAATTTGAGATGTATTTAGCTTAATTGTCATTTATTATTATATAGCTTTTGAATGCACAAATAGGGTCAATGTTTGCTCCTTCGCTGATGGATTAGGCAACGGTATGTCAGTTTCCGTTCTGGAAAATTTAGATTTTACACTAATCGCTTCCGTAACCTTTGCTTTTGACATACAGTGGTCATGGTATTTTATTGCTAATTGGGTGGTCTAAACATCGAGGAACGGGAGGCTTATAAATAAGTAGTATTTTTGCTTTTCTGTAATTAAATGAAATTAATTTTGGCTCCTTTTCTTTCGCCTTCAAAATGGGTTAAATTAGCCGCTTTGATTTTATAACCGTCTGGAAATTGTCTTCCCCTGACTCCCCTACAAGTTCTTTTAAATTTGGAAGCAAGTAGTTCGCTATGGTCTGATACTAGAATACAGGGAGGGTCTATAAGTGCTTTGGTTCCGTATTTGAGTGAAGCAACCATTGCAGATTTACTCTCGTTAACCAATGCGTTGTTTTGCAAAACTAACACACCATTAACTATTAATCCTAATTCCTCGATGGCCTATTTGCATTTTTATATCTTATTACATAATTATATAATAGCACATTAAATAAAAAGCTATTAATATCGCCGAGGTATTTCGGTGAAAGTTTCTCTTCCTTATTAATTGATAAGATTAGTTAAAAAAATCTTTAGCCATCATATTTGAAACATGTTGATTTTGAAATCTTCAACTTATTGTACTCTTTTTGCTATTGTATAGCCTTAAACAGGTTAAGCGAATCATCTATTCGCTGCTTTTGATGTGACGCTAATACAGAAAGCATATTTTGACAAACACTGCTTTGACTATTATCTGATACTCTGAGTATCATGTAAGGTCGTCAAAATGCTGGTATCCTACACACTAATGCACTCAGCTGTTCCTTTAACAGACGCGTCGCACAATATTGTTTTTATGTCTTTTTCTATGCTGTCTGTTCCATCAATTCTCTTCCACACCTCTCTCTCGATGTTTAAATTGAACATTCCACTTGTAAATCATGTTTTATCAGGACAAGTAAACTCACTCTTTATGATTTAAGTTGATTTTCCTTCATGGTTAAGAAATTTATCGCTGGCCCAAGGCCATTTGATTGAATTGACTTATTTTCTTTATTCTCCATTCCCACCTCTTTCCTTAATTCCGCGGGCTTGAATCTCCACCGCAAACTGTGATGTTACGATCTAGCTGTTGGTTCATGATCCTCCCCTTTTTTATTATGTTTCTAAATCTCTGTTATTTTTCATTTCATCGAGATAGTATTTGTCCTAGTCTGTGCACCGATCTCCATTTATAGTACAGTTATTCCTGACCATGGCTATTTAATATTCGATCACTTACGTAGGGGATCGTGTCCCATGTTTAATGTATCTGGACCACGCGTCGCTGTATGAGATTTATCCCTCGGCCGTCGGGATAAGGCGCTTTCAGCGTGAGTTTCTTGACGTAATTTAATTCGACTCTGATGCATATAACCTGCGGTCGCCGCAGTTTCGTATCAGTATCAGTTTTTAAGGTTACGCAGCCCGGTCCTGACTGGGTACGGATTTGGGAGAAAATGGTCATGACCTTATTGAAGAAGTACGTATATATTTTTTTAATAATGTTCTCTTGCATTTAAGCTGAGCGATGTTAAGGAAGCTGTTTATTAATTCCATGGCGTATAGTTTGAAATTTCAATCCATCCCGCGGCTATAATCGATTTAATAAATGTTTAGACCGTAATATAGATGTATTTATTTCCTGATTATTTTATTTTTATATTGTTCGTGGGGGAGTTTAATTTCTGGGAATTCTTCTGTCGATATATATAATTTTTCTAAGCTTTATCAGTACAGTTGAAAGATTTATAATTTCGCGTTAACTTCGGTCGCAAATTTTGACAGGCATTATGATTAATTTTTGTTTTGTTATTGCTAGTCTCTCTACTTAAGATGTGACTCAGAATATGATATTTTTCGTAGATAAATTAACAAAATATAAGCTATATTTGTAAAGCGTCTGCACCGTCTAGACGAGTTACCGTAACACGCAGGTATGAATCCCGCAGCTCCGAATGTTTGCGTCCATTTATCTACAAAAAAGTCATATTTTGAGAGCTCTGTTTAATGTCTGTTAACACATCGATCTTTTGCGTGGTATGCCTCAACAGTGCTATGAAACACGACGTGCGTCAGTGATAACTCGCACGTTCAAATTTGTCTTTACCCAGTTACTATTACACGGTGGGGACATGATGTTTCATGTTGACGCACAACAGCGGTTCCTTCTCCTTTTATATTTGTGAAATAATCTCTTTTATTTATGAGATAAGGTGGCAAACGAGCTGGCGGTTCAGCTGATGTTAAGTGATAACCGCCGCCCGTTGACATTTGCAACAACCGTAGGGTTGCGTTGCCACCTTTTAGTAGAGTGGGCTCCGGCTACCGCACTCACCAGACGAAGTGCAAAAGTAGTAACACTTTCACTTCACTACGGTCCTCTGTGAGGTTATGGTACTCCTCGGGACGGAGCTGCCTATTCGTGCGACAGCGAATACGAATACTGTTGCGTGGCCCAACTACAGCTTGTTGCAAATGTACCAGTTATATTAGATCATCGCTTTATTTTGTGGTATTAGTATCACGACATCCTTCGGACGCTGTTTGTTATTCTGTTTAATATGTTATACGTGACTGGCAGCCTGGTTATACATGACTGGCAGCCTGCCTTACGTGAACCCTCCTTGGGAATAAACACCTGGATCCGGAGCAATTATCTGCTGGTCACATAAATACTGGTCCTACTGAAGTTAAAAGCTGATGACTCCGTGGCGCAGTTTCCAAGGTATTGCTTCGGCATCGGGGGTCGTGGGTTCGATTCCCACACGGGACAACTATTTGTGTGACCCACAGATAGATGTGTTTGTCCGCGTGTAATTTATGTTTGTAAAACGTCCCTACAACACAGGATAATGTTATCCTAAAGTAAGGGCAATGTTTTTATTAAAAGAAAAAAAAATAGCTCAGCTACTGCACCACTAAATCTTCTTTCTGTTTATTACAACAGTATTAATGTCAACTGGCGAGAATGAAGAAGTATTTCTTCAAAGGTTATTTAACGTATACCGACTCATCCCAATCTTCACAGTGTTATTGCTTCTACACAAATAAATAACATTAAAGCGTCTGTTAGTACCTGAGCGTTTACACGGTATGTAAACCAAGAAAATATTTTTTTTTAATTTGATTCGGTTAATCACAGAAACTTCTGGACCGATGACGTGACTTTAACTGGCAGATTGTTGCTGTCATGAAAAATAGGCTTACTTACCCTTTTTTTATGAAAATACATTGCGAAGTAATTGCTCATCCGGGAAGTGCCATAGTCTCGAAGAAGGTCAGCCTGAAGTGGAAGTAGCAGAAGTAGAATAGTCTGGTGAGTGAGGTAAACGAGGCTCACTTTATACAAAGGTATTGTAGATGTCTATGGATGAGGGTAATCACTTAACATCAGGTGAACCGTCTGCTCGCTTGACAACTATCCACATATAAAGGCCCCACGTCAAAAAAAAGATGCCAGATTTTCTTATTAATTGTCATATAGACTTATCTGTCATTTCATGTGATCATTAATCTGATATTAAATCGTTTATTGAGAGTTACGGTCACGCAAAATATATCGTTTGTTACGTTACTAAAGTATGTGTATACATAAAGAAACTTTTTTGTGAATTCTGCGAACTGAACAAAAATTTTTCGTTGAATTTCACGCGTGCGAAGTCGCGGTTTGCTGTTTGTTTGGCATAAATAAATAAACTATTCAAAACGATGTTTGGTGTACGGTATCTGTTAACTATTATATATATGCCGTGAACTATTAAAACATGAAGAAGTATTTACGAACTGCTAAATTTACAAAATAAATCTAAACCTCGAGCGGAGCAAAAAAAATTTCAACTACCAGGAACCGGTGGATGTGCTTGGGAAGAAGATAAGTTTAGCTAGAAGACGAAGAATAGTTTAAAGCCCTCAAGCAAAGGATTGTAACAGACCAAAATATCTTGTTCTTTATATGATGTGATCGCACTAAGGGTTGTAATCGACGGGGCTTTTTTTACATCATATTGGTTATGCTAGTCCTAAGAATAGTGTCACTTCCACACGGAGCGGGTGAATATTTTGTCATAATGCAAGTCTACGTACTCTCTTAAAGGACACGGAGAGCACTTAGGTCTATATCACGATTCGGTCCTGGCCTTCTATAGTCCTGGCCTCATTTTTATTGAACACCTATGAGATCCATGCATACCAGATACCACGCAACAAAATGTGAACAATAGAGACTTTCACACTCTTCAACTCGCAGCACATCCAGAGGACGTGTGGAAAAAAATTATATAGGAGCATTTTTCGCATTGTGATGTTGCGCGTTATTTAAATATTTGTACGCAAAAAAATAAATAATTCAAAAATAATTGTAACTTTTGTTGGACAATGTATTTATTTTGTATTTCCATTAATGACGTAAAAGTATTATGAAAATAGTGCACATATGTTTATTCAATTGTGCAAAATTCACCTCGGTTTAAGGCAAGACGACAAATTATATCGATATTATATCGTTTTTGTTAATAATAGAATGGCACTCTTCAATAACATTGATATATCATATATTGAATATGTACTAAAATATTTCAAGTTAAATATCATGTTATATCAAAATAATATTAATATTAATAAACAAAGGATCAATTGTGCAAGTTTGGAACGTCTCACCTTGAATCGAAGTCGACAAAATAATCAACAACTAGATCAACATTTGAATAAATGTTATATCATCAAGACTTTGTCTATCCAAAGTAAATCAAATTTAAATAATATTATTGCTAAAACAAAATAATTTTTACTGAATTATGGGAACTTTAACTGTGGTAGGGCCACACAACAGTTCGCGGTTGCACGAATGGTCAGGCTCGTGTACCGGTGTAAAGTGGAAGTATAACACTTTCGCGTTTCGTCTGGTAAGTGAGGTGGCCGGAGCCCAATTTTCAAAAGGTTGTCCAATGCATCTGCAACCCTCGGGTGTAGCAGATGTCCATGTTCGGCGATATTCACTTAACATCAAGTGAACCGCCTGCTCGCTTGACAACTTTTCACATAAAAAAAACACCTGATCTCGAGCTGAAGTAACTGAAACCAATAAATTTGTTTTAATCCCATTAATTTGTTTTAAGTCCGGCACTGTGACGTTGTACTTTGTTTTTGTTACGATACTTTAGCATTAAATCGTAACTAAATTAATTCGCTCGCTAACCTTTTATAAAGTTATGATCACGTTACGTGTATGCACGCGGCAAAGGTATTTGTCCTGCCAGAAACAACTATCTAAAGTTACTCAACCAATGTTTATTGATATACCTACGTAGTGTTCTGACCTTTATATAGTTTTAATATTAATCATCAATTAATCTCTATATATAAAAATGAATCGCTGAATGTGTTGCTAAGCGCAAATCACGAGAACAACTGAACCGATTTCGCTAATTCTTTTTTTATAATATTCCTAGTTTAAAACTAGGAATATTAAAACTACAGCCGGGTTGGCTTAAACAACATAGTCTAAAAACAACACTTTTCTATATTTCCATACAAAAGATTCGTAATAATTATTAGAAAAATGATATAAAACATAGCCTTTACCGATTTGTATAACTAAAACTCAATGACTCAATACTTGGGTAATAAAAATACTTAGCTTTTCCAACAGAGGTTATTGGAGACAATTTATAAAATACAGCATTTACCGACTTATACAACTATAACTCAACGATGACTCAATAATTGGATAACAATAGCACTTAGTTTTTCCGACACAGCAACAGCCCTTTACTACCGATAACCAAAAACTAACCCGCGTACGTTTTGAGCGTTGAATTTATACCCCCCAAAAACCAATACCAACTACCCCCCCATTCTAAGGTGTAGGAAATATCACGACGTAATACGTATCAAACCAACAACTTTTAAATAAGTCGTAACAAACTGTACTAATAAATTATAGATAAGTTATTAATTACATTAAATATGTGCCATAATTATAACATAATACTTAAAAGTCAATTTGAACTTTAATATCATATCATAAAGTTTAAGTGTTAGTGGAGGGTTTCCGGGTAGGCAACACAATTGAGTGACGTTCGTATCCTATAAATATTAATGTCAATATTTGTCATTTTGTAATATTTTTTGAATAGATAGAGCGATTCAAGAGGAAGGTTTATATGTATAATAACATTTCACCCGTGCGAAGACGGGGCGGGTCGCTAGTACTACAGTACTACTCTTTTATTACAATAAAAGAGTAGAATTTTAAATATGATTATTGTAATTTTTTCTTGTATTTATGCGAATTTACGCATTTACTAAACAAGATAAAGCATCATTTATTATTCGCGTACACCATCTTTGCTATTCCACCGTTTTCTTTACATAGAGCCGTCTTAAATAAAATATTAACTCTATTAAACCATGTAAATAGATGTGACTGTTTGATAGGAAATACCTACTAGAGATCACACGGCATACGTATTTTTCCTCGTTAGGTTATTTTTCATGTTAGGTACATGATACATCATGTTAAAAAATTAAACTGTTGTGAAAATCCTCTAGTCAGGTGACAAACATGTAATAAGAGTCATTTCGACAGGATTACTGTGACGACGTATTTCTTTTCAATTAAGGTCAGCAGCCTTCTCTATGTCATTAACTTTGTTGTTTTGATATATTTGAAAATTTTCTCATAGCCGAGACAGTTTTAGGCCGTGACCCGTTCAAAGTATATAGCATGTATCTTCTAGTAGAGAAATGTGCTCACTTTGACTCTCAAACACAAACGTATACTTCCTTCACCATCCTGAAACGGAGGTCAATGGCCCCGGAAGCTGATGTGGCGTTGTCGAAACGGTCAATGACCCTGAAGGCTGATGTGGTGTTGTCGAAACGGTCAATGACCCTGGTGGCTGATGTGGCGTTGTCGTTGCAGGCATGCGGTGAAGCCGCTCTCCGGCTCGGCGCCGTCGGTCCGGGTGACGGCGCTCGCCGCGACCGACGAGGATGCCGCGGACGGCAAGCAGCCGAGCAAAGCGCGCCAGAAGAAATTCCAGCGCCACTTCCCGCAGGTCGGGCCCGATGAGCGCGTTCTCAACTGTAAGTCCCCGCTCTTCTGGATGCCGTGCCTTTGGCTGACCGAGCGTACAGTCGCGTGCGGAGTGTACACTTCACAATGCCGTGGCTGACCGAGCGTACAGTCGCGTGGGGAGTGTACACTTCACAACAAGCTCGGAGCACTGCGTGTTTGGTGACTGGGTTAACGTTCATGCCCATTAGCCATACAGTCGCGTGCGGAGTGCAGTTTTAAACGTGCTCTAGCTCACTGCACTTATGAGAAGCAATCAGATTTGCTAACCAAATCAAACGATCGTGCTGTATCCCACAGCATGTATATTTTAAGTCAAGAATAATTGTCGACCGCTCTTGTGGAAGCTGCCTCGTTTGTTGTCTCTCGAACAGTTCGGCTTCCGACTGAATCATTCCTATCTTGAACAGTTAAATCGCCTGACGGAGCACACTCTATGAGGCCTCATACACCCAAAACATATAAGTAAGTAATAAATGTCTGACATAACGGCTTCTACGAGCTGGTTGCACTCAACATGACCAAATACGATCTTGCGATCGTCTTCCTGATGAATCGCTTTTTTCGATAGCGAGGAGAGAAATTCAAATGATTTATTCATCGAAATAAGAAAGATACATTTCATTTATCGATAGTCATTTTTTAAATCTACCACCGTTTCGTAAAGAGGTTCCTCTTACGGAGAAGAAACAGGCGAAAGAAACTCCGATAGCTTTACACTTAGTAGCAACTAAGTGTAAAGCTATCGGGATAGTCATACATATTATTTTGAATGATTCTGCTATCAGAGCTATTTGTCACATCTCACCTGTCCTAAAATGTGTTACATGATGAGTTTGTCGTAATACATCGGGTCCAATGTGATGTACTCTCGGATAAAACGCCGCCATCGCCTCCTCCAAAAGCATAAAAAAACTTGTGGCACTCGGGGACTGCCGCGGTAAAGCCATTGCATAGCATTTTTTATCAACTTATGCAATTATAATTATTTATTTATTTTTTATTTATGCAGTATTTTTTTTCTTTGATATTAATTCAAGTTACATTTTTTGTCCGTGGTGACCGATAAGAAAACAATTTTTTTTCTATTATTGAATGAATGAGAAGTTTATATCGTTTAAAATATTTTTATTATTTAATAATACATGTAGGTTATTCAGGAATTTTTATTATTGAAACTATAGGTTTATGGTAACTGAAATAATAAACATAAGTTTGAGACTTGATATTCTCTAAATATCATATTATCATATCATAATATAATATTATAATATCATATTATAATGTCCATCCGTGCGAGCTTCGTACAGTCCATAGTACCATATACATACACGTTAAGCGAACGCTCGGCTGCGCTACATGGTACGCGGAGTGGGGGTTGTTAGGTTTTATTTTCGTTACGGAATTTCTTGATTCGGTCGCCACGCTCAAAGCCCGCGATAAAAGCTATGCAATAGAAGAAATATTATTTTAATATACCACCGATTTAAGAGGTACTAATTTAAACAATACATTTATGCTTCTTATTTAAAGCCGTTTTCAATAATCTGTAGATTTGGTTACTGGAGATACAATTTTGACGTAAGTATTTTGGAGCTAATGTCAATTACTTATCGCTATGTATGTTGTCGCTGTTATGTATGTTGTAGGGGCACGGGGAACGTGAGTTAAAGACGAGCGCTGCGTTAAGACTGTTTTATTAATTCATTTTCCATCCACCCTCAACATGCTAATACATAATATTATGACAATTCCCTTTTTCTTAAAAAAAAAAAAAAAAAAAACCTTATATTGTAGGTATTTATACATATAGGTACAGTACTTGTAGGCGTGATAAATTCACAAGTTGTATAATTATGTACTGTCTTCAAGAATCATGCTAGACAAAAGAAATTAACGCTTCCGTATCTCCTAAGTACTTACATGAATTTAATTCAGTCCATTGTGTAGAAATAATTAGTTTATAGATCATTCATTAAACATTCATTTAATATAATTTAAACATTGTTGTCCATATGCTGTCCATTTAAACTTTGCATGGGTTCGACCACACTGTAAACAACTGCGATACGTTGCCGTCGGTGTATACGGCCACCTCCTCTCCTCTCGTTGACCTGAACCAGTTTGATTCCCTCGAGCACTGCGTGAGTCCTGATACCGCTCCTGTCGTCCTGACGGGCCTGGGCGCGACCACTGTGCGCCCGTTCTCGCGCGCGATGATGACCTTGACTGCTGCGCTCGGGACGATTGATGTTTCTTTTTTATCATATTAAGCTCCCCATGTTGTTGTGTTACTCCTTGCTTTTCGTCCGATATTTCATGAACGTGGTGATTGATTGAACTTTCAGTTTTTAAGTTTACGGCTTGAGCGCGAGATAATTCTGCTAAATTGAAAATATCTACTGCCTTTTTTAAGGTTAAATCGGGTTCTCTTAGCGAGCGTTCTCGCAAAGAACCGTCCTTTACTCCACATATTAGCCTGTCTCGTACTAGGTCTTGGCATAAGTCTTTGAACTCGCACTTCACCGCCATTTTGTTTATCTCGAACACATACTGCTCGACAGCCTCGAATTCACTCTGATCTCGTGTGAAAAACCTGTGCCGCTCAACCGTTAAATTCTTTTTTGGATAAAAGAAATCGTCGTACTTTTCTAATACTTTATTAACCGTTGCATATTTCCCCGCGAACTGATCATACACGTCCCTACATTTTTCACCGATTATGTGAAGTAAAATGTTTATTTGGACTTTGGGATCTTTTTTACTCAGTTCACACGCTTCATAATAAATAATGAAACTCTTCTTTCACCTGTCCCACTCTCTACTCAAGTTTCCAGATGTCACGTTCACTAGATTGTTCTCGAACATAAACGGTTGCGGTGGTTGTAAAATTGCCTCCATTGTACTTCAAACTGTTCGTATTTTTTCACTTTTCGCACTTATTAATTTAGTCTTTACTTAATCACTTCTTTTTTACTTCTAATATACGTCAGTCCTCTTGAAATACCGGCTGCGCCATGTTATGTATGTTGTAGGGGCACGGGGAACGTGAGTTAAAGACGAGCGCTGCGTTAAGACTGTTTTATTAATTCCTTTCCCATCCACCCTCAACATGCTAATACATAATATTATGACAGTAACCAAATCTATAGTAAAATCTTGTAACCGGCCGTTAGTGTTTGATTAAATAAAGATAGAGTCGATACTGTCAACATCATTGCTGCATAGTCTTGGATAATCCCGCCACGGATGCTTGGTTTTGGCGAGTTGCGAAAAGTTTAATAAAATATGAATGTACTAGGTGTGTGTTAATATACTGGTTACATTTATTAATTTTAAAATTATATGACTTTAAATTTGACACATTTATTTATATTAGAAATGTAGAGAAAATTACACTCTGACTCCGAGGTATATAACTTAACTCTCTTTGCTTCGCTACCAAAAGTAAATGGGTTATCAGTTGTATACTGTTTACGTGCGCAAAGGGTTAACGTTCAATCTTTCTTCGGCTATTAGGAAACTAAAAAAGTGTGTCAATAGATTAAGAATAACTATCTCGAATGGTCACATTTCTATAGGTATTATCATAGTAGCAATTGATACAAACGTTTATACTTTTTTTTTGCGTAAATATGAACATTTTTTTCATATCCCTATTTACTTCCATCTTATTTGTAACTTTATTGCTTCTAATATATTAGAAAAATAATTAGCGATCGAAACCTACTAATTAACTGTCAGATATAATTACTATAAAGTTTAATAAGTAGACTGGCAACAACAACGGCTCTTGGTGCAATTTTGATTTTGTCAATTTCAGATTATTCGTGCGCACTAGTCGGCGACTTGTTGCTCCAGGGTCACCTGTACATTACAAAGAATTACTTCGCGTTCTACTCCAACGTGTTTGGATATGTAACCAAGGTAAGCCACTGGAGAGTGGAGGTGGTGGGGGTAGGGGGAGCTTAAAGCTAGTTTCCCTGGTTAAATGTTTCTTGGTACAAACAAGTTTCGCTGGTGATCTTGATTACTACGAATGCGACCCCAATTATCAGATCCGTTGTAGTCTGTCTGTACTGAATAGTAGTTACGTAATATTTATATTACTTATTGGTTTTTAGTAGATACTCGATAAAGTAGTACTGTAACAAGAATAAAACCAATTTTAGGTCAATATTTCGGTACAATTTCAGTAATAAAACTGTATGGCGGTATTGTTTAAGTTTTTGCGTTAAATCATTCACGTTCTAACGTCGCTGCCTGTACGCATAAAGTACTGGGTCGCGGGTCCTGAACACTTTAAAACTGAACTGTTTCAGTATTATGCATATAGATTTCAGTACTTCCTAAACACACTTCTTTTTGGATCTAAGTTTTCAAAGTTACGTGTAGTAAGTTGAATTAGTGTAAAAATAATTTTGATCGATAAGTTTAGATAGTCACATACTATTTGCTAAACATAAAGTTTTCATTTCCAAGTCATCCATAAATTAAAACAGCTACAGCTCAAATAACAGATATTAGTCGTTAAAAGAATAATTTTATTCAATATCGTGATATCGACGCAACAGATTACGTATGCAAATGACAGTTTTGACCTTCGTATACCTATCTCTGTGGACTGTAGTGCTGTGAAATTATATTATAATTTTTAACCGTACGACATACATGAGGAATGAATTACATTTTAAAGGCTGTTGCATTTGAATTGCTACAATTTTTTGACATAATGCATTCAGAAGGTTAAAACTAAATAATATGATTAAAAATATGACGAATAAAGATATATCAGTTAAGAGTTAAACCGTGACGCAGGATCGTGCTGTTGTGGCGATGTAGTTATATAATATTTTCTTAATCAATAAAATGTCTTCTTATTTTATCCCTAGTATTATTAGTTAGTATTAAAAAATCGTAATTTTTAAAAATCCAACTTAAATAATTGTAATACTTTTGAACGACGAAATTCCCATGAGTTTTTAGTCTGTTCCTCCTGACGTCATACACTTTCATCATCTACGACCGCGGGCCAGACATTAAATTTGAAGTTTACATTCTTTAAAGTAATTTCCACGATTCGTCCTTTTTATGTGAGAAGGTGGCAAGCGAGCTGTCTGTTCACCGGATGTTAATAATAGCCGTCCATTGACATATGCACCACCCGTATGATTGCGGATCAGTTGCCGCCTTAACATTGTTGGGCCCGGCAACCTCACTCACCAGACGAAACGCAGAAGTATAACACTTCAATTCACCCCGGTCTCCTGTGGGGTGGTGGCACTTATCCGGATGCACCGTGCAACATCGAGCGCCGTTGCGTTGCCCCACCACAGTTGAAACTACAAAGTTGCACAATTGCCCGCCGCAGCTGCTGATCCCGACCACGTCGGTGCTCCGTATCACCAAGGAGAAGGTGGCGCGGATCATCCCGAACGCAGTGGGCGTCTGCACGCGGGACGAGCGGCACGTGTTCGGCTCGCTGCTGTCGCGCGACTCCACCTACAAGCTGATGACGCACGTGTGGAAGGCGGCGCGCGTGCCAGAGCTAGCCGTGCCCCCGCCACAGGTGAGCAGGCCGATAGATGTGTATGTGAACAGCGATGTGTACGTGATGCATGTTTACAAAGTCGTTGTCAAACTTTTTGAACAAGCATTTGACATATGTAAACAGCTTCGCGAACATCGATGTTCGTTTGATTCACGTTTACAAAGTCATCGTGGAACTTTCTGAGCAAGTAGTTGACATCTATAAACAGTCGCGGGAACACCGATTTTCGTTTGATGCATGCTTACAAAGTCATCGTGAAACTTTCTGAACGAGTAGTTGACATCTATAAACAGTCGCGCACATAGATGGGCGTTTGATGCATGTTTACAAAGTCATCATTAAACTTTCTGAGCAAGAAGATGACATCTGTAGGTAGACCGCGATCATCGTTGTTTGTTTGATGCATGCTTACAAAGTCATCGTGAAACTTTTTGAACAAGCAGTTGACATCTGTAAACAGCTCGCGAACATCGATGTTCGTTTGATCCTTGTTTACAAAGTTATTGTGAAATTTTCTGAACAAGCTGTTGAAATGTATGACACGATGTATTTGTACACAACCCCGCGACCCTGATGTCTTTGTAAACAAATATAAAGTTTCGACGATTGTGGAAGTCGTTGCATGTGGATAATACTATGGTAATTTTACTTCAACTTTGTAGGTTGTCTACAAAGTATATTAATAATTAACTAAATATAAATCTAAATATAAAATTTCAAGTCGTCTTTGTCTACAACACGAAAGCATCGGCGTTTAACATCCGTATGCATGTGATGAACGATATTATTTCACAATCGACATCAAATGGAAATGTTGTATTCAAATTGGTATTGTTTGACGATTTTTTGGAACGAAGTGCCTTATAGCTATGGATTTGGTTACATTGGGTATAGTATATTGGAAATATAACACCTTTATCAATTATAATATACTACGAAAGTAACTTTGTTCCAGCCGAGTGTTCCACGACACTCACGCATTGTTTTATAGTGGGTAATATTTCAACCAGTGTTCTCCTATTGAACGGTATAAGATATTGCCATAACATAATATTAATTACCACGATTTTTCACCACGCCCCGGGTTGACTGGGAAAGAATGCCAAAAGGCATTAAGTCTTTTGTAATCCTTTTTATTTAAAGGTTGCAATAAAGTATAAATAAACAAAATATTAAATCCCTGTCACTGCGTCGTTTGCAGGATTTGAGGACGTCGGAGGTCGAGTTGGAGGCGTCGGAATACTCTCCCGAGGACGATAGCAGCTCGGTGGGCGCAGACCAGACGGACGCGGCTGGACGCGGACCCGCTGACCCGCTGTTACCAGCAGGTTGGTGTGCCCCCCATGTTGCACTGCCGGTTCAGAACAGGGATGTTCCCAAAGCAACCGTAAGGTGCAGCTTCTACGGCTGTTGAAAACATTCAATGTTCGATAACTCAATTTGTAGTAAATTAGTAAAGGCAGTAAACACGCCGAACTCGCAACTACTGTATTATTTACCCGAATACTGCACTTATCATACATTGTTATTTCAAATACAGATTTATTTATCATGTGAAATGTTGTATAACAGTTTAAATTAAATTATGAATCGCTAAATTGTAGCATATTTTGTTTTCTCCCATGACTACTGGACGCTGTAAAGTGTTCGAAAGGTAGACAGTTAATTTTTTTTAAAACGCTAGGGCAATACAATGCATAAATCAAAATTATCCCTTCTTGATCTGCCGACCGATTGTCCGTGTGTGCGTGCACCTGGAAGAGCGTAACGGCTGCGCGTGTGTGCGTGCTCGTGGGCGTAAAGGTCGCGCGTGTGTGTTTGCACGTGGACGATTGTAATGCGTGTGCGTCTGTGTGCGTGCAGGGGCGTCGGCGGGGCCGGGGGGCGCGGCGGTCATTCAACCCGCGCTGCTGACGGGCGCGGTGGCGCCGCAGCCCGCGCCCCGCTACTGGAGCCTCGCGCTCGGAATGCTCACGGCGCTGCTGGCGCTCACGGCGGCGCTGCTCGCGTACCGGCTGCTGCGTCTCTCTCACGCGCAGGTGCGTATCAGAGCGAGAGAGAGAGAGAGAGAGAGAGCTTGTGTGAATAGACGAAGGCGGATTGACCATCCGACTTGTCACTGAAATGTTATCTATTTTGTTCCATCGTAGAGTGAGAAGCTATTAGATAGATAGAGGGATCCGCGGACTAACTCGATGGCACAATTGCTTAAGATGTTTACGGAGGCTCGGGGATTCGATTCGCACACGGTTGTGTGCCCCACAGATAACTGTTACGGATCCAGCTCAGCCTGCAATACCTAACCCAGGATGATAAGACTAACGTTCACTGTTGAATATAAGCCCCTGCAGATTGACAATTAATTATAAAAATTGAAACTATTGGTAAACGTTATTTTTATAAAAGTTGCTATTGGTCTCATGGTAACACCGTGAAGTTGGTGCCGGCTGTAAAAAATTCACACTCGCCATTTTTCCCAAACGCACCGAAAGATGTTTAACTGAAACGGTGACAAATATCACCGCTATGTACGGATTATTCGACTGGGAATCGAAGGTAGAGCTAAGTGGTGTATGCCATTAGGAGGAGGCGAGCGCGCTCTCGGGCGAGGAATTGTACGCGGCGCTGGTGCAGTGGCGCTCCAGGCTCCACGGCCGGGCGGCGGACGAGCTGCACGCGTTCCTCAACACCAACCTGCTACTCCTCACCAAGGTGAATTACCTCAAACAATCTTCCGGGACATGTAAAGTAACAGCCTATATACAGCGTGTCTTTACAATCGCGACAGTAAATGAACACACATATAGGGGATAACTTTTTAAAATTGTATTAAACATTTACATTCTTTAAACATCAATGTTTACAGAGTTATTAAATTTTCCAAAACAAAGAATTTAAGAACATCCTTACCTATGAAACTGTAACGTAAAGTTCATTTGTAAAGGTCACATAGCATATGAATGGGTTGGATGAATTTAAAAGAGACAAAACATACTGTTAGAAGGAGAGTCTTGAAATACGACGCTGTGGTGCGAGTTGTATAGGATGTTACAAATTTTTTTTTTTTTTTTACTTAATTAGTTTGTTTGAAAAATATTTTTTTTTAATTATGGATTTTGTTTAACGTTAATATTTTTTTATGATTTTTGGCAAGTAGCGTTAGACGTGTGTTCATTTACTGTCGCGATGGTAACGACACGCTGTATATCCCACTGCTGGGCAAAGGTCTCCTTTGCACAGAGGTGTCAGGGTATAGTCCACCACGCGACCCCACAGCGGATTGGCGGACGTCACGTATCTACGATTTTTTTTGTTATTTGAAAAGTCCTGTTTTTAGTTGATGCCAATACTTATTGATGTAGCTGCGAATAAATAAGTATCTCCCTCCAATTCAGGTGCGACAGTCCTTGGAGGCTCTGTCTGGTGTGATCCTGACCGATATGGGCCAGGCCGGCGACAGCGCATTCAGTTAGCCCACGGCCCAGCGGTAGCTGTTGCCAACCAGCGCCATCTAGCGGGCTTAGTCTCCCGCTAGGCGTTTCTGCCAATTGAGGGCCCACTACGTTTCGAATCATTTAGCCGGAGCTATTTGAGCTTCGTAACCGTGTATAGGCGAATCGAACGCTCCGATGTCAGCTTCTGCCGCGCAGTTTGCGTTCCGGACTATCTCTGGTATTTTCGGTGTGATCGAACGATGTGATTGTGATTATTTTATGTTTTGTTTTGTTTTAATGTATATAGAACGCTTCGTCCGAAGCCCACAATTGTCTGCAAGGCATCGTAGTTATTGTGTTAAACACAAGGTAGCGTTAGATTGTGAAGATCGTCCGACGTGAGAAACTGTTCCCAGTAATCAGACGTTTCCGTGTTGCTTATTAAGTGTCAAAGTTAGGTGTACGTAATTCATTCCACCGTTTCTGTTGAAATAAACGCGTTCCGGTTTATAACTTAATGTGCTAAGTCGTCGCTTATCCTGGACTTCTGCTTAAATAGTATTACATTACCTCTAGGAATGATGGACACTTTTGTGTTCACATTACGCGTATATATTAAATGTTGCTTATAAGCTGTTCACGTATCAACGCTCCATTGCGAATTACATGCAGATTTCGTAGTGCTAAACTGTCGTATCATATCGAATGCGAAACTGTTAACCGAATAGCGGCCGTCGCAGTTAAAATTTTGTTTGTTTAGTACGGTATCAAACTGTGGTGCTAATAAATAGTAAGAGTAATTGTAAAACAGACATTCCTCGAACTGGTACGATTACGATTCCCTATAACTCACCCGTTAGTTGATCGGGAGGTTATCGCGGCGCGTCGAGCATTCGCCAAGAAATTTCTTGTCAACTGTTACTCCCCTATAGAGCATAGATAAATCAATTTTCAACGTATATACGATAATTTTTAAAATATCTGCCACCAGGGAGAGGTCAATTGGCGCTTGATGAAGTTATTTATGAAGTTGAGTCTCAAAAAATACTAGTTAAAGTTGGTTGATATGTGAATTTGTTTTTTCTTGAACGTTAACTGCCCTCTCTGAGTGGGACCGATATGATTCTAATGATTAAGATTTACTTACGTCGAGCATACTGTCCCTTCTTCATAAATCGTGTGGTAAGATAAATAGAATAGGGTATTTAGCTAGTTTTAACGTATTTTAATGTCGCACGATCAGACATATTTGATCAAGTCAATATGTTTTCAAGGACGTATGCGCGTATAAATTTCATTCTACGTTAACTGCGTGTTCATAACAGACACTCAAAAATTAACGTCTCGAGAAGTACAAAATTTTATCGTCTCTACGAGTGATTAATCGTGAGTGTACAAATGATTTCTTATTTTTACGTGAATATTATGCATATTAATAAAACTATTTTATGGATTCTATCGCAGTATCATTTTAAATTATAAAGTGACTCATTATAAGCGACGTGTTATAAGTAACTTATATATGCTATTTCAAACGTCGATCAAAAGAAATACTACACCGTTTTGCGGCTTAGTATTCGGTAAACTAGTTTTATTAAAATGTGACTCAGTGGCGATTAGTGCATTTTAATTATAAACTACCATTCCACAACAAATGCATATTTTTGGAATCGTAAACATATGGAAATTACTGAAACAGTGAAATACCCTGTTGTATTATGCCATTCTAGTCTTTAGCGACGCTCAATTACACGTCTTTAGTAATGTACTTAATAGAAAAGTGCATACGCAATTATATGGACGCGAAACGATTTAACCAATAACGTATTGAAGAAACATTTGCGAATTGACAGCAATGCAAAGAAAGTTACTGTTCGTAATAATATATGCAATTTCTATTCTTCGCGATTATGTTAATTTTTCACCTCTAGGCTGATAAATGGTCCTCTAACACTTTTACGTAATATCGTCATGCGAAAGCATAACGAATATATTTATTCGTAATGCTTTTGCATGAATGCTTATTAATCCATATACTAGTATATGGATTAATAATTATAATGCAATTTTATTAGGAAATAGAATTTATTAGTGCAATATTACATTTGTGATTATTTTAGAGCGATTAGTATTTTCCTTTGCATGGTCATTTTGGATTCTTTCGCTTATTGAGTTTTTGTTGCGGTTGGTTTCGGGATCCATTTTATATTTAAGTTACCGTAGGTACCAAAATCTAATTAATAAACAATTCTGGATAAGGTCTTATCGTACGTAGCTGTTCATGAATGTTTCAAGTGAGCATGTGGCGTGATAAATTAAAGGGAGAATTCATTAATCGTTAATATTGCCAAAGACAAAACCTTAGATTAGTCGAAATATCATAGCATGTAGGCTTAGGGAGGTTTGTACAATGTTTATTCGGTAGTTATTAAAAAGTAAAAGGAAATATATTTTTAAACTTTATATCTTTTTGTTTCCTCTGTTGTTAAATGAAAAATGTATATTTTATTATTATTTTTTGTTATTATTACAAGCCAGTGATAGTATATTTCTTTTAATTTTCGTAATGAAATGCAATTATAAAATTCATAATTTATCCCCAGATACAATAATGTAATAAGAAAATTCAATGAAAAAGTGTCTCGTACAATAAGTATGAAAGTGATTCTGTTGGAATTTGCTGCTAGATATTTTTGCAATAACTCTTCCAGATTTTACGTAGGTATCGTGAAGAATAATTGAATATTAATTCGTCTTAAATGTTTTCGTCCTTTGATTCCAAACTTTGTTATAAAAAAAAACAAGTGTTATTTTAATATTCAGAAACATCGCTCTGAAATACTATTGAGCAGTAGACAGACTGTTGAAAGGTGCATTGTGTTAGAGTTTCAGCGTTCATTCGTTATTTCTCTGATAATAACGAGCCGAATGCTCGTTATTATCAGAGAAATAACGAATAATGTCGTGATTGTGATCGAAACAATTGTTTACGCATTTAATTAATTTATATTTGATGAAAAAGCTTGAGAAGGATTGGCAAAAGTCAAAATAAGACGTGTTATGGTATTCAACTGACCTTGCGCAGCGTTTCCGGCAGGAGATAACATTTAAATGTCCTTCCAAAATAAATGAATAAATCTAGTATTGCCACCGGGCGCAGACCTCTCTTGGGGTCAACGTCCTAGTCTGCCTCTCTATTAATATAGGAACTAAATGCTAAATGTCTGTCAGTTTTGATCGGTCGGGTGTTGGTCGAGCGAAATTTAAAATTTTCGTATTTAGTTCTTAGCTGGTTTGTATCGGATTTCAGTGACACTGTTCAATTGTTATATTTTATTTGTTGTAGAGGTAATTTTTGTAAATACGATAAATGGGTTGTTTGTTATTTAATGTAAATAAAACATCATTGATATTATCTTGGATAAGTGTTTTATTAAGTCCTCTAATTTTTCCTTCACTACATAAAGCGGTAGAGAGTATTAATATAAACATTTAAAGCCTCGCGCTCTGAGGGTTCCGTACAAACTTTGCCATGTAAAAGGACTGCTCACTGCTACACTCGGAATGTATAAAATTAAAAATTATTGTAAATCAATATACAATCAAATCAATATACCTATATCATAGGAAAAATACTTAACAGTGATAAATAAAATTATGTGTTTAAATTATAACTCAACAATTTTCGAAATCCTTTTCTTTTACTCTTACTTTGTAAGCCTGCTTGCAATATTTTATGTGCTTAGATCAATGACAAGTTTTAGTACTCTTAAACTGCTACTCAGAGTGAGACAATGTGTTTCACAATTAGGTAAATGTTTGACAATAAATCATGTCAATAAATTAATAACCTGGGTTTTATTTATTTGACATGATTTTCAATTTATTACTCGTTCCAAAGAGAGATTAAAAATACCAATTGCCAAGAAAACGATAGTACAATAAATATATTTGTTTTAGCAACTGATGTACGTACCCCTTAAAGCTAAGGGCCCCTACATAATAATTTAATTGTTACAATAAGACAAAGTGAACTAGTCATTCTACAGTGATAAAGAAATATTAATAGATAAAAGTACATTAAAGAGAGATGTTAAACAGTAAAAACAGACATACTAATGTTGTAAGACGATGGAAATTAACATGTCATCAACTACTCCTTTTGTAAATTATACATTTGAAGGGAGAATCCCTCGTAGTTGGCACTTGTATCTTAACATGCGGAAAAATATTTAATATCATTAAATACATTCCGCTTTAAACTCAGCGGTGGCTGTGAAGTGAGCTGCGAGTGAAGCTTTACGCAGAAATAGTCAACTTGGCAATTGTAGAGTGGTATTAATTGCATATAATAAAAAAAATATCTATCTAATGAACTATGTTTTAAGAAAAGAAACTCGCATCTTTGCCCTTAGAATTTGTTGTGAACTAATTTATTATTAGGCCAAGACAATATTTGTGAGTGTAATGTTATTGAAAATGCTGATACATTACAACGATTTCAGTCTGTGGAAATTAAATAAGACAAAAACTAACGATTTTAACACATTGCAAACAAAACGAGAACAATAAACAGTAGCTAACAAACGACGAGGAAAACTTACAAATCAAATATAACCGATTACTAATAAAACAACAATTAGGAGCTGGACTGTACTAATCGAGCAGAATGGCGCGAAAGTGTGCAGTGTAAGAATGCACCGTTCACACTAGCATACAAATACGGTGAGATCGAGAAGCATCTGAAAGTTTAGCGGGCAGTTATTTTTTTTAACGCTTTCAGTAAGTAGACTTAATAAAGTACCATAATGCACACTGCTTATGGAAAGATCAAGGCAATGTTATCACAAGCGCCTTAACAAGTTTTGTGGTCGTAAGTTTGGCGCGACCGACATTTTAAAAGAAACGTACAACATTTTACGCAGACAATACGTAGAGAATTAAGTGCTTTAACAACGGCTTATTTACTACTAAAAAGTTGATGAATACTACTAGAACATTTGAGTAAAATTGATTATAGACCGATTTTCTACGAGTTATATTAGAATAAGTTATTAAATATTAGAAGAATGGAGTAAAATTGATTATTGACAACGATTTTCTACGAGTTATATCGGAATAAGTTAATAAATTTTAGAAGAATGGAGTAAAATTGATTATGGACCACAACTTTCTACGATTTATACTGGAATGAGTTCATGACATAACACATTTGAGTAAACACAAAAGTGACACAACATTTGAGTAAAATTGATTATTGACAACGATTTTCTACGAGTTATATCGGAATAAGTTAATAAATTTTAGAAGAATGGAGTAAAATTGATTATGGACTACGATTATTTACTATTTATGTAATATCGGAATTACGATAACATTTATTAAAATTGAGATTAAGGGAAATGCATTGGTGCTTCCTACATATGAGCGTTATTGCACGCCTATGCTCTATTTGTTCTTGGATAGGGTCCTTTGCTTCTCCGCATGCTGAACGAGCTGCTTGTCGGTGGCGAGGCCTTTTCTGCGGCGAACCGAGTCCATGTACACCTTGGCTTGGTTCACGCCGTCCCATTTCTCGCCCCAGTGGAGGTACTCCTCTTCGGTGCGCGGCTGCCAGAACGGATCGATGTCTATCACCTAGGGGAGATAATTATACTTTATGTCTATCACCTAGGGGAGATTTTTATACTTTATGTCTATCACCTAGGGGAGATAATTATCCCCTCCGACCGGGTTCCCGCCTTGACGTGGCGGAGGGGCTTAGTAGCCGTGGCTTGGTCACCCACGGCGAAGCTAAGAGAAACCCACACTGGGCAGGCCTGTGGTGTAAGGCCGGCCCGAGAGGGCCGCTCCGAGTGGGCTCATCGAGCACACTCTGGATGCGTGCTGGAGGGTGCAGGGGACAGGTCGAGGGTGGTAGAGGTGGACCCACTCTCCCTGTCTTCTGCTACCGAGGAGGAGTCGCGGGGGAAGAGGAGTACTGGTATTGCGTTGGCCGCGCTCCCTATCCTCTGCGACTCGGCGGGGCTGCACCGCTGATGCAGTGGTGGTGGAGCCGCGGGGGGAGAGGAGTATCGGTATTGCGGTGCGCCGTTCTCCCTATCATCCGCGGCCGAAACGTGGTGAGCGGCGGAGCCACAGAACAGGTCCGCCGCTGGGGACTGAGAGGCTTGCTGCTTTCTGGCACGAGCTCTCCTGGCTCCCATGGCCTCTGGTCAGCGAACTCGTGGGAGTTCATGGCCATGAAAAAGGGGCCGAGTAGGAAGGCGCGCTGAATATTCCAGAAATTATTACTAGATTTGTGGAAGTACCACAGCCCACTTACACTGAAGACACACTACACAGAAGTCTTAAGCACGCGAGTATTTGAACTTTTGCATTTCATTTATAGTTTCAGATATCCTGAATCTGAAACTATAAATGACCTGAATAGTTGGCAATGAAACTGGAGCGGTAATTAATTGTTGCCCGCGCCCTTTTTCAACCGCAAGAATATCTGTACTGAATGTAGAATAGGTTCAATTTTGTAATCTTTTTTTTTTATTGACAAGTAGGCGGTTCACCCAATGTTAAGCGATTACCGCCGTTCTGGACATCTACAACTACTACCCCGAGGGATAGCATACGCCTCGCAAGCTTTTACAAATTTCTGTCCTGGCTAACACACGCACCAGACGAAACGCGAAAGTATAACACTACCACTTCACGCCGGTCTTCTGTGAGGTCGTGGTACTTACCCAGACGGACCTGCCCATTCGTGCAACAGCGAAGACTCACGCTCTGTGGCCATACCATGATCTTAACCGCATCCAGAAGTGTATCACTCCCACTCCCCGTACCAGCGTGCCCATTTGCAACAGCAGCGTGCAGCGCGGCAGTTCGAACCCACCTCGAAATGGCTGAACCACAGCTGTGGCGCGGCGAGGCCCGAGGTGTGCGTGCGTAGGTCGAGCGCGAATCGAAAGCTCTCGGAAACTGGCAGTAGGCCGCTCACGCGGAAGGAGGATGAGCCGCTCTGGAGGTCGCTGCCCAACACGCGGCCCCCGCGCCGACCCAGCGCCGCGTACAGTCTGCCTGCAACCAATGTCACGCGATCATTCCCTCTCCGTCCCACGTCAGTGAATATAGATACAACAACAATAAATATTTCAAAAGAAAACTGTTTGAGCATATCCTTGCCGAGTCTTAGCTACTTAATGTAGCATACTATGTACGAACATTCAGATGTCCATATCAGTATGTATTTATATTTACTTTGTATTAATGAAAGTATACTCATCTAATATTATCTTATAATCTATATATTTGGTTATGTAGCGTTTATAACTACTTTACTGCCCTTGACATTACGTTTCTGTTTTACCTAGGGTTAGCTGGTAGAGAATGCAATATAGCATTAAGCTCGTCTTTGTACAATTTTAAGTGCAATAAAGATAAATAAATAAATAAACTTAATAAAGTGAAGCAAAACAAAGTTGCGGCTAATATATGTTACACAGCTGGCCGAAGGCCTCCTTTGCACAGAGGGTATTAGGGCACAGTCCACCACGCTATCCCACTGCCGATTGGCATTTAATTTACATATATACAAACATAACTTTACACATTTTTATTTCAAACATATTTAGACACTTGAAATTAACAATATCATTGCGGCGCCAGGTTCATTTGAAACCAGAGTTCAAGTATATCGAATGCTCCAGTATATCGAATTAAAAGCGAGCGCTAGGACACTAAACTATTACGGCCCTCGAAAACTATTTTTTACCTTTATTAAATCGCGTGTAACATGTGAACCATGTTGTTAATAGTCTAGCTAGTCAATGGTTTTATAAGACCGACCGCCTGCCTGACGTCAACCCTCCATGGGAACAAACACGGAATTCGTAACATTTATCTGTGGGTCACACATATACGTGCCGTGGAGGGATCGAACTTACGACCTCCGACGCCGAAGCCAATGCCTTGGCAACTGCGCTGCGGAGCCATCAATTTTGATCTTAACGATGGGTTATGTAGCTTCACTATTACGTACCGGCGGTACCTGCATCTTGTGTTTAGAATTGAAAATAAAAAAAAAAAAAACTAGAATTAACAAGTTGGCTCTGTGGATATCTTGATTGTCCTTCCTAGATATCCCAAATAGTTTTCAGTCCTTGGGAAAAGCTTCATCGGTCACCCCGCGAAATTACTTACATTTTCTGCTGCGTTTGATTATATTATATATTCTTACAATAGTATATGTTTAACATGCCATGTACTATATGTGGGGCCCACGACGACATTTTTTTTAAGTTATTTTTTAAGGAAGTTAAACAAAGTAAAGGAAATTATGTTGACAGTACACTTCTGCTGAATTATCATGGTATAATATATATTAAAATACCGTAAGAAAATTTGCGAATACAGAAGCACCCACGCGTTGGGTTCATACCTAAATCGAAGCAACCATTATATAAATTTAGATTGTAAAATCACTACATAGTATAAAATAAAGTCGTCCCGCTGTCTGTCTATGCCTATGTATGCTTAGATCTTTAAAACTACGCAACGGATCTTGATGCGCTTTTTTAACTAGATAGAGAGATTCAAGAGGAAGGTTTTTATGTATTATAAATTGCACCCGTGCAAAGCTGGGGCGGGTCGGCGGGGCACTTATTTTTTATCCCCCATGTGAATTAGGTTGTTAACAGTGTTGGTTAGGTTTGATACGATCAGGAGGGTCGACGTGAACCCTCCTTGGGAGGCGCAAGGAGGGTTCACGTCGACCCTCCTTGTCAACCAACAACAATTATCTGTGGGTCGCACAAATACTTGTCCCGTGTGGTCATCCAACCCCGAAACTTAGCATCTGAACTACCGCGTCACCATAATGTACTCAATAAAAGCGTGTACTATAAAAGAAAGAGTCGTGCCGAATGGAAAAAAATTGGAGAGGCATCTGCCCAACGGTGGACGAACACACGCTGAAGGCGAAGAAGAAGGCTATAAATGCAATGTACTCACAGTACATATATTTACGAGTATAGTAGACGCGTATTCAGTACATTTATATTTGCGGATCTTTGGATCCGTAGCAGGGTGTCGACTCGCCGACGCGGATACGCCGGTGGGGGGGAAAAAACCCGAACGCCGGAAGGCCGTTTGACAAAACATTCGGTGGGCAGCCGAGGAGAAAAATTCCAACTGGCCCGAGTGATTCGCCGTGGCCATTTTCGAGAGTGGAGCGGGGGGGGGGGGGGGGGGCGCTTCCGGCGGTGGGCGCGCGCATCCGGCGCGACCCGCGACGCCTAACCCGTTTTCGGGTACAAAGAAAAAGAGCGGCGGACCAGTTTCTAGTAGCTGCTTTGCGAACGGCCAGCTTGTTATCTTACGGCGCGTGTGGGAATGACGCGAAGAGTTTTTTTTATTTCGATGTGTTTTTGGGACTCGCGTAACGCTCGCATTTCTAGACTCGTTATAATTTTGATACCATATGCGCCTCGTATATAGTTTAGGAGGAATGTTTGACGAAATGATTAACGGTGGTAGGGCCACGCGTCATCGGCAACCTTACGGGTGTTGCAATTGTCCATGGGCGGCTGTCACTTAACATCAGGTGAACAGCAAATTCGCTTGCCACCTTCTCACATAAAAAAAATGTGGATCCAACTGCCTTTTGTTCAGTGCTGCTTGAAGCTTAATTTTTCTGACAGTTCGATTTTTAAACAAGTTAGGCATTATAAAATATGACAGCTGCAAGTAATTAAAAAAATCAACACGATGTTAAATGTCCAATCAAAGTAAGCTTGATTTAAGAGAAGAAGGGATTATATCAGAAGAGGGGCAATATATATAATTTTTTGGAATGCTAAACAAATTTAAACAGGGAGATATTTCTGAGTTGTCACATTGCATCTTTATTCCGTCTGACAATCGTTTTGTTACTAGGCACGAGTTTTTGTGAAACCATGTAATATTTTCTCCGTGAATGGCGCATAACCGTCCACTTCGCGGTCAACCGCACCGCGCCGTCGTCATATACCTAAAGAAACCACAGGAAAGGGATCCCTTGGTATTTGAACTCTGGCATTTTTGGTTCAAACTTGAATACAAAGTGTGTAGACAATCTAACTAAAGATAAAGCACTTGGTAAGATTATTTTAACTTTAGCCCGACCGTTTAGAACAATCGGGGAATTTGTCCTAAAATATTTATTTATTTATTCATTTATTATTTGATTGTCACGAATATTGAACTTAATCAAATTGTATACAATACTGTCATCATTATTTCCTCCATCCCTTAGCAAGGACTGAGAGCTTTTAACAGATTCTTCCACCGGTCTAGGTCCCGGACTGCCGTTTCTGGGTCTTTTCAACGGTCGCTGGCCAAAGATGACTCCTTCTATTCAATTTGTAAATACTAAAATAGAAAAATATTTCCACGCTAAAAATATCTAAATATCAGTTACACAGAGGGGTATGCGGATATCACTGATTTCCTCTTTCCTAGATAATTGGACATCTCATTTGTTACTTTCGCGAGTCAACATCTATGCACATTTTTAAAAGTATGTATTGTTCACTACCCTCTCTCTGAATATATCGCTTATGATATAACGTTCTGATATACAATCTCGGCGACATCGATTTCCTCTTATGGGCTATACATTCTTTTTGTCAGCCCTAATTGATAAATCCTTTTCACATTTCCATTCAACAGAAGCATTAATTTTCAAACTTTTCTTGGAAAATTTACGAATATGCATGGGTTGGATTAATCTCGTACCTATATACGTATTTTAATTGCATGCTTAGATTGAGCATTTCTTCCGTGAAAAAAAAAACTTAGTTATAAGGTAGTTCTGTGATCTTGAGCTTGAAATTTCAATGAGCGCCGTTTATCATCAGGTGAACCGCAACTTCTTGCAAAAAAAATATGACATTATTTGTATTCTATAATTATTAATAGCTTATTAGAAGAATTTTGTAACCTTGAATAAATATATATGTAAAACAAACTTATAAAACTTATATATATATATACAATAATAAATACTTACAATATATTTATATATATATATATATATAACTTAAGGCCAGTAACGTAAATATTTAGTAATATTCTTCGGTAAACGTGGAAAGATTTTGACTGTGGTAGGACCATCACCTCACAGAAGACCGGCGTAAAGTAGAAGTGTCACACTACTGCGTTTCATCTGGTCGGTAAGGGTAGCCGGGGCCTGCTTTATTTAAAGGTGGCAACGCATTTGCAACTCTACGTGTTGCAAATATCCATGGGCAGCGTATTTCACTCAACATCAGGTGAACCACCAGCTCGTTTGCCACTTCCTCACATCAAAAAAAAAAAAGATTCCGTGGCACGGATACATCACACATACGTCGCGAATTGGTTCCAGATCCGGCGCGCCCTCTATCTTCTAACCGCGCATCCGTTAATAACGGGGATATTCTTCTCATCGAAGGACATCCGTTTCAACGAAGCGCGCCGCTTGCGAACGTAACTATTCAAGACGCAGCCGCGGCCGAGTCCGTTAATGCTTTTTAATAACTGCAACTGTCGCTCTAAAACTCCGTTAGCGGTACTCGTTAACGGCCCCATGGAACTGCGGACGTTCTGTGCCGAGGTAGCCACGGACGGATCGTCGAATAAAATGCTAAAACGAAATTCATAGATGCGAACGGATACGGGCGAATCTCTCAAATACCTCGCGGTCGCCTCGAATGATTAATGGCTTCCGATAAAAGTTGTGTTTGTTTCCATTGAACAGTTAAAAGATCACACGTCAACATTTCAATAGTTACGCTTCCAGTGAAGGAAATTTTCTAAGCGTCTTTTGTCAGTAACACTATTTTAAACACAAATTTTAATAACATAAACGATCATACGCAAGCATACATCATAGTGCAATTCTAATTGTTATTTTAGATCACAGAAGAAGATTATGTATGTGATGCTTGTAACAAATTGGCAATAAACACAGGATTATCGAAAGAACCTGTTGCCTCATCCTCCTCTGGCCACAGGTATTTTTTGTCGTTAACAACATAAAAATACATAAATAAATTAAATTTCACAAACACAAGATTCTGAAAGGAAGGATTAAACGCAAAACACGTAATTTACGAGTAGTTTAGCTATAAAATAAGAGAAGACGTTATCACAAAAAAAGTAAAGGTATTAGCGACATCACGATGAAGCCGTAAGCGTAATACGCAAAGTTCCCACGTTGCAAAACGCTAGTTTCGTGTCACAAAATATCATGCCAATGACCATGGTTCCGCATTTTCGCTGCGTGACTTTATAAAGCATCTCGCATTTTTTCTCAGGATGCATCGTCATTAGTCTTTTCTAGTCTTTTCTCTTTTAAAACATTGCTCCTTCTTTAGGATAACATTATCATGTGTTGTAAAGACGATGCGATACAACTATCTGTGGGTCACACAAATAGTTGTCCCGTGTGGAAATCGAACCCACGACCCCCGAAACCGAAGCCGATACCTTGGCAACTGCGCCACGATATCATCCGTGATTGTCTGATTTTTTCGCGTAAAACGGTCACTGCATTATGACGCTATCATTTTGATAATCTAATATACAATATTCTCGTGTCACGGTGTTTGTAATTGAAATCCTCCGAAACGGCTCGACCGATTTTCGGGGTGCCAGGGTGGAGAATCGGACAACATCTATTTTTCATCTCCCTAAATTTAAAAGGGACCCCTAAATATTTTTTTGTTTTTCATATAATTTTTTTTGTTTTTATTATTTTATGATACAGCATACAAAAATACATACTACCCTAAATTTTCACCCCTCTACGCAGACGTAGTCGCGGGCAGCAGCTAGTATACTATAAAAGTACGTGATCCACAGCGCTGATTTTATGCTTATATTTATGCGTCAAAAAAGATCGAAAATCATTGTATACAAAAAAGATCTTTGCCGGTTCTTGCTTAGACTGGTCTAGTAGTGTAGTCGGTGGTCGGTTTACATTCATAACAGCTTGAAATAAGGCGTCATTTTGTGTGGCTTTGACGTTAAGGTAAAATATGATGTTCTCTATCTTAATAGCTTCAAGAGTGACATGAATTCATTAACTTATAGTAAACTTAATACTTATGCGATGGTGATCGATACTAATAGGAAGTCGACGCATCGTTATCAACTTTAAAGCTTTTTTTTATTTATTTCTACTTTATTATCCAATATATATAATATATCCAATTTAAACGATGGGACACTTAACATTCAGGCTCACCTTGAATCATCGGAGCGGTCTTTCGCTGCCTATTTCACCGAAATAAAAAAAGAACACACAAACAGAGCTATTCTACGTGCCGCAAAATTCAGCACTGACGTCACGAAACATGACGGCATAATTCCCAGAGAAAATTGGTCTGGAAAGTTGTGTGCGTCGATTTAGGCCTCTTTTGCCTACTCATACGCCCTCGCGAGGTCTAGGCCGATTTATGTCAGACCCGCACCGAATGAAACTACCACGACGTTTCTCACCCAGGTGTCCATGGGTGGCGGTTATCACTTAACACCAGGTGAAGCGCCAGCTCGCTTGCCACATTCGCACATAGAAGAAAGCTCAAGGCGCGCGTGCGGCGCGTTGACTGGCGGTGACGTCACGAATCACGTCCGAGAGGCGAGGAGGCCGAGCGGCGCGCCCGTCCCCCACTTAATGAGGGGTAGACGACTGCGGCGATGAACCGCCCGGTCCATTTCCCGCATCCGCGCGATAACAGCCGCTCTCCGCTTCCGTCCGCCGGCGCACAAAAACGCAACTACGGCCACGATGGCGGCGACGGAGACGGGCGAGCGCTTCCGTAAAAAAGAGTATCATGAAGTCATCATCCGTAAAAACGTTACTACCAGCACGGGCACCGACGTCCAGTAGTACTTACCGAGGCAATCTCATGGTCGGAGCGAAATAAGAAAGCCATAATATCTGTTTTCTTTAAGAGAGTACGAACGTTGATGTATTATTCTCCCCGTAGTGGCCGGGGTGGTAAATTATTTATCGAGGCATAGGTGTCATATCATATGTCAAATCAACGACAAAAAGTCGTTACTCTTTTGTGGATTAGGATCCTGCTTCCGGTATCACACAAGTTGCAGTTGTTAAACTCATGTTTGATGTTTTTTGCTAAACAGTCAACGCGACTGGACGTTATTGGTAAAAGAGTCTGTGTTATTATTAGAAACGGTGAGGTTTAAACCTTAATTTTTGCGAATTTAAACTATTATCAACCGACTTCAAAAAGGAGGAGGTTCTCAATTCGGTTGTATGGTTTTTTTTTTAATTTTTGTTACCTCAGAATTCCGTCGTTTACGAAACGATCTTTTTGCATTGGGTTCGGTTCAGCTTTCATGTGGTTCCGTATTAATTTTATTTTTATTCGACCTTGGACTCCAGAGACAGAAGAGTGAACTCCTCAAAATCATATCGAAATAAATAATAGAAGAAGATTTCTTTATTGTTACTGAAAAATTAAGTATTGTTTTAAAAATAAAGTAAAAGCCTATATATGTCCCACAGCTGGGTAAAGGCGTCCTCTGTAAAGAGGGTATCAAGGCATAGTCCACTACGCGACCCTACTGATGTTTAGCGGACTGACGTTTAACGGATACACATTTTTGAAATAATTTTTTTGTTGTTATTTCGAAAATATGTAGGTTTCCTTACGATGTTTTCCCTCACCGCCGAGCACGCTAGTCAGCACTCAAATTAACAATTTCATTGGTGCCGGCACCGGGGAACGAACTCAGGTTGCTCGAGTAAATTGAATCAAGGGTGAGTGCTGTGACATTGAGCTATCACGGCACTTAATTAAGGACTTATTTCACTAAAAATTAAATTAGTCATTACACAGTTATTTTTTTAATTTCTCAAAAATCCGTGACGAATGACCAATGATGTCGAGTTTTTAAGAATTTCTTTTTTCTAAAGCGTGACTCTTCCAAAGTCCATTGGGCACGAGTTAAACCGGAACACGTAAATCTAAACTACTTGTTGTTTACTCGATAGTTCGAATTCGCTTACTTGACAGTTCGAATAGCCGCGAAGTCTCAAGTAATATCAGATTGCGTGTCGCCATCCTAGGTCGAAGCCTCGATACTTATTGTGTTGTTTTGTCTTTGTTGTATGATGTTTTCGCGCCAAAGTCAATATTTGACGCTATCAAGTTTTTGACGCTGCGTTCGACAGAGCCCGTCAACATGTTAGTTTCTACGAAATTCTTAACTCCGAACACTTTCCTAAGGTTTGTATGCTATCAGAGAATAAGCTGCGGTTTAATGTTATTAATTATGCTATATTCGCCACAAAAATATATATACCTTTGTAAATATTTGTGCTCGAAATAACGAGACGCAACAAAAACGTATGAAGCCTGTCGGGTTGCGCAACGATCGCCAATTCGCAAGGTGAACGGGCTGACCGTTTACGAATTTTCTTATGCCGATTCAGTTGCAGTTTTTTTAAACCTTACTACATAAATGATACCACACAAGACAGTGTTAACTGAAATAAAGCAATAGCAAAGAAATTGCAGACACGTCTGACAGGTAGCAGATGATTGAAGTAAGTGACAACGGAACGGTCAGATTCGCCAATTACCCTAATTGCATTGAAATTTCAAAATGAAAAACAAAAATCAATATTGTGCGATGTTTTCTAGTATACGGCACGGCGGTATGTCTACAGTATGACAAAATACCTTCATAACCTAGCATCCTTAGTACTTTGTTTAGTCTGGGACTAGATAACGTTGTGTAAATATAGTTCCTGAAACATTATTTTATTATTAACTTAATCACCGCAAGTTAATTGGTATTAAATTGTTACGTTATTTTGTAAATCATTTCACTCGATTCGATCGCATGTCACGGATGTACTTAAGTCTGCCCTCAGGTTGCCACCGTTTATAAATAACCGACTTGCACCCAATTTGATACGCATGCCGTGACTGGTGTAGCAACGGTGGATATATCAGTGAAAGTTGTGCGGATGTGGTATTATTAAATAAAATAAAATAATAAAACAATTTTCAATCACTTCACTTTTTACTGTTCGTTATAATTATGTGTTCGTTAAGAAGTCCAATTTCATAAAGATAACTTTGGATGGTGACGGTAGCTCTCATAATGATTAAAATTATAATTAAAGTTCAAGTTCTAGAACTTTCGTTTTGTAATAAATAGTTTTGTGGCAACAAATCGTTTCGAACTGGAGTGTTTCATTCAAGAGTTATTTATACATGTTAAATGCTTTAACTCCACTCCTACGTAAGGTTTTACTTGAGTGCTTTGAATTTGCTACTGCCTCTTCAATTCCAAAAGCCTGTTCAATCCTTGTTATTTAATCTCCAATCACACCGCCTTTTCAAACTGCATATACCATGGTGGGCGTGCAAATGTCGCCGCCAACAACATATTTTTGTTGGTAACTATCTTTTCAATTGCTTTATTCATTCACAACCAAACTACAAACTTGTAACCTTTCCAAGTTGAAATGCTCGCGGTATCAGTGGTTATACAAATCACAAATTATTGATTGGCACTTCTGGTTACAGGTGTATAATTATAAACATTTGAACCGGATTCAGTGACCTTAATTCCTTAGTTTACAGCACCTTTGTCGGTTACAACTATTAAGGTTTTAACAGAAAACACAGTTCCATACATGTACTAGGGATATTTTTATCGGTTCACAAATCGAAAAACATAATTTATAAATGATTATCTAAATTATGGAAATAAGTATAAAGACGTGTCGACTTCGTTTATTCTTAAGTAGTGGAAACGTTTTATTTGATGTTTAACCTCTTTAATTTCATTTTTATTTTTTTTGTGTTAGCCTTAAGATGGAACTTGCAGGTTCGAATTTTGAAGGCGGCGAAAAATTTTGTCACAGTTTTATCTCTACATATTTTAACTTTTTATTTAATTATTTACTTATAGCATCACTAAACAGAATGTCAACGAAAATATATTTATTAGAGTTAGTTGACATTACGAATACACGTATAGCACAATAGTTATAAATTGATTCAACAACGTAGTTAATAAGTTAAAACATAAATTTAAAACTGCTTTTAATCTCCATTTGAACATTGTCAGATCGTCCACCTTAATTATTCGACACACTAGATTTTTAGCACCAGGGTTATAATCGTGGGGGAGTCGAGACTGTTCTTTCTTAAGTAGGTAACACGACTTATTAAAAATTATTAAAATTAAAGTACTTACAACCGTATGCCAGTTAAAATTAACAATTAATGCAACCGAAGATAAAGGCAATGTCAATTGCTGCAAAATACTACAGAGGGAATTTGGCTGAAAAAGATGGGGATAGAGGAACCCCTCTGCGATTGGTCTAGACAACGATACAAATTGCTTATAAATAGGTTACGAAACATTCATAATTGCGAGCCTGGGTTTGAATTTAGGTCGTTTATATCAGAGGCAGACTATCTTCTAGCTTGTTTAAAATTATCTTGTATTATACATATTATTAGCCGTTCATAAAAGATGTAATGAAATTATAATTTGTTGTTTTTAAGCTAAAATATATATTACTTATTCCTTGAATGCCACTTTTGTGTTGATTCTTTTTGTTGCGTTGCCAACTTTAAAGACGACTAGTTGACGAAAATCTGGTAGTGTAAAAATGGTAGTGTAGAAGTTTTTATCATTAAATAGTAGGTATCTTATTTAGGGGAATAATGTTTTTCACTAGAGTTCGCTGTATTTAATTGAAATCAAATGTTTATTTTTGTAAACAAAAATTCTTTTATGAAAAAATTTACTTTATTCGACTTGCCTATACAGCGTGTCTTTACCACCGCGACAATAAATGAACGCAAGGCTAACTTACTACTTGCCAATAATCATAAAAAATATCAACGTTAAAAAAATCCATAATTAAAAAAATATTACTCAAACAAACTAATTAAGTAAAAAAGAACCAAATTTTGTAACATCCTATACAACTACAACTGACTGATTCATACATTCAGAGACTTTTTCATTCGTTGCCACAGCGCCGCATTACAAGCAACTCCTTCTAACAGTATGTTTTGTCTCTTTTAAATTCATTCAACCCATTCATATGCTTTGTGACCTTTACAAATAAACTTTACATTAAAGTTCTATACGTAAGAGTGTTCTAAAATTCTTTGTTTTGGAAAATTTGATAACTCGGTAAATATTGATGTTTAAAGAATGTAAATCTTAAATACAATTTTAAAAAGTTATCCTCTATATGTGTGTTCATTTATTGTAGCGATGGTAAAGACACGCTGTATGTAGCGGCAATCATAAACCTTAAAATGGCGTTTGAATCATTAAAAGTAAATTAAAGTAACAGCCTATACATACCCCACTTCTGGGCCAGGGCCTCCATTGTACATACGGTATTAGGGCATAGTCTACAATGCGGAATCATAAAATTGGATGAATATTGATGGATGTTATGGTGTACCGAAAAAAAAAAAAGCCTTTGAGAAATAATACATAGAGATGGACCTCGTTCTCTCAAACCCCAAAGGAAATATAATAGTGTAACAGACAGTAGAACAAAGTATTGTACGAATATACATAGGAATGGATGGAATGAAATTTTTTCTCGTCTTCGCGTAGAGCACACTTCGATGGTAAAAATTTTGTGCCGTATGAAGACAAGCGGTAGGGGTTGCTGTTATAATAGCTTCGAGAACTATCCACTATTATAATTTTAATTCTCATATGTTTGCCAACAGATAGTTCAGTATTCGGGAGCTCGTCTTTAATTCTATATACACGAGTAATCTTAGTTTCAATCTCAGTGCCTGCACCAATCAAATTTTAATTTGAAGTAATGACTTATCACGTGCTCTGCGGTGAAGGAAAACATAGTGTGGAAACATGCATGTTTTGAAATAATAACAAAAAAACATTTCGAAGATATGTGAAGTCCGCCTAACGGCTGTGGGGTCGCGTGACAGAGTAAGCTCTTATACCCTCTGTACAGAAGATTTATGTATTTAGTTTGTGTGCTAAGGTTAGATCGCCGTATATTGGCCTACTGCTTGTCATCTTTTGGACTTTTATTGTACGTGGCACTCTCTATGTTAATAACACTATCGTAGGTTAAGCAGGACAGTCTATGGTGCAATAGTTGTTTATCCTGAGATTCTTTCACCGGTTCTTCTCAGGGCTTTTCTTTTCCGAACCGGTGGTGACGTTTTGACAGTCCACGAGTAAGTGCAATGCTTCTATATTTGAATTTGTTCGTAGCTCGTGATGTTTCACGATTGGGCTCGTTTGGAGCAACACGGATATTGCCCGAGTTGGTACCACGACCTCAAAGAAGATCGGTGCAAAGTAGTAGTCTTACACTTCTGCGTTTTGTCTGGTGAGTGAGGTAGCCGGGACCCACGTTATTAAAATATGGCAACGCATTTGCAACTCTAAGGGTGTTGCAAATGCCCATGGGTGGCGGTTATCACTTAAGATCAGGTGAAGCACCACCACCTAGTTTGCCACTTTGTCTCGTAAAAAAAGGTACATCTACAGCATAAATAATGGCTGGCTTGATGAGATATCTGAAACAATTTAAACGTGCTACTTTTAGAAACGTTTCCGTTCTCTTACGGCGCTATTATCGGGAAAATTTCTGTCATGTGGCCGCAAAGCAACATTTGATTCCATTGAAGGTCGCACGTGGCCGAGAATAGCGATTTCTCCACGTGTAACACCCTCTTTTATGGATTACGATTTGGGATTTTTTGTCAGGTTATCGAGTGAATATTTCAAGGAAAACTAATCACTTTATAGAGGGTGGCTTCACCATTTCCTTATCTTTTCGTTTATATATCGTCTAGTGGCTGTATATTAATAAAATCATAATCGAAAAAGTTATATACAGTGCACGAAATAACGATTTGTATTAATACTTACATTACAAGATGAGATTATGTTAAAGATAACCTTTTTTTAATATATCAGACTCCTAATATAGTTTCATAAACTCAGTAATGTATCATTTTTGTTGATCGTCAGTTTCAGAGGACAGAATAATTATGTATGGAAGTATTTTGGACAAACAAATAAATAATGAAGTAATAAATACTGTTATTGTTCCAGTTATTTGCTGTGGCCGCCACGAAAGTATGCGAAAAGATGAAAAACGAACAATTTGTCTTTTATTCTACAGCTGACTTTGGTAACATGTCAATATTGTTTGGTGTGGCGCAGGTAAGCAGCTGCAAATTCTGTGATTGATAGGAAACAAGTAGAGTTATTCAGTAGGTTTGGTTTTAAAGTTACAAATAAATGGAAAAAATTCACTTTCAGGTGAGGAGTTTAATTCTCGTGTCTCGATTGTTACGCATGATTAAACCCATTATTGACGCAAGCTCCGTCAATGAATATCACAATCGTGTCCAATAAATACATTTGGGACCAGGAGACAGGTTAAAATGACGGCGAAGAAATTGTGCAAACGACACGTACGGGCCTTGACTGAAAATGACAGGTTTTTAGATGCGATTAAGATCATTAACATACTTAACTACACATTTGAGTAAAATAACCCTCCCAAGTTTTAACAAAGTATTTGTCTATAAAATTATTGTCAAATAATATAATTTTAGTAGTAAGTAGTTTATTTTAAAGAAACACGCCATACAACGAGATAATAATTGTTAACACATATTGCGGTATAAAAAAATCAAATAGAGCATTTCGTTTTGTTTCTCCCGTGTCCTATATCTTTGACGATCGTGTATATTCACTGTTATTCTCGTCCAAATTGCTTTCCAATCCGGACAGACTTACACGTGGATACAATTTCGTAGCGATTTAACTGTGGGATTAAGATGGAGACTACGTTATAAATATTCCAAGTAGGCAGATAAGTTTTCTTATATAAAAATGGTAAAAGGAAAATGGAGAAATGAGTTTGATGAAAAGTCAACTTTATAAGTAAGTAAAAGTATTACGTTCGTATTCGATTTGAGTATATTTAAAAATAAACGATAAAGAAGTAATATACACAAAATAATAATATAATGTACAATGATATTGAATAAATAAATGGGGCTAATTTAATAAAATCGAGAATTAAATTCAGATTTGGGCTGACGTTTACAATTAACCGTCTTGACTTTTGGTAGTTAATAAAATTTTAACCGTCTCAACTGCTACTTTACCTTTTAATTATTCATTACAATTATCATGGAATGATTATTTATTCATGAACAGGCTAACCAACTAAACACATACAAATCATTTAGGTAAGATCATACTAAAGTTAAATAGTAACCGTAAATATTTATTTATATGAAAGGTAAACACCACATTAATATCTTGTCTTACAATTAGTTCTTAGGTACAGAAACCTACTTACTAGACAATGAAAGAAAGAAAAAGAAAAAACAAAATTCAAACAACATGTAAGAAAATGACGAAATATCACGGCTATGATTTATGCAAATTATTTTTAAATTGAGGGTAATTTTTATTAATAACATTCTCAGCGTCGGAAAATATATCAAGATATAACCCCTTGATGCCCACCGACGTAGAGGCCATCGGGGCCAAATCGGTGTTTCGTAATAACATACGCCGAGAGAGATCGCCGAGGGGCAAAATTCTTAACCGGATATCTGACTTCCACGTAAAGAACAATGTCGCGTTCAACACAAGAACACAAATGCAGCTGGCCAACAATGGAGATGAGTGCGCGTGCTCATCTTTTTGTCCTTCGCCCTTAAATGAAGAAGAAAGAAGGCTTGGAAAAAAATATACCACTCGAGTCTCGAGTGCTCTATAACTCGCATTGTCCGAGACACAATAAAGACAATGCGCACTCGTCCGAAGGGATGATACTTTCTTATCACTTGCGTTCTGTGAATTTTTATGAATGGTGTTACCTTTCGAAGGCATCTTGCGGTATGATTTAATAAGGTGTACGGACTGATCTTTTTTGTTTACATTTGCGCTTTCAGTCCGTAGACTGCGAAAAGCTAAGCTTCATGGGGCAACGGACTGGCAGGCTTAACACGAGCTAGTACTTACTGATTGCGCAATGTAAACCGATTGGTTAACCTAGAAGTTACTCTTACATTCTGTAACGAATTTAAAATTAAATAAAAGATTACTATTTTCATCATCTTAGATCTTATCAATAAATAATTAGCGAAGGAATTGGTCTAGAAATTTTATATGACGTGAAAATTTTAGAGCGGAGTTGTGGAATCTTCAAATCCTGCATACGTCGCCATGGGTTAACTTAACGCACTGTAAATACACAATAAGCCTTACGATATTCGAATTTAGTCTATGTCCAGTCCATGTATGTTAGTCCATCCGGTTGTATTAAACAACACGATTGAAATTCTGTAATGTAAATTCAAATTCTCTAATGTAATGCAAATTAAAAACGTTTATAAGCATGTATAAGGAAGGATTCTGGACATTATGAAGTTTATTTGTAAGGGTAATGCATTATGGCAACTTTCTTTTAATGTTTTTTCAGCATTACAAACGAGAAGACGTTAAAAGCTTATTATAAAAAGTATCAAAATTCAATTCAGAATCTAGGATAGTCCAACGCTCTTAAAGTCGTGTGCCAAAAACGGGACCGCAACAAAACATCTTTCTCTGATATTATTCATAAAGCATAATAATGTTATAATCATAAAGCTACCACTGTGTGTCTGTAACTGTAGAAGTATAAAACAGTTGTATAATAGATACGATTTATAAAGGCGATTCGCTTAAAAGTCCGATCGTGGCCATTCACAATAGATCATAGTTAAAATGCGATGGCAAAGTGCGAAGCGATCACTTATGCGACGGACATACGCCGTTGAGGTTGAGAACGGGCGACCACGTGTCGCGCGGAGAAAAATGCATATGGCCGGTGCTAAGGTGGGCTTAGCTGCCCACGTACATACATTTCCCGATAAACATAACTCGATACAAAACAACACATACACGAGGCGTCGACTCAAGGTAGGTATCTATAGTAAGACAGCGACCGTCCATTCATTCATAAGAAGCGGTCCATTCATGCGGGCGCGAGCCTAGTGAATGGGAGCGAAAGAGACGGAGCGCGGGTAAGGTCGCGTTACAATAGCGACATTTTGAATTCACATGAATGGTGATGTTGAAATCCTGTTCTACGAAATGTCGTATGACAGCGCTTTGTTTTATAACAATCGAATACAGGGAGTTGCGGATATCTTGTTAAGCGATTTAGGCGTTTTGGTGGCGATTGGCATATACTTGTACTAAGTTGTGGGGCGGGTATTTTTAAGTATTTTATATTTATTTATTTCTTATTTATTCTAAATTATGACACTATACTTAAGCTTTACTAGGTAATACATGAGCAACCACAAAATAATCTTAATATTAATATCACCTTACTGGATTACATGTTTTAATTACGTAAAAAATATTTTAACTAATAAAAGCCTTTTTAAATATAGCGTTTTAAACAACGTAATAACATCTTTAATATATAAGGAATTGTATTTGAATAACCATTTGTGCCGTATGTGCATGTAGCCTTACACCTGAGCAACAAGGTTGTGTAAAAAACACCATCGGTAGGAAGTCAACCCGAGCATACCTAAGCAGTCTTGATCCTTTTATTACATCTTATAATGAAGAAAAATGTCCTTCATTTTTTATTACTTTGAAACACATTGTACGCTTATTCAGTAATCGCTTGCATTAATATAGTTGTAATACTTTCAGATAAATCGCGCGCCTTCTATTTCTATGGCAAATTGATCATTCATGGGAGTACCAACTTAAAAAATTAAATGCAGTGTTACGGCAACACCAAACGAGATCGGCGCCCCCAGAGGCACCCAATTTCTGCCTCGTCACTTACAACTCCAACGGCTTAAGTGCAACAAATTAGCAAGTTATTAAATAATTTACGAGCGACCTATTTTTCATTGCTACATCTACTTCGTTACAAAATTTGGTCCTTCGAGCCGGATACGAAACCAGCGACCTATGGATTTTTAAGGTTTTTAAGTTCAATTACAAACATAAAACGAATAAATTATAAAAACGTATCGAAATATCTAACTTTACTACATAGTATAAAACAAAGTCATCCCGCTATCTGTCTGTCCCTATGTATGCTTAGATCTTTAAAATTACGCAAGGGATGTTGATGCGGTTTTTATACTAGAAAGAGTGATTCAGGAGGAAGATTTATATGTATAATACATTGCACCCGTGCGAAGCCGGAGCGGGTTGCTAGTTAGGGTATAAATTAATAAACAGTCTGGTAACGAGCTTGTGCGTTTGGTGTTACCGCAATGAATCGACGATGAGAGTAATTTCGAGCACGATTGATAAAAAAGCGACAAGTATCAAGACGCGCGGGCCGCGATCAGAGGTGGTTATACCGAGCGTAGGCTAGGTCGTACCTGCTTCGGCGCGACCGTCGCCAGTCCGAGTTAGCCCGACACGACGACACGTCTCCTCGCGGGGCGCGCACGATCATTCCCATAAACGAAGCGCGTGTCGTGCATCGCCACTGCCTCGGGCGTAGGGCGGCGCGGTGTTGCGTCCGTATGTCTGCAGACATGAGAGTGTTCGCCGCGATGCTGCTGGCGTCGGTGCTAGGCGGCGTGCGGCCCGCGATACGGACGCCCCTGGAGGCGTTCCGGCCCTCGGGCGAGATACACCTGAGGAGGCCGGACAAGCTGCCCGTGCCGCCGCACAGGAGGACCGCGATGCAGCCGAAGAGCGGACTCAGGATTTTGTATCAGATCGGGGTGAGTGCGTCGTGTCCTTAAGAGGACCTTTCCGCATTAACGGCCGCTTTGAGATGTCTGCGACTGAACGTGTTCTATCGTTATTTTCGACGCGCTATTAGTATTTTATGTTGCGAGCGAAAAAGCATTTGAAAATGATGCGCGCCGACTTTCAATGTGCGCTGCACTATCGTTACCGGTGCAGAGATTTGGCGCCAAATACTTTCGTTGCATGTTGGCACTGAAACGCGTTATTGATCCGTGTCTAGAACGGCGTGTGGAGAATAAGCTCACTTATGTTGTAATTTCTGTGTTGTACATAAACTACGGAGCAGCTTGGGTCGTGACCACACGGGCACGAATAGAGCGTTCAGTGCGGGATAAGTACGGCCGTATGGACTTCTACTTAATCGAAATTGTAATTTAAATTTATTCGCCGCGATCCAAGTGCGGAGAGAACCGTAAGCCGCTTCTCAAGTCCAGCTTTCTTTGTAATTAAAAATGTGTTTAAAACTCGTTACATATCTGTGTCGCATATTTGTTTAATTTTCATGTTAAGGTCTCGCCCGGCAAGAATTTTTAAGTGGAAATGCAATATAATGTATAAAGGACTTGAAGCTGTTCGGTTTAAGACAGAATTGCTATGTTATTATATAACTTGCATTCGTCCATGTGAACTTATATATGTTTGAAAGAATATATAAACTATTAATATTATAAATTTACAGCATTATTTTAGCATATTTTATTTTTTTATTAAAATTTAAGCAATTCACTTTCTGGAATGTATAAAATCATTGAATATTTTTAATCTTACATTCATAGAAATAAGAAATGTTTTATTACATATTTATGAGTCTCACAATTATTAAACAGTTTAATTGGATTCAATTCTAAGTTATAGAAACTTCAGCAACAGCCTTATACTTAAGTCGATATCCACATCCAACGGCGCCTTCTCGAAATCACAACCCACAAATATAAGTTCACGAAAAACTTACCGAGTTTAGATTAGTTAATTATGCTAGCTTTTTTTTTAACATAAAATAAGTTTTTTAAAGTCCATAAAAATAAATGTAAAACAATCTTATGATTTGGTAAGGGAAGCTTACCTTGATTTATATTAAGTGGTAATTACATCGTGCCTTTAAGGCGAGCCCTAAAACTTTGTTATTGCATAAATCATAATATTTAAGGTCAACGGAGTGATTAAATTCGTCTCGGATTCGTATTTCCAAAAGTGTTTCGTAATTGCTAATGCGTTTGGTTTTGACGTTGTACCTACTTTTTTTGATTGTAGTATAGTTTTTCGTTTCACTCACACCTGTTTTAGATGTGTATATTCCGCAATAATTGCATCGAGGTCCTTCACTATTGAACAACTAAAGATTGTAAGTTTCCCGTCACAGCTTAAAAAGCATCCTTAATCGAATTATTTTCCCTGATTTAAATCGAACCCCGAAAGACCGAACAGATTAAAGCCGATCGCGACGTTCACGCGAGAGTGGCTTGCGGAGCGCTACGTTAGTCGTTCGAAAATCGACCCTGCTCCATGAACTGAGGAACGAAATTCGTGGTTCGCGGTGAGATGCAATAAGTGCGTTGTTTCGTTGTTACCGCGCTGGACGCGTAGGCGCGTAACACCGGTAGCGGGCAGGTGTTCACTCGCTCATTCTTATCTTGACAGCTCCGATGACATACGGCCGGGCCCCGGCACGGCCCGTGTCTTACTACTATTTGGTTGGGAAAAAAAAAACTGTTTTATGTCGCCGTTTTCAAACCAATTCGTAACGGTTCGACGTTTTTTCTGGTGGCTTGTCTCTTCAAGGAATCCACTTTTACGAGCTCCGCCTAAGACGGCTTACGATTTATCTACGGACGCTTTAAAAAATTACACATCTATTTATATGATTAATTTTGTCAAATTGACGGGAGACGTGTACGTGTGTGTAAAACGCCTTTATTTACTTTTATCGTACGATTTGTAAATCTTAAGAACTCTAAAGTTTTGGACGAAGTAAACTCAGATAAGTAAACTTATGAACTAAATCAGAAATAATTCTGTCCAGAAATATCAATAGCCATTTAATTACCTATCAACTCTTACTTGATATAGTTCTTGTCACACCTGACATACATTTCAGATAGAGATTTTTGAACATAACAACTAGTATACTTAAGAAAAAAATACATAGCCATGGCATTAAAAAAATTAAATAACTTAAAAATGAGTATCGTTTAAAGTGTATCATATAATATAAAAACCTTTTGGACCATTATATTTTATCGCCTATGCGCTTTGGGACATACTTATTGAGCTATTTAGAACGCCTGTACGCCAACGGATTCCAGGGTCGTAGGGTGCTCAATAGAATAATAGAGTGGCAATTTGCAATCACACGCTTCGTTGTTTTAAGGGGCCAATTTGATAAAGCGATTTGGCGTCGCGCGAGAAGACAACATATTTTAATATGCTCATTGAACGGTGGGGCACTGAATTGCTTATAGCTTTGAATCCGTAGCTTCTTACAGTAACCTGTACGAATAGAGACTCGTCTGGGGAAGTCTGGTCGTCTCGAATTTCATACTTTTGCGTTTCACCCGTAAAGTACGGTATCCAGGCCTCACTCTTCTGCACAGGTTTTCTAGACGTCCAAGCACGCTCATGTGAACCGCTAACCGGTATGCCACCATCTCACAAGAAAAATATATAAAAACAGGCCAAGTGCGAGTCGGAACCGCGCACGAAAGATTCCGATTACCCACAAAAATGGCAAAAAATTGTTGTTATAGCGGCAACAGAAATACATTATCTGTGAAAATTTCAACTGTCAAACAATTACGGTTCATGAGATACAGCCTTCTGACACACGGACTGACAGACCGACAGCGGAGTCTTAGTAATATGGTCCCATTTTACCCTTTGTGTGTGGAACCCTAATGAGTACTTTGTTTGGTTTGCGCTAGTAAATCTGTTACGCTCGAGTGTTAACCTATGAGCGAAGGTTGAACGAATTCCCTTCTAAGAATCCCAAAATTCTCAGAACGATTTCGCCGTTTCGATCACGTTTGGTTTTCGGACGGTTGATAGTCCGGAGCCGTTTCTCCGCAGTTTCGTTTCTAAGACGAACGGCGTGATACCTCAGGGCGAAAGTAAACTGTCACGTGCACGTATTAACGAGGCGTAAATATCCGATAGGAAGGCGGGAACGGATACATGCGTCCGCGGCGGACGTAACGGGAGACCACATCGTCCAGTGCCGGCCGGTTGGCTTAAGAGTAAACAAGAGTTAAATAAACTACGAGAGAAAATGTGTGTGTTCGTTCGCTTTTATCGCTAGCTTGCTTTTGAGGGCTTTGTGACGCAAAAGGTAGAGACAGTACAATTGTGGGATCATTTTGTAGTTGGGTTGTCACACATCAATATGCGGAAACCAATTTTATCAGGATTGTTATCTTGTACAGTGTCTGTACCTTAATGCAATTTAAAGATAGGGCCTTTTATAGCACACATCACGCGCGTAACCCTATTTTCGCATTTCGGGTAATCAAGAATATAAAACAAGAAAAATTGCTTAAAATAACAGTAATATTGGAAATTGTGGTTATATTATAAAGAAACAAGAATAAGTAACATTAAAAAAGACTACACATATTTGAGATGCCAATGCTCTATCATATCCTCTGTTCATCTACGCGATAAAAAGCCTCGATTATGATATATCATAGTATCATAGTAGTTTAAAAACTACAGATATATAGAATAGGTTTTCATGTGCGTATGCGTATAAACATTTCTATCGACGTATCAAACCTCCGACAGATATACTTGCACTCAATAGACAACAGCCCATCGCGTACAGACGGGTAGAGACACTTGAAACTCGTATTGTCGACGGGCAATGGAATTGGGTACTGGCATCCGTCTCAAAGGGGGGGCCACGTGCGCCATGAATGGAGCACTCCGGATGCTCCGAGATACAATGGAGACAAGATGGAGACGAACGGGCGTCTTCTAAACGTACCGACATCAAGCATTGCCCCATACTTATAGATACTCTTCGCGATGTTCACCAGATATTTTAAGTACAACTAAGTCCATAGTTATGATGGGAAAGCCTAGTGAAATATAATTTTGTTAGGATGCATTTAGAGTTTGCGTTTTTTTTAATGTTACTAATGCCAGAAATAAGGTTTCCGGTAACATTCTTCGGACATTGGCTCACAAATTTGCTTTTCATTATTATAAGAGCGTCTAAGATGATCTCATTGATCTTTCTGAATCATTTAATATTCCACTGCCATGAGTTATATCACTTAAACCAAAGTTGTTGAGTATATATAAAACTGTATACTCACTGAACTCAAAAAACAATTATGGTTTCATTGCCCGCATTGCATATCATCTTACAATTCCAGTGAATCAAGTGTGCGCAATTCATACTTAATATTATAAATGCGAAAGTAACTCTGTCTGTCTGTCTCGCTTTCACGTCAAAACTACTGAACCGATTTAAATGAAATTTGGTACACAGATAGTCTAGAGCCTGAGAAAGGACATAGGCTATTTTTTAATTGTAAAATATTGTTGTAAAAGGTTGAAAATATCTTTCTTTTAAAATATATTTAGTTTTTAAAGGGATTCAACGCGAGCGAAACGGCGGGCGAAAAACTAGTGAATTATATATTCCAGTAAAACGTTAAAAAAACACTAAACCTAAAACATTATTTGTAAAATTCGAAACTGGTGTCCCGTATAATGACAAAATATCAAAGATATATTTACATGTTCTACAAATGTAAAACGTTAAACACCAAATATTTAAAAAAATTATGCTTCAATAATCGAAGACAAATATTTGATTCAGATATATTTTTCATTACAAAAAAATCGGAAATAATTTGAATCACAGTAGCGAACGTGTATTGTATTATAAATATAAAGAGCGTTGAAATCTTTTGTATGAGACATCTCTCTCTTTGTAGCTTCAGTCACCAGTAGGTAAATAATTTTCTTTACTAACACTCGTTTCATAGTAAATATATCTAATTGTATTATCAGGATTGATCACTGATGGATATCAAAGTATTATACGATTGTAATACAGTAAAAAAAAACGAAAGACCACCAAACACAAGACAAGAAAATCGTTTCCCCAATGGAACTTATAATTACAGTTGTAATAAATAACATACAGCCTCCGGCGATAAGAAAATTACGTAGATCTGTAATTTATTCTCGGCTACCTGTGTTCCTATGAATGAAAGGCCAGCCCGCAGCATCCGGCCGACATCCGTCGCTGTGGGCGCTCTCGGCTTGAGTTTCGGTTTCGAGTTATTTAGAACAAATAGCTCCTATGTTTTTTTACACCGATAATTGCGGAGTAGAGTTTGGTCAAAATGATCGCCATATATTTTTCGATCGTAAAGAGTTAATTTATTATAAAGTTAATGCACGCTTTTTTATTGCGCTACAATGAAAAGTTTTCTTGTATTTATGTGAATTTCACACATAATTCGAGCGTTTTTTTAATAACTAAACTGTTTCTGTGACCCATAGATGGTTATTTCGTATCTGGATGTTTGTCCACGTGAAATATACAACACAGGATAATGTTATATTAAGGCCAAGGTATTTAAAAAAAATACACTAAATGAAAATGTTCTTCTTAATTCATGTATTTTGAATCCGTTAATTCATTAATACGTGTGTGTTAAATTGAATTCGCGTAATGACGAAATCCGCGACGACGATGTTGACGAAACCTCAGGCGGTGGACAGGAAACGGTGGGAAATCGGATACATCACTATCGGTGTACGCGACAATGGCAAAATGTGCTGCATACAAGTATTTAATAGTTTTGAAACAATAATCTAGTGTATCTGTATTGTTGTTTAACTTACGCAGCGTTTGTTACTTCACCGTTAGGAATGGTGTTTAATATACGCGAAAATGGAGGACCGATAACGATTAACGATCGGATTAAGAAAGGATATTTTATGAGTATATAATTATAAAGTGTGAAATTTTTAAGATATATTTATATAGTTATTTAGGTAAAATCGACCCATGCAACAATAAAGATACGATGCTCAATTTGGTCCAGCACCAAAATAAGCGAATGAACATAAATGTAAGTAATTGTGATTGGGTAATAATTGTTAAGGGTAAATAATTGTTAATACAACTGCTGCTATGATTGAATTTTGATTATTTCTTTGATTCGATTTGATTGAATGATCATTATGGTGTGTAATTTAGCCACCAACGTTTAAATACGTTTCGAAATAAACACTAAGACTAAGTAACAAACTGTAATAAACTGTAACAAGTTTGTAGAGTTAAGTTCACATAGTGATAAAAATTAGGCCCTATATATAAGACTAATTTTCTGAAAACTATGTGACAACGCTGACAGCACGAAATCAAGAATTATTTTCAGATTGTTTTAAAGTTAACTGCTACTATGGTCTGTCTAGGTTAGAAAACAGTATGTGATTATTAAGTAGGTACAAAACAAACAGTATCGTACGGCCAAGATGTGTACTAAAATTCCGTGACGCCGACCTTGCAGTTGAGACCTTTCACAATGTTATTTGAGACCTCTTATAGTAGTAACTTGAAGGTTGCGTGTAGGCAGCAGTTAGTTGTAGTGATGAAACATAACCGAAACTTAAAATTGGATTTTTAAAAATTACAAGACTTAACTGAAACAAAGACTTATGTGGAACATATTTTATTTTTACAACATGCCGCTAAGCGATGCCTGGTTCGACTGAATCGAAGACCAAAACTTGAACCGGCCCGCACTTGTCGTGCCGACCTCAGGCCGATATGAATGGACCGCGCAGAGAAGGTTGCTTAAGGTCAACTGGGCGCGAATCGCGAACAATTTCATTGGTGGGCGCGGCGATGAGCGCGCGCCACCACCTGTCCGCAACACCGGATGTCGTGCCTGATCTCGCTCTCCCCACCTACTCACCTCAGAGAAGGGGGTATGAGGGGTCGGCGGGGAGGGATGGGGAGGGAGGGGGACGCCGAAAAGCCGCTCCCAAAGCGCTCCATCTCCCCCCAGGAATCGGACGAACGTGGACGTCCCTAATGTCGTCGCCTCCGTTCTTTCTTTGCAATCACGGGGCCGCGAAAAACATCACCTCCTCGGGCGCAATTCGAACGTTTGACGTTTAGGCGATTCGCCAAAACCCGTTCCGGCTCCGCGAAGGGATCGCCGCCTAACGGATCGCGGATTTATGTAAATCGTTGACCGCACCGAGATGTCTCTCAATGGTAAAAACTACCGTTTTCATCGGTTCAACCAATAACTGTATGTCAATAAGATGAAGGTTTTAAAGGACTGTTAAGAAATTTTAAGCACCGTTCGTTGATTGAACTTTTGTTTAATAGCGTCTTGGATTCTTGGCGCGGCGTTGAACAAAGTTGAACGCTTCCCAAAGTATGTACATAAACAAACTCTATGTTTACACGACATCGGCTTGGCCGAGTTGTTTGTTTGCTTCACAAAAGGGCAGTATATCCGTCCGTTGAAAGGTCTCGAACTGGTTTCCGCGAAATCTGTCCTAAAGAATGAGAATTAGGAAGCGTATCCGGAAAAAAAAACGATATTTACATAAAAAAAATCGATCGTCAACCGAAATTGGAGTTTGAAAATTTACAAGTAAATGCTTAATTACTAGTACATTAGTTTTAGAGGAGATAATTTCACTACAACTCTAAACATATGGAGACGTAAATGATGTTGGGCTTGCAGCCACGTTGTTTCGAGGGATTTAAATTATCGTTTCATATTAAAAATTCTTTATTGGTTATGTTTTTTTATTCTGATACCCATTGTTATTGTGTTAATAGTCAATAACAAAAGCTGTAACCTTGTTATTATATAACTAACTTGCTTCAATTTTGCACGTGTGACGACATTAATTTACCTTATATTACGTTATTGCAGGTAACTTGACAAGTAGGGAATATAAACATACACTCATATAATTAAAGGTTGAGTACTTATGTCGTCCTATAATTTACAAACGGTTGATGTAATTAACGGTTGCTTAGAAACCGTCACAAACGTCTACTTCTCGGTTTTATCCCCCCAACGTAATACACAAATATTGAAGTTCTAAATTAAATACTGACTTCTGTTTGAACAAAATTAATGTATTCATTATTCAGAAACTTGTCAGCGCTTGACTGCCATCCCACCTGATGTAAGTAGTGATGCAGGCGTTGATTGTGAGCACGCTAGCTCAGTAAAAACTTATCCGCCTTGAAGACGCCTACTTTATAATTCAGAACAGGTTCAGCAGTATTACACTTATATAATTGGATGGATTACTTAAATCGACATAATACATACGAGTATATAACAGCCAACAAAATTGTATATAGATATATATGAATCCACAAAACCTTTCCGCACGAAGTGGAACACACACACACACACGCATCACTGTACTTCACGGATTGAAAATCAAAATTACGTTAACATCTGTCGAGCGCAAAAGGGAGCGGGGAGAGAATGTTGCAGAAAAAATTTTCCCACAGCTAGCAGGTTGCCAAATGGCGCGTCTTCCGGTCGGAAGTGCGGCCGATGGGCGGTGTCTTGAACGAAATGAAAAAAAAAAAACTTGAATGGATTTGGAACGCACATGCTGTTTCCGTGTAGAGTCCACCGTACGGACCATTATGACGTCCTTATGAAGAGACTCATTGTAATGTCTCCTCGTGTGGTTTCCGAAGCGGGTGGCTGATTTTATTTCACCGCTTCCCACGGGCTGAGCTTTCCCGATTACAGATATGTACCTTGCAACGAAGTATTACGTGTATAATTTTACTGCCGCGGCGAATTACGAGACGCCCGACGTTGAATAAATATGGATGCGTGCTGAATTACGATTGGAACGAATCGATTACGAATGCAAGGCGATATTGGGCAGTTCCGCGTAATCTGTGCATTCGTTATACATTGTGCACGACTTGTTTCTGTTTGTATCTAATGGCTCTGCACGTATTATCGGCAAACGGTGATGATGCTTTGCTTTAAAATATCCGGAGATAATTGAGACTTGTTATTCAATAAATTCCCATTATCGTTATTAACTTTAAATGTTTTCTAGCGGCTGTGCGTGCGATAGCTTTGCTATTCAAGGGAATGTAAAATTATTAGAGACCTTTCCTTTATTAAAATAACAGTGACGAAAGGGTTAATGTGATTAATTTGAGAGACGATTTTATTTACTAATTAAACCAAAATTTATCGATTTTTGGAAATTATACTTGGTTAAATTATACTCGTTTGGGAAATGACAAAATTCACTCACTTTTCCCAAACGCGCGACACTTAACAAGTGACACTAACTTCACATTGCTGTCATGGTAACCAATAAAAACTTTTGGTCTTTTACCTGTAACTCCATATTGTTTATTAAAATTTGTAGAAGATTATTTAATTAAATCGTTATCGATTCAATTTAACGTCTTTTTGTCAGTCTTTTTTTTTACAGGGGATGAATTTTCAGTTTGTTCATCTTTTGTTACGCTAAAAAAGTAGGAACTCCTTACGTGCGTGCATGTGTACACAGAAAATTTTGTTTTACATTACATTACAGCAATTACTTATTTAAACGATGCTTTGATTCTAGATGACTGAAGAAGACCTACCGGACTGCCGGGCGAGGCAGGTGTGCAGCAAGGTAGATCTATACGACGCGACTCAACCTTGGATCGAGAGGAAGTGTCGTTGTTTGGGACATAAGCCGTGTTCCAGGTGAGAAATGAATCTATATTCTTTATTAAAGTAGCGCCTCTGTGGATGGGTATTAGGGGGTCAAAGGGTTATAGGGCAGTCTACCACGCAAACCCACTGCGTATTGGCGGATTTCACATATTTTCGCATTATATATTTTATTGTTATTATTTCGAATGTTTCTTCAGGTTTCTTCACGATGTTTTCCTTCAACGCGGAGCACGTGATAAGTCAGCTTTTAAAATTAACAATTTTAGTGGTGCCGGCACCGAGAATTAAACTCAGGCTGCTCGAGTACAATGAGCTATCATGGCCCTCATTTTTATTAAAATTTGTAAAAAAAATATTTATATCTTATTAGCTATTTTTATTACTCATCGAACATACATCCAGTGGAAGTAATTAATTTCAAACTGTTCTAGAATTAGATGACTACAGCAATTTATACTTTTTACCTTATACTTTCAGCGATCTATCTGGAGAAGACAATCATACGTTGTCGGACAAGACGACACTATACAAGACGTGTGAGCCGATAAAGAGATTGCCTAAGTGCCGCTATTTCAAAGACGCCGCCTGGACTATATACTCGTTCCCGGACACGAATGCGACGCAGCAGATCGTCAATTGCCACTGCCCGAAAGCCTCTATGACGTATCTGCTGAAGAAACTGTCGTATACGACACCTAGCGGGGAACTCGGGAACCAGTACCAGTTCGCCTGCTCGCCCCAAAGCGTGAGTCTCCGTTTAACTTCATTAGTTCAGAATTGCGTCGCTGTGTGGCGCTAGAGTTAAATTTCAATTCTATCTCTAAGCGCAACATGCGTTCATTGATTTTTAAAAAATGAAACCATTGTTGGGATTGTGTGACGTTTAGTTCAAGTGGAAGTTACCGAAATTTCGTAGTCTGTGCTGATACCGGAAAAGCTATAATATATTTGAAAAGTCATAAAGTAAATTAAACCAAATTAATTATTATTATTTAATTTAGTTTAATCTGAGAAGTATCCGTCACATTAAAATATTTTCAGACGTATTTTGACGCAATTTATAATACAAGGGTTGACGAAACTTGAGGTACTTTAGGCGAACAATACATGGACGCAAAACTGTAAATCCTTTAATGCACCAAAGACTTGTTATCCGAGTAAAATATTAAAATCCGCAAAAATTGCTTTATTTAATATTTAATATTCGCGTAAACTCAAGAAGAGAAGTTTGGGAGTTAATTTACGTAAGAATTTATTTCACGTTTCCGTGTGCTCAACCAGCAACGCAATCGCCAGGCCATGTGAGTGATCGTTCGCAATGAACTTGCAGAGGCTGCGGTGCTCGAGGAAGGAGCCGTGCAAGCTGTTCAGCGTGCGGCGGAGGCACGAGCAGATTGACGAGGTGAACGCCAGCACCATCTGCCAGTGCCCCAGGGACCACACGTGCCCCAGGCACCACACGGAGCCAGGCGTGCTGCCCGGGGTCACGTACGCCGCCGAGGACATCCGCACTTACCACGGCTACTGCATGCCGGACCCGAGCCTGGACACCTACAGGTTCGTGGGCGACAAGGACTGAGCCCACACACGACACGGACACGATTACGCCACGAACGACACCGATGTGATGCGACCCTAATGAGGTGTACTTAAAACGTACGTCACTCTCGCGTTTCGACGTGTTATAGTTACGGTAACGTTGTCGACGCCATGTTCTCGTCGCTGGTTTGCGCACAGTTTGCGACACTCCTCTCATCGCCTGTTTAGTACAAATATATTTTTTGCGTTGTATGAAAGGTAACGGAAAAATATTGTGTATACTAATAATTATACTATATCAGATATCTTATGTAGGATATTAAATGATATCGATGCTTATGAACAGACTGCAAATAAATACTGTTCTGTACATAATGTCTTAATAAAACAACGTTGTAAGAGAACCATGATGAATTATAGCTATTTATATACACTAATAATGGTCGTTTCGATTTCTTTGAAAATACACCATATGTAATGCATGGCGGTGTTAGATATTTCCCTTGCTATTAATAACTTTGTCAATAGAATTATGCCCTTAAAAATTTTCGAAATAAGCATGTAAAATGACCGCATTGATATCCACATTTTGAACTGTTCCTAAGAGACATTAATGAAGATTAAGTGATAAACGTCAATTAATAATGCAAATATTGTAAATACCGTAGTATAGAACTTGGTATATATCGTATAGCATATTGTTTTTGTTGTATCGTGTAAATATTATCTGTAAAAAGACCATTCCATACTTTAGTGTAAATTGTTTTATACTTATTTTTTTGTTTCATAACTTGCCATAATTCTGTAGTTCGATGCATTTGCCGAGTCTTCCATTAAAGAAAGAGACCAAGTCATGACTTTTCAATAATGTTTTGTTTGATGAGATAATATTATGAAAATAAATTTTGTATGTTAACATCGAGAGATAGAGCCATAAATTATGAAAGTTATATTTGAATAAATTATTGTATTAATATAGATCTTTGCAGCATTTATATTTTGATTCCATTCGATTCTAATAAAACATTGCTAAAGAATTGGAATATTAAAAAAAAATGTAAATTGATAATATTAGTATGCCTAATAAACAAGTATTTATAACAGAAAGCTTTATCGCACTTTACGCTTGATGAATATTTGAAAAACAGGTTTATCATGTAATGTATGTAAATATTAAAAAAATGTTGATTTGTTTGCGGTACGTCTTCCTTGTTTTATGTTTAAGTATAGTTTAAGTTAAATTATTGAGAAAATTCAAATAAACGTTTTAAAATAGTTTTTTTTATTTGATTTGAAACAAAACAAAACACAATTCGTTTATTGTTTTTATTGTCTCGTTTACGGTTGGCAATAAAGTAATCACATCTGTTAGGTTTAAGCCAAATAATAGGATTGCATACGTATATCGGGCTGGGGAAATTATATGAAAATATTTATTAGTTTAAAAATTAATTGAAAATTAATTGTCAAACAAGACAAAACGAGGCTATACAAAGACAAATTTTCATAAGAAATAAATAAAAAGCTAGGCTTGAACGGAGCATCTAAAATAATCCAAGTATATTAATAGATAGTTATAAAATAACATTGCGCTAAATTTAGTTTCTTTTTATTATCAACACTGTGTATTTATAACCTTAGTATTATTATTTTTTGTTTTATACAAATATACTATTACAAGATAATAAAAAACAAGTTTTCGAAATCACTAAAATGTGGAAATAATTAAAAGTTAAAAAAAAACTCTTTTGAAGATAACCGAAGATAGTAGAAAATAATTTTCAATAAATTTAAATCATGAATAGTATGATTAACAAAAAAATTTGTAGAAAAGCGCGTGGTGCTTGCAGTCTATTGCTATAATATTTTAATAACAGTATATAATAATAATGAAAATATCTTAAAAGCACCCCACGTTTTTCTGCAATAAGAAAAATATTTGTTAATAACACTATTCATAATTTAAATTTATTGAAAATTATTTTCCCGTTTTGTAGATAACCGAACTAAACTAATTCAGTTAGGTTATCTAGAAATAAAAACACACAAAGTATATTCAGCAGTTTTTCTTTGTGCATTTATTTGTGTATGACAAAAATTGTAACACCTTTCTAAGATTTAACTGCGTACACACGATCGCATGCACGCCCGAACGCACGAAAACGCACATAATATATTGATCCAACCGTGCAGTCAAAAGGACTTTAGGGATAATTATGTTTTGGACTTCTACAACGCGATAGAATCTATTGTTGTTATTGTCCAACTCACAAAAAGGGGGCAACGGCCAGAGTGCAAGTTGTCATCATTAAAAATACAATTGCGACGTCATCCAATTACGTTCAGCCATTGGGCGAGAGACCCACGGCGTGGCCAATCATTGATTGCAGAATAATAACTCAGAAATGATTCCAGAAAAGCTCCCACAAGTCCCGTTAACATCGGTTAGGGATGAAGTGCTTTGAAAAAGGTGTGAAGAAGCGAATCAAAGACTTCCGCAGCCTGATTGGATCAGCGTTATCTAGAGGTTGTGCTGCTCCTGTTAGTTGAGGATATTTTTAATAAAGTATATCAAAATTCGACGACAGAAGGGCATGTCATTTGTGGGTTTAAAATAATGCAATTTGAATGAGGAAAAAAGGCCGTTTCCAATAAGATAGGACCTCAGATCTATAGGTCCAATTATATTTTGCTGACTATTCTATTACTAACAATTTCATAATAAAGGCTTTAGTACGGAATTGGACAGGCAAAATCATTTTGATTACCATTGTGACAATACTCACATCGCTCTTGATATATCCTGTATTTTTTTTCTTTAATTTTTTTAAATATAAACAGAACAATATATTTATAATATCAATTTTATTTCAGTCAGTAAAAATAGCAACTTTTTAATGAATATTACAGTAAGGTACAAATTAAGTGTAATATGAAACCTAATATTTTGTTAAGAATGAAGATAACAACTAATTTGAACGAGTATATGTTGTAAAAGTTTCAAAACATTTTAATCCAAAAGTTATTTTTAGGATCATCACTTCATAGCATGAGACAAAGTCGTCCTGCTGTCTGTCTGTCCCTATGTATGCTTAGATCTTTAAAACTACGCAACGGATCTTGATGCGGTCGCCAGTTACGAGTATATGTTTGTGGCAAGCAAATGTCACCTACTGGCATTTTTATATGGCAAGGGCGACTTGTTTTTATATAATTTTTATACATTTTATTTGAATAAAACAAATAGACAAACAGGCAAAGGAAAATCAGAACAAAAACATTCAATATCCGGCGCCGGTGAATCGATATCATTCAACAGTTAAAAATCATAACAAGTTTTAAATAAAATGAATATTCCAAATACATTATAATAATGACTCTCTAAAATTATGGATCATGGTATCAATGTTCGGCGTCATTCTCACTTTATAGGACTGCATATTATAGAATTATCTGGGATTCCGATTGTTTCGTTGAATTTATTATCTTTTTCAGTACATTGGCTTTAAGTGATGTGTGATAAAAAGCTAACCCATAAAACAGTTAAATTTTGCAACACATCAAAATGTATCGAGACATCAAACTCCGGTAAACCACGATATTATTTTGTTCGCAATATTTTTTGCGTGGATTAATATCAAATAAAAATGACTCTCGATGACTGGTATCTTCATATATGTATATGATAGTCCAGCACAACCTAGTATTGTATTGAAGTAATTATTAAATGCAGTAATCACTGAAGCTAAATTTTATACTAACATTTAGAAAATAAGATGTTGCGAACAAACCTGTTAGATATTAGTGTAGAAATGTATTTCAGAAAGTATTACATCAATCAACTGAGAATTTTAATAGATTAATGGCTACGTGTGAAATGAAAAATATATATAATATACATATAATGTAAAATATATAACTAATATGTATTGCAGTTAAAAATTAAAAATACATTTTCCAATAAAATAATCTTTGTAGACGATAGTTGTTTAAAAAAAGAAAAATTGAAACAGAAATATTGAGGCACTATTTGCCTTTCTTCCTACTGTCTAAAAGTTTCCAGGATAAAAAAAGTACTACAACGTGCAAGTGAACTACATAATAATTAGTTTTCGTTCTAAAACGTGGCAGAAGAGAAACACGTGTATTTAATATTGTGTAATTCCACTGAAGATAATGTCCGTTCCTTCCTTTTGAATAATGGACTTTACGATTATTAAAACGTCATTAGCGGTAAACGCAACCTCGTAAGAACATCTTGAAATATGATTCCCTTAGACTATCCTTGGAAACGGCAAATGACGAAGGGAAATAATACTATCCCGCCTTTGCACTGTGGAACGCGGAACTCGCGCCGACGTATTAGCTGTCTGTCATATACAGGCACTAGAGATAAGTATAACATTTAAGTCATAATGATCCTTCGCTACCCAAACCTGTAGTTATTACGTATTATGCTGATAAGTATCGCGTATTACGGTACTTGGTGGATTATTTTTCTAAAATAAGATAAGAAATTTTAAATTCATAAGATTTCGTAGATGCAGTAAGATTCATTTAATGGTAAATTAAATTTTAATCGACATAGACACGATTTGTATATTCTGATGTTTTTTTTTAATAATGCGATTATTTGACGACCTACTTTTTACATATAGAAAGAATTAAACGTGGTGACCACAACAAATAACAAAACTAATGTTTATGAACCCCCAAAAAGAAATTAGAGTTCCTAATAAAGCCCAGACAGCTCAGTGACCGGGCGTTCGTTTTTTATTCAATATACTTGCGCAACCTGAGTTGAAATCCCGGTGCTGACAGCAATCAAATTGTTAATTGCTACTTTAAATGCTACTTTATGCCGCGCTCATTTTTGAAGGGAAACATCGTTAGTAAGCCTTATATTTTCAAAATTGTAATAAAATATATTTCGAAGATATGTGAAGTCTATGAATATCTTATCTTATAACCATAAAGGTTAAAAGTCTGAAATGTATCATATACATAACAAATATATATATATATGATGTATAATATAAACTTATATACAAATAAATTTACTTTAGCAAAACATTTGTCCTTAGGCTTATAATCTCTTAAGGCACCTTAAGAGTGATTCATGGGTGGTCTCTAATGATATCCTGTAGTAAATTGTGAAAGCACAGATAATGTCACGCCACAAGCTTCTTCCATAAAACGACGGCCGGAGTAAGGAAATATTGAACATTACAAAAGATAATAGCCAACTTACCTACATTATACATACAGAATATGTAGGATAAAAATTAATTTTAAACAGCATATTTATTTATTTATTTTGCAACTAATAGCGATGAAAGTAGCGATGTATTAAAAAGGAATAGAATCGAAAAAAAAATCTTTTATCCCGCTTCATAGAACTAACGTGAAAATCATGACTTTAAACTACAAACTTGGAACGGCACATTGATTTCATGATGGATACATTTTTTTTGTCTGTATCAGAATTAAACCTACGACACAAAGCATAATGGCAGCTGTGCGAAGCCACTTTAACCATTAGGCTATAGAGGCTTATTAGATATTATAGTAGAATAGACGGGAGTGTTATTCAAAACGTCGAATGAAGCAACGAAATAATTGTTTTTTTTACGTTAGTCAAATTCTTTCCTTTAAAATTTACTCCACAATTACCTGTCTTGGAACTTAATTCCTTAATGCGCTTAGCGGAAATCAATTGCAGCGACAATTCAGAGACATAAAAACGGCGAATTTCCGAATTGGCTCGAAAGCGATAACAGCTGTACTCTATAAAGCCTAACTGTAACGATCGGTGTGGTCGCCGATGGAGACCTAGATATGGTGACACTTAAAACAATGTTAAGAAAACTGTTACTTAAGGTTGGTCACGAATCTTTTAAAACAATAAATGTGATCTAAAACCGATGTCGTACTTGAAAAAAATAATAGCTCTTTATCATTACATAAATATTCATTTATATGAAAGGTGCGTTAGTAATTTCTTTCTATCAAGATGTAGATTAATTCTAGTCGATAACGGGTACTGAGATGTAATCCATATAACTCATCTCGTATTATAAGTGTGCATTATTTTATAATACATTACTAGTGCAACTTACGCCAATTTTATCCCTTGAATACAAGCTGCAAGTCGAAGTCGGATACTGACACCTAATTATGTACGTTCTTAATAATAATTCTTAAAATAAATGCAGCACTTAGGCGGAAGACGACGGAAGATTTTCCGTATTTTAGTAAAACGAGAAATATTTATCTTCTAACGGTGAAGTAGTCACAAAGTCTTTCTTAATTAAGCGTTTAATGATAAAACGCTTTTCATGTAATTCAATCTGAAATATGCATAATAAATAAGCTGAAGTTCTATGACGTACTTCTTGATTTAACGGTACGCATTTATATTGTAAATGTGACGAATCATTTCGTAAATATGTTTTTACATGTCCTTTCAACAATATTCTTAATTAGCATGTGGCCGCAGATTTGATATATTGACATATAAATAATTGGAAGTATTTCGAGAGTGACGATCGCTTTTATAATTCAATAAATTTGATTTCGAATAAATCCCTGTGCCGGCACCATGATAGTATGATTAGATTAAGATTTATCACATGCTCATCGGTGAAGACAAACATTCATATTTTTTGAAATAACAGACATTAAAAAAAGTATTTAGATTACACTTGAAGTCTGCCAATGCGCGGTGGGGTTGCGTAGTGGACTATGGCCTATTATCCTCTTGAGGAGGCTTCGGCCCAGCAGTGGCCCAGTTATATACATTAATGAAGATTCAAAGTTGTTGATCGTTTCTAAAAAAGTTTGAAAATGGAATAAAAAAACTAAAATAACAAGCGAAGCCTCAGCGATATGAGATGAGCGTTCCGAGTGTGTCCCATCATTATGTGATTGAGTATTGTTTGTTGTATCTAATGACGCTAGGTTAAAACAAAATAACAGGTAAGATTCAAAAAGGATCATGAGACAATTATCCTGCACTTGTTTAATGCTATCATCAACCATCGTCGTTACGTTTCTTTAGAAATCACTAAATCGTAAGTGGAAGCGCGAAGACTAACACATTTCTTTTAATTTCAAATAATTAATTGAAATTTTAATCAATCACTACCATCATCGTCTCTATCATCCTTATAAACGGTCTGTGGCAGTGAATTCTTGGACATAGTCCTCTTCTGAAGCAAACCATGGCCCATTCCTTGCTAAATCGTCGCCATATCCGGCTTAATATATTCTGTCCCTTGGAGGGAGGACGGGACTACGTGAATTTTGTTCCCCAGGGCCCTTTAGATAGCAAAGATCATAGTGATAGTGGAGTTTGTTTTAATGCAACGGTGACCCTTTTTAAAGAGCCTGAGCTCATCGTGAACTCAGTACATTGCCTTCTACTGGGACAACTCAGAACCTTTCGGTGTTGATATTCTCCGTTTACTCAATTGGAGAAACGGGACCTCTCACCTGATTACCAGTGAACCCAAAATTCCTTTTTAAAAGATTTGAAAGGATAGGGATGACTCATCGCTATTTTTAACCGACTTCAAAAGGAGGAGGTTCTCAATTCCAGTGTATTTTTTTTTTGTTACCTCAGAACTTTTGACTGAGTGAACCGATTTTGATGATTCTTTTTTTTATTTGAAAGCTGGTGCTTCCCATGTGATCCCAAATAATTTCATTGGTATTTGATCTTGGGATCAGGATATACCTACTTAGGAAACACCTGAAAATCAACTACAAAATTAATACAGAGCGATATATTTGAAGTCAGTTTTGTTTTTCGTTAGTTAAAAAAATGGCTCGTGTTTTCCCGCGACTTAGGTCGCCTGCATGTCTACTGCAGGCGTAGTCAATTTTGAGCGGCACTCGACCAGGCCGTTCGCGAATATCAATCGAGCTGTATAGCGGTTAACATATAGGCGGAGCTGCTGCGGCGACGCGTCGAATTTAAAACGGCCCTGCTACGACGTCCGCGGTGTAGAAAGTGAGTTGGCTGCTTCATGCAAATCAAACGGATCTTAACGGAGAACACGTCGAAATCGTAATGTATCCAATTGGTCCATATAAAACGGGTCAATGTGTTACCCGCGGTTGTTCACGGAGACCCCGTCGCTCGTGGAGAAAACGAAAAGTGGTCAGCCGAGCGAAATACGTCGATTACTGAACAAGGCGATAGTGTTCACGTAATGGTTTAACGTACGAGCCTAGATTTTATTTCAAGTAGCTTTTAAGTTTGACAATTAGCTTTTGAGATTCTGACGATTATTGCTTTATATTGAAAGCAATAGATCGTTATTATTTTTAATGCTTCTTTAAAGTTCCACTTTTGGTGTAAAGTAGGTTTTTGCTATACTTGTTAGACGTTTTAAGTAACTCCAACATGGAGTTTTTCCAAGTTCTAATTAATATTTCAACATTTAAAGATGATTTGATTTGATTTTCTAATAGTAAGAAATAGCCATCCGTGGTGGATGACAGCAGTTATGTGTAGGAACTTCTCGTGAAGCGTTTATAAACTGAAATATTAAAAAAAAAATAAACATTAGTGGTTCAGAAAATATTTCTCTATGTTAGAAAAATATAAGCGATGTCTGCTCTTACCATTATCAGTTCTGATATTTGTCCGTTTTAATTTCAAAATAACGGTAAAATAAAAAAAAAAACGTAGAAACTTTTACTGCCTCATCTGAAATATTTTCAATTAAAAAAGCATTCGGAATTTCAATGAGAATGTTTGTCGAGTAGATTGTAATGGTGAATAACGATAGAATTTCTTATGCGGATTTACTGAATATTAAGTCTGCTATAAATAGAGCGTGTAAAAGTGATCTGCCCACGAATATTACACGGTTTGCGGTGGATCATAGCGTTATTCTTAACAAATTTCTAGTGACAAACGTGCATCAAGGTTTACGTTCAACGGATTTCATCGTCCGTGATTGAATAGCGGTAAACGGTAGAGCGACCAGGGAAATATGGAGCGGCCAAATAAATTCAAATGAACATTGTGCGCGAGCGAACCCGACGAAATTTCTCATTAGCGGCTCGGACTTGACATGATTATGAATAGATTATTTTGGCATGCTATCGGGGCAAATACAAGTCAAAGACAAGGCGACTAGGATAAGGCGACAACATAGCTTCCGTATCGAAGAAAGCGGTGAGCTGTGAGGTCGGGCCCGTGCATCGTGATGGGACAACGTACTTTCCTTTCCGGCGGGGTCCCGGCGGCGCGTAGGGCGGGAAAGACTGCGATGGCGGCCCGAGATGCGGCGCTGCGCTCTAGCAGTTCCGCTCGAAACGCCGCCGCGGACGCACGCGCACGCGGTGCCATGAACCGACTACTGCTGCCCGTACTCGCGCTAGCCGCCCTGGCACCGCTCGCCGCCGCCGATGGCGACCGCCCGCGCATCCTAGACTTCGACCCGTGGTCGTGGCTGCCGAGCAACGGCAACCGGTCACCGTCCGTTATGGACTTCTTCTTCCCCCCGTCCAGGACGCCGAAGAACTCCAACCTGGACCCGCCCGCCGATCGCTCGCCACCAAAGACCACGCTCACAACTGCCTCCGAAACTCTAACCACCCCCTACCGGGAACGTCCCACAACCGTAGCCCGGAAATCCGGAGCCAAGTCGAAGTCGACCGCGCCTCCGCCGCCCCACACGACCGCGTACTCGAAAACGAAAAAGGGCACACACAAAACTTACGACACCGACACCAACGCGGAACCAAAAACAACGCAGCCCGTCAAAAACGTAGAGAGCGCTGCGCAGGCTACGACCAAAGCGGCCGCTACGACGTCGACTAGCAGACCGACGAAGCACTACACGATTAGGCCGCTGATACGCACCACTGCGACCTCGACGGTCGTCGAAACGGAATCGACTCTCGACACCAACAGCGACGGCACCGAGACGGCGGTCGCCATAGAAACGGCGGCGACCACCGCCCAAGATCATAAAGGCACGGGCCCCACGTTCAGCACGACCGATTCCAGGCCCACGGACCAAGAGTCGGCGAGCACTTCGACCGAGTCAACGACGTTGATAGACAGCACGATCGCCGAAGAACCCGACAGCCGCGAAGGGTATTTGCCTCTGCGCGACAAACCGCAGCAGACGCACGTGAAGATCAACGAGCAGACGAAGAAAGAGGTGAGTGCATTCAAGTAATGTGTCATTTTTAAGGGAAAAAAATTAAAAGTAACATTGAAATACTATACATTTTTAATATTTTCTTATATATAATATATTAATCAATTTATTTATTTATCACAAAACTGCAGGAAACAAAATAAATTATATAATAAAATATTCTGATTTATAATAAAAAAATATTATTCAATATTGATAAGGTCGATGAGATGTGAAAGGAGACGGTTCTATTACCTATATCCCTAAGAGCCACAATTCATACAAAAGCACCTTTCGGGTTTTCTATAGCGATGTTTGGTTTCCTTATTCAACGCTCATTATTCAAACTTCAAACGTGAAACGTCTCAAAACAACAAAAGCGGAAAATTTCTATTTTGAAAAGCATTTGTCATAAGCTCCATTATTTATGTATGATACAAAAACTTTAGTAACAATGAACTCCATTAAGCTGGACTGAAGCAAAAAACTAAGCAATTATCGGGTTAAATCGCCGACATTCAGCCGTTAAACTCATTTGCAAGTTACTTTATAGTACGGAAAAAAAGTACGACGATGTGAAAGAAATAATAATTTCCTACATCGAGGGCTAGCTTGATAGATTGCGTAGGCAAGTTCAGTTCGTATTATGAAAATTAAACTCATTCTAACAACACAAAAGAAAAGCATTTGTGTATTAGGGACATTTTAAGATATTTTATTGTACATTTATTACTCGATATAATACTAAGAATAACCAATTTCCATATTAAACGAAACTAGTTTACGGATTTTATCGTGTTTTGAGATTCCAGACGTTTCGAACCCTTTCAAGAAGTCAATAACCAATTTCCGTTGGTTGACTGTAGACATAAGTAAATCGGACCCAATCTGTATCTAAATATTTATTTATAACAAATCGAAAACTTAAAATTGATAGTGTCCAAAGTAATCGGACAGTAAAACTTAAAACAAATACCTCATTGCAATTATGTAGGAATACTTCATTTCCTACACTTTCACCGATAAGCATATCTTATTTGATACAATGTAAAATACGTTTTCTCGAATCTCGAGACAATTCGCATATAAGTGCTGACTCACAAATGCGTTTATAAAATTTAGTCATACTCGTCAAACTTAGACAGATTAGCTTTTCTCAATGATTTATGTGAATGTTTGTATGTAAAATTATATTCCCATTAATTTAAAAACGTGTATCCATATAGAGAGTAAAATAAAATGATGGAAACTTAATATTTCGATAGCATTTTTTCATATTTTTTATCATATTTTACACGTATTCTTGTTTTCGCATAAAAGTTTTTGTATTCCGTTATTTCTATCAGGGATAAGGTCATATATAAGTATATATGACATACGATATAAGTATAGCGTAATATGGTATTTCTACATTAATATGGAATTGATGGAAAAAAAGGAAAATTATAGATTCCTTTATAAGGGTACGGGCTAATCTCTTATATAATAGAGGCCTGTAAGCCTTTTTGGGCTAAGTCCAGAAACTTATTATATTTTAATACCGAGCCTACAACATTTTTATATTTTACATAACAGTTTATATAAGAGATATATTATGTTTACTATAAACTGTAATAAAATAAATAATTTACATACATATTAATAGGAGAAGACAGAACTTTGTACTCCTTTTTAAGTGTATTACGCGCACGGGCTAAGATTTGTGGAGAGCAAAAGTTTAAATATTTTTTTTAATTTTATTCTATAAATGTCGAACGAGTGACAGTCTGGTCAAATTGACGCATAGGCTACATACAGATTGTCACCGGAGCATTATAAACGTCAAAATGACTCGACCTGTCAATTTGACGTTTATAAAGCCCACTTATTTACGATACAAAAAAAAAGAACATTTTGTTACTATTCGCATACCATAAAACTTTCAACGGTAGAAAATGGACTGCGGGGAACAGCAGAATAAAAAATAACACAGCAACAATTTCAACAGCCTCAAGCGCTTAATGATTCCAAAAACGTTGATTCCGAAGACGTCGCGGAACGAAGAGTAATCGTAGCTTAACCACTCGTTACTTTCGCGGGGTGTTCGTATCGGGGGAATGATCGAAACGATATCGATCGCGTCTAATTAATCAGTACGCATTATTGTTAGAAAGTCGACGGTGGTATCAGTATTGCGGATTCGAAGAGAAAGGGGAATAGTACCTAAGGTAATCTAAGATCTAGGTTAGAACAGCCGCAATCAGAAATTGAAGTGGGATTTAAAGTATTTTATGACACCACGATCTAAGGGACTATAACAGTATAAGTAATTACTGCATTATTGTAATCGTAATTTGCTATCATATTAAATGCAGTTATTCATCAAATGCCCTTTTATTATTACTGTACAAGAGGTTAAAGGAAACTCTTGAATTGCGTGTAATTTTCGTTTTATTTGTCGACGTTTTTCTTTCTTAGCACTTGGTTTAATATTATATTAGGACAAATGATCTTACAATTATAATCTTATCGAAGTATCAATGAAAAAATTCACACACACTTTCTATTCTCTATATAAATCTCCTCCAACTTACAATCTTCTCAACTTTTATTTAATCTCCTCCAACTCTTATATTGCTCAAATAGTTCAATTGTTCGAGCTACAAAAGCCTTGTATTTCACGTCGATACAAAATTTCAATATTATCAAGGTGCTGCTGAAATCAGACTATGAAAGAATAGAGGGCAAATAAAATTTCCGTCAATCATCAGTACTGACGGTTGTCTAATTTCCTAAGAAAATAAAAGACGCATAGAGCAGTCATCAAAAGTTTTTTACTACAGCTAATGTATACCTAAAGGTCTATTTGGGACTTTAGTGACTCACATTGAAAAATGCATAGCAATAAATGAATGCGCAGCGAGTAGCTTTCATTTTTTTCCTATAACGTAACATTTCGAATACAACTATTGTTCAACGGCCGAGTCAAATTGCTTTTATAATTTCCTGTAATTGAGTATAAGGCCCACATCTGTAGTTTCTTTTTTCGTCTTAGGTTATTAAAAGCTATTTGTAACATATCTCACTTTCACGAGCTCATCTCAATCGTGCGCAATTTTCCGTGCACAGGTATTAATTTAACAAGATCATGTGAAACTGACAACTCGTCTGTGTCCGATACGTGTTCGTCTGTGTCTATAGGCCAGGACAAAGCTGTAAATTCAAATACACACCTGTCATGCTTCTGCTTTCAATGTCGGTAAGTTATATGTGAAGAAAGAAACTTAAAATACGTTCCGAGTTATTGGTCCTAAAACGTACTGGTAGAATTACAGCGGCTCGAGATGTGCTCTTTGTAAAATACTCCATGCAGAATAATAGCCCATTTGAGACCAGGAGATTCTAAACATATTTGCTTCGTGAAAGCTCGTATTCGGGACGGCAATTAAATCAATATTGAACAATATCTATAGTCTGTGCATATTTCAGAAAGTAAGTTCTTATAGTTGTGTTGTATTTGTCGTTAAATTGAGTCGTTAAACGGTCGACACTGATAGAACGAATCGAGTCATAAATAATGTTTTATATTATCAAAAGCGTGTTCGCGAAGAGAAACCACGGAATAGTTTGTACTCTACGGAACAAAACAAAATTTAGTATTTTTTTTGCCATTACAATTGATATAACAAGGGAAAGTAGAATGAAGTATGACGAGTGTACGACAAGTTTCCGTGCTGCATTGTGATTCGTGTTCGTTCAATCTGCGACAACCTGCCCGAAGTTCCCGATCGTACTTTCAAGGTCTGATGCTATTGCAAAGATTATATAAACACATCAGTCAACCAGTTCTGGCTTCGTAATATTTAATAACAGATTAAACATTCCGTAACGTAATAACAACATTAAAATTAAAATGCCTGGAAAGCTTTCATTTTCTTAAACAAAATGTAAAGAATCACGCAATTGTATTTTGAAAATATGTGTGATAACAGCAATAAAATAACGAAGTAAGTAAAGTCAAATATTAGGGAAAGGATTTCTCGGAAAAATATGATAAATTAATGTATTATCAGTTAATATGAGGAACGTAATGGTTCATAGTGACTGGTTCTTACGACGTTCTTCAAACTTCCGACGTCAGGAAACGGGTTCGAGTCCCGGCGCTGTGCGTCTAGGTTTTTTTCGCTTTTGGGAAATGATATGACTACTAGCTATATCTCTCAGTTATAGCTCAAGTTTATATATTTATTTAAAGTAATCATCTTTTTTTACCTTAGCAGAGCGCAGCAATGTATTTTAATGATCATTAGTTGAATTAATGCCGTAAACATGTGGTAATGACTCTTGCTCTGCACTTGCAAGTCCTCTGACTGCTGCTGTTATACTTAACAAATTTTGTATTAATTACTATATAAAAGTGGAGGAGGAGGATTCTTAATTCATTAAAAAAAGGAAATAAGAAGATCGCAGAGTTTCTTACCGGAAGAATCTCGGGATAGGTTTAAGTTAAGAGCTTAAAAAACTCGTATATTGAAGAAAGTAATTTTGACCTTGACTTCAACTTTGAAATTACAAACATTGTGTGATCCCAATACTAGAAGCCTATTATTAAACGATAGTGCATTTATGATATTTACCTTTCAATCTCATTGATAAAACGAAGAATAGTTTTGAAATACGGTGGTACCATACGATGGTAGGCCCACGCAGCAGCTTCGGCTGTTGCACGAATGGGCAGGCCCGTCCGGGTAAGTACCACGACCTCACAGAAGATCAGCGTAAAGTGGAAGTATGACAAATACTTTCGCGTTTCGACTGGTGAGTGAGGTAGCCGGAGCCCAATTTTCAAAAGGTTGTCAACGCATCTGTAACCCTCGGGTGTGGCAGATGTCCATGGGCGGCGGTATTCACTTAACATCAGGTGAACCGTCTGCTCGTTTGACAACTTTTCGCATAAAAAAAAAAAAAGAAATTATACTAGGGGATTATAATACCCCAAGTAACCGCATCTCGCAGTTCTTTGCGCCCGTTTGATTAACGGTACTCCTGTCTAAGCTAATTGGAAATTACTTTCAAACAAGACCGTGTAATAGGCCGCAGCGTCCAAACGGATGCGACCACGCCAATTAGGATCGCGACGACATCTTCAACAATGACGAGCAGGTTGAAGTGGTCCTATGCACTGGATGAATAATTATAGCTCCGTAACGAGTCAATCTACTTGTTGCCAAGCTTGTTACGTTCGAAACGCAACGATTGTCGGTTGTATTTTTTTAAACCGCAAATCCGAGTCAAAAAGGCAATTACAAAAGGCATTCTTAAAGGGCAAATGTAACAATTTGTCCGATATAAAGACTATTTAAAGGGGACACAGACAAAGGTAGTTGACGGAATAATTTGTTAAATATAAAGACTTGAAAAGCTTAATGATTATTTTATAATTTCATTCCGAAGTTCACATTTTGAATTAGCCTTAAAATTCTAACTTATAAAATTTACACAGAATTTGCGTATCCATTAGCATACATAGTTTGTTGGTTTAGTTAATGTGCGAATCTCCAGCGTGTTGTGGATCGATTCACGCGGAAAAAAGTTGTATGAAATAGAAAAAATTATTTCCACTTTATTATTACACTTCAGTATATTGGTCTGTGCCATTTTTATACATAACCCACCTCTACTATATTTTAATCAGGTCACAAAAAGCGGCGATATTAATTTCTTGAAACGTTACAGTTTTCACTAAAAACTTCTTGTTATGATCGAGTCCTTAGTTAGGATTCAAATGTTACATTTGAAACCACAATATTATTTAATGGTAGGCAAAGACAAGAAAACATAACATGTCAAATAGTCAGACATTTCCCATCTTGACTGACAAATATTAAGATGTATAAATGGAAAAATAACATATCTACATGTAAATAAATGAAAGCTTAATGTTACTTAAGCCGAAACGTTATGAAAAAATAGTAATAATAATAATAATTTAAAAAGAAATTGCAATTCTAACTAAATTAAAGAATAATTTAAAAGAATAGTATATTACATAGAGAATACACCAGTTGTTGATAGTTAAGGAATTTTGGTAATTATAAAGTAAATAAAGACATATACATAACGTTGTAAAAGAGCTTGAAATCACATATTTCAGATGGGACGCTTCTTATAAAGTTCGAGTTAAGACAAACCTATGATAAGTGAACTAATAAAAGTGTGGGACTGTATTCCCAAGTTTTTGGTCATGATTGAAAATCAGCGTTGCAACATTCTGCTGAGTGATGTCCTTTTTGGCATGAACCACGACGTACTATAATCAAAAGGGAAACATATACATTGTTTATCTCCATTTTTTATTTTTTATTTAATATTTATTGTTTAAAATGAGTGTTGTTTACTTCAGTTTGTTTTGTGTCGAATAAATCTCTTTCTTTCTTTCTGTTAAATGACTGCATCAATGAACTGAATGAGCCCATCTCTACCGTATCGGTAAGCACGTCTTAAATCGAAACTAGTGGACAGCAAACTGTTGTTTAAATTGCGCTTCATTGATCGCAAAGCACATAAACAAATTAGGCATAGCACGAAAGCGAGTCCAACGAGTTGATTTATAATAGAAAGTGTACGAAATCCGTTATTCTCCATCGGTATGTGTTCGTTAAACCAAATTTCGGACAGCGTAAAGGAATTCCAGTGAAAAATACCGTCGAATAGCTTTCCAATCCAGGTGATGAAATAGGCATGTTTTGCACGAGTTTTCGACATGGTTTTTCATCTATTTACCGTAAAGCTCTCTTTGTTTTCCTTCGCACCACAGACGTTAGGTCGTGAGCTCAAACTTTCAACTTAATTTTTTTCATAAATAAATAAACATTCATAGTCACATGTTTTTTGTAAGAAGATGGCCCTACAGTAATGAGACTATATAACAATTTTTACACAACGTTAACTAAGTCCAAAGAAAAGTTAGTACTATTGGCACTAGGTAAATGATAAACGTAATTAAAAATACGTTTCTTTCGTAAACAAACACATATTATAAATATATGAACGCAGACACTGAAAAATCGCTAACTTCATCGCATAGTTCATTCATCCAGTTGCGGGGAACGAACTTATACCCTCTGGTGTTAGCAATAAATTCACAATCGGGTGTTGTAAGATACGATAAACCTGCGTTGTAAAGGCGTCTCTCAAACACAAATTAAACAAGGACAAGTCCCCAGATCTTGAATCAGCGGCAATCGAACCCACGATCCGCAGCGTTAAATTCTATTATTTAACAACTACGTCGACCGAGTATCAAAATCCATCACTACAGTTATTCGTATCCCTTCCCTAGTTGCGCGCGTGTGTTGTGAGTGGAGTTTAAGTACCTTAATGTCTTTATATACGGCAATAAGGTACGTGTTGTGCTGTAAGTGGCAGTAACGGTGAACTGCCCGACGACATCATGCGATCGCGGGGCGATTTAGATATTGTGGTTTACGGCGTCAGCGGTGGCTTAACCGTGGCGAACGAGGTTCCGCGTTATTTTACATAATCATATTGGAGTTACTCGCAACTTCCCGACCCGCTCGTGAAGAAAGACAAGTGTATACTAGCTAGTCCTTACTTCCTTACTAATATTATTAAGGCGAAAGTTTGTAAGTATGGATGGATGTTTGTTACTCTTTCACACAAAAACTACTGAATAGATTTTAATGAAACTACAATAATATAGCTTATACATCAGAATAACACATAGGCTATAATATATAAAGATATTGTGTGAATTGTCCAACATATAGGTAATGATAATTGTCAACTAAGGACTGCATAATAAAAAGCTCATTGTTTACTCCCTTTGGCCGCGCGGGTGAAGCCGCGATAACAGCTAGTTCATTATAAGGATCTGAATGTGCAGATTTCACATGAAAGATATAGTGTGCATGACATAGCTCGGCACAGCATATTTGTTATGTCTCATGTCCTGCCCGCAATGTAGAGATATCTTTTTGGGACATCGCGAATTTCACTGTAATATCACCTTTTACGTCTTTAGAAAGTAGCTGTGTGGGTTAATTGCGACAATGATTTTGCGGCTTCCCTTAAGGAGATGTTTTATTGCTTGCTTGCTAATTTCTACAATGATGTCACCTTCTGAGTGTGTTGGTCTGCTGCACCTCTTGTTCGTGATGTTTGTTAATCGAGTGTTCTCAAATAAAACAAGATAACAACCTATACATATGTCCCACTGCTGGGCAAAAGCCCGTATGGAGAGTATTACGAGTAGGGCATAGTCCACAACGCGACGCCTCAGCGGATTGGCTGATTTCACATGTTTTGATTTTTTTTCGAAACTTTCAGGTTTCCTTACGATGTTCACCTTCACCACTGAGCACGTGATAAGTCAGCACCTAAAATTGCCGGGATTTGAACTCGGGAATTAAAAGCAAACTCGTGTCTTGCTATATGGTTAGCTAACGCGGCCACTATTCGTATGTTTAATTTGAGCGTATTTCTTAACCTTCATTTCCGTACAAATTTGCCTTTGCGGTAAACCTTTAAGCTGTATTCTAAAGTTCTGCTCTCCGTTCATGGGAAACATACCGCCATTGTTGCGGAGCGTTCGAAATTTAGAGTGAAATCTAATGGTGACTTACGGAGATGAGTTGCTGAAAACGTTGGTGCAAACGAGCTTGTATGGGACAATTATATAGTATTATAGATAGAAACGAGAGCCGGGAAAGGTGCACCATTGTCGGAGCGAACGGACAAACGAAACCGCACGTCATCTGACACAATGTAGCTTATGTCATAACGCAACGAATCCGTCTCCGTGGACACGTAATACGCGTCAATATTAATGATAGCCCCGGGCGAAAGTTTATAAAAGTCTGACCTCTCTTTTGGCGTACGTATTAATCGAAAGTGAAATGAACTACGACCGTCGGTTTTGAATGGGCTTTGGTGTTAATAGCGTGCGCTTCGGAGCGGCGTTTAACATGCAATGGTTTTAAAATACAGTAATTATAAACTCGGAACGAGGTTATAATAACAAAATATTTTTCAAAATCGAGTAATTCTGCGAATTGCAAACACGTACAGAAGAATTATATATATATATATATATATATATATATATAAAGATATGTAGATATACTACCAAGAAATATAAAATGTTTTAGCTATGAAATTAGCATACATCCGATATCAATAAAAACTTTCAAAAACCAATCCATAGTTTCATTAAAAAAGTTTATATATTTGTTTGGTGTATGACGAAATTAATTATTTAAAAAACCTTTATTCTGTATTGTGCTGGCTACTGACTAATGTACAATATAGCATTTAATACCCCAGTATATCTTAATTCTTGATAACTTTATGTTGTATTACATTTGAAGTAGTTTCTGTATATTTTTGAATGTTCGTCAGCTGAACTACATGGGCAACAACAGAATGATTATTTTTTATTAATATACACGTACAACTTGATATCGAGCCATCTGTAATCTTTCCTCGGTAGTGTTGCCCCGAGCAGACGGATAACAACTCCCGAGATCAGCATACGATTGGATGCAGTCACGATTCGAATTAATAGCCTAGTCGGGAGGTAGCGTAGGAAATATCGGCACGCTCGGTCCGGTCATGTTGCCGAAGAACATTCTAGAACATCGCTTGGAGCGGAGCGCTTCCACTTTGATGGCAATCGAAACGCTCGCGTGGCGTACGTGCCAGCAGATTGCAGTCGGTCGGTTAAAATTTAGCTGACAAGGAATTGACGCACGTCGAGTTTCCTGATGCCGTCTCGATTAAAGAGAAACCGCGTCGATGTTACGATTTCGATCTCGTACCCGCCACGCGCGATCGCACACGGCGCGGGCGATTCGCGCGCTCAGGAATCCTCGTACGTTTAAGGCGATCGACGCCGTTACCGTAACGACGCGTTCGACGCGAAGCGGTCTGGGACGCCGACTGTACCGATGCAACGTACGCACGTTGACCGCTTACGGTGTGCAGTTTCCCGGTACAGTCAAGGGAACAGCGGAGTAAAAACTATAGGGCCAGCGAAACGGTCGCCTCACCGTTGGGATGGTTGCTCAGTGGCCGAGACTCGGCGATGGCACGAGTACCTAGTACTGCCGTATAAGACGAGGGGCGACTCGGTTTATGTCATCAACCGTAATACGCGCGCCGGATGACTTCTTGCGCGAAACACCATTTATCAATGACATACAGCTATTTATAAATCGAAATTGTCCGAGCGCATACGCACGAGCCTAATGCGTCACATTCTGAGCTGTCAACAAAAAAGCGACATGTCATCTTGTGATGGAATATGATGATCAACATTGTATTACATATTCTGCGTTAATAATACACATACGATACTCTAACTGATGATATTTCAAACACAATTTTCTCCCAAAATATTAAAAACAACTCCCACCCTAATAAATAGAGTCATATGTAGCGAAAATTTTAAGAAACATAAAAATCAAGGACACAAGCTAAGCCTAGAGTGGATACTAACATTCAATTTTTTTACTTTATCTATTGCAACAACCGATTTATGTTTAGTAGTAGTTGAGCATTTATAGTCAATGATAAATTGGTATAAAATATTGATAAAATCTCTTCTTCTTCTTCTTCCAAATATTTGTCAAAATATGTTTAAATGCTAGACAAATTTGAGAAAAAGAAAAGAAATTAAAGATATTTTAAGCTATATAAGAAAAAAGGTAACAATATACTAACATCAGGTACTTAAAGAAAAACACCTTGGCGAGAGGTGGAAACGCAACGTATGGTAAAACAGCTGGTTGACTGTGTATAGGTGATTTTATAGTTTCCCCTAGTCCCTTATTGTTAGTTTCGAGCGATGAAGTTTTCGAAAAACTCGATAATAGCAAATGTCGGTCATATAAGTTTCATTTGACGCTTCCACTGTTATACAAATAATGAATAATATGTGATTTTATATTAGACGATATAAGTAGTTACTTCTATTTAATGCGCACTTGTTGATAGCCGATATTTAACATAGATATTCTCGATTGATTCGCTTAGCGTGTCTCGCTCAGCAGAGATGTACCTAATGAAGCACTGTGTCAGATAGCGGTACGCTTTTTTCAGTTTCCTTATCCGATTCCGCGGCTCGCGGCCGAATGGACGCTCGGTCGGCGGGCATAATCGCGAGTAACAAGATAAAATGGAACGTCACAATGCAATCTGTTCGGAATAAGCTTCCGCCAGCGTTAACTACAGGTGGATAAGTCTTAGGGACCTTCAATAGAAGAGACTATTACTATTATTATCTTGAGTTGTTTCACAGTTACTTCACACAAATTATTTCTTATCAACAATAAGCTATTGTTTTGAGTAAATACTGAAGAATAATGTTATTATAATTTGACAAATATGTGTTGAAGGCCTGACAGAAGACCGGCGTGAAAAATTCTTTTTGCATTAGAGTGAGATATTAGTCGGTTCTGTTTATCTATAGAAATAAATAATATTGGAGTATATGTTTGTAATTTTAAAATAACAGCTTCTTACTAAATGCATATGCATGTATACACGGTACATATACCAAAATAATATTTTTTAGAATTTTTGTCTGTCTATCTGTTTGTTCCGGTTGATGTCTGTAACGGCTGGACGGATTTTGACTGGACTTTCACTGGCAGAGAGCTGATGTAATAAGGAGTAACTTAGGCTTACTTTTATTTTAATAATTTTATTCATTTTAAATTCCACGCGGCAAAAATGTTTTACTTGTTACCGTTCATGTACGTACCGTACGGAGATCGCTTGCGAACAAACGGGCTTGCTCTTTGCCTCCTCCATAGAGAAAATTGGACTCAATAAAAGAGCCGATCAATAGACTATTGTCGAATACAATTCCGACTAAAGATAATCTCTGTTTCAAATGAAGAACACCCCTGTCGAAACGGCTAATTGCATATTGAATCGAAAGTAAGAGTTCTTCAAGAAAGGATTACGTGCGATAAGAAAAACTAGTTCACTTTTCGTTTCGAAGCTATAATGATAGCATCGTCGATAGAGTGTGCTCTCTATAAAATAAAAAACTGAGCGTTGGGCATGCACTTAAATGGCAAGATCGCCTCTCTCTACTAACTGTAGATCGTCGGTATGGCAATAACGTCAAACTCGCCTCTCCGACGAGTTCCCGCCTTTTTACCTCGATGCACAGATTAAGCAAAAACTGTTTATTCGTTACTCATTATTTGTTATTTCCTCTTAGTCAACTTGATACGTATAAAATATGAGTAGTTAGATATATGGAATGACTACGTGAATAAAACTAGTTTAACGATTTCATCGCGTTTCATTTGTTTTCGAATTCCAGTGGATTCGGACAATTTAAATCATCAACGGAAGGACCGTTGATGATTTAAATTGTCCGAATCCACTAATAGAGAGACACCTTATAGTCCGTGCGCGCTTACGTCTACATGTTGCTTACGTATTTCGATCGACGCGGAAAAGTTATTGTGAGAAACCGTTTATACATTGTCGTCTGCAAACAAACGAAACCGAGGCGCCACGCGTCGGAAATCAAAAGGGCACGTCCAGATCGATCGGCATTAAATTCATCCACGCCGTCCGCGCGATTTCTTCCAGGCCGCAAATTAACGTTATTACACGCCGCGGTGTAATAACGATCCGATCTCGGAGGCCGCGCTCCGGATACGATCTCGGAATCGTGACCGACGGCCCTGTTTGCTTTGCGGTCGAAACTGGCGACGTGCGGACGAAAGTCTCAGCCTACATCCGATCGGCCGCGTGTGGTATGCTGCGGTATGCCGCGGTGTGCGCCGCCGTAATTTCCCCGGGCCGTGCTTAAACCGTGCCGCCGCGCAGTGCGCAATGAATGCAAAGCCCGCCCGAGAATCGTTGCGTCCGAATTCGTATCACGGACCGTGCGAAAATCGCGTCACTTTGACGCGTGCGGCCTACCGGGCGGCGGTTAGTAGCGCGCGAAACGAATGAGTTATTACGAATGCTAAACGAAAATGAGTTAAGTCGAATATTGACGCTTTTCTGGGCGGATTTTAATTTGACGTTAGCAAATGATAGTAAAGTAACAGCCTATGAAATAAAAATGAAAATGAAAATATCCCACTGCCGGGCTAAGGTCTCCTCTGTGCAGAGGGTATTGGAGCATGTTCCCCCATGTGATCCCACTGCGGATTGCAAAATATGCAGGTTCCATTACGATGTTTTCCTTCACCACTGTGGACTTGATAATTCAGCAGTTAATAATTAATTAATAATTTTATATGTGCCGGCAAGAACGATCACATCAATAACTAAAATGAACTAAAGGCTATTAGATAACTTGTCAATTTATCCACGTTTTGTACGTTTTGCATATCAGCCTAAAACAACATACTGCCTAATTGGAATAACAGCTAAAAATTGGAATAACTTGAAGGGTTTGAATTAGTACAATATGTGAGAGTGGCATCAAGCAACTACTCCGCGCTCGACTTTGTTGCATATTTAAGCTTTATGTACTGTAATAAAACTAAATTAGAATTTTCGACGGGTAATTGTTGAAAACATTAACCGCAATCAGCTAATTATCTCGGAACCGCACAATATAAGAAAGTGTGTCAAAGGTGAGTTATATTACTTTGTGCCCATTATCACTTCTCTTTATAACTCGACAAGATATTATCACGTTGATTTATTAAATTGACTTGTTGAAATTGACGTTTGAATTGCGCTTGAGCTTTTTGCGAGGAACACTCTTTTATTAATGAAAAAATTATTACGAACTTTATTAACTATCGACTGGTGGAACTACGCAGCAGTCTTTGTTGTTGCCCGAATGGGCAGACTCATCCGCGGAAGTACCAAGATCTGGCAGAAGCGATATAACCCTGTTGGTGTTGCAGATGTCTATTGGCGGAAGTTATCACTTGTGTTCAGGTGCCAACCTGCTCACATATGAAAATTATTTATATAGACATCTTTTGTTTATCCTTTTTTTTTTCTAAGGTCATAAATACCTTCATAGTATATCTGCGACTATACATACTTTAATATGTAGATACTTTTTTTCCTTATTTTTTGGTATCGGTGGGGAATCTTCAAAAGATAACCTATCACCTTACATGACAGGGTTATGTGGGGTGATTACCCACCAAAATCACTCGGTGGCCACCTTCTGTACGTTTGGAGGGACTCCGGGTTCTTCTACGGAACGCACCGGTGACCTTCTCTGATTCCTTCACCATCTTGCAGCAGCTCGAGAGCACTTCGAATTCCTGCCAGTTCATGTCTCCTTTTAATCGCCTTTTACGAAGGCAGGGCATACCTTAGCCCTATTCCACGAGCACCGACACACCGAAATAATTACCGAAGAATACATTTTATTACTATAAGAAAGATAGAAAAATAACTATTTATTCTTATTACACTAAAGCTTAGTTGAATAAATAGAAGAGAAAAGCAGTTTTGTAAGTGTTTGTGCAGTTAACATCGAAAATAAACTGCGATAAAATCCAAAAAGTTGTTTTGTTACGACTCGCTCTTATTACTACACAACTTGCGTTAGCTTATGTTATTAAAAGTCGAAGTAATTGGTGAAAGCAATGGAATTGAATCCGAGGGCGCCACCGTTTGGTCTGTTAACCTTAGGCGCTATTGTAAATGACAACGCTTGCCGAGCGGTAAAGAATGGTGGTCTGCGTGCGAGAGCTTTGAAACAGCCTTTTCATTTTCGTAAATGAGTTACCGATGGAATTGAATGTCAGAGTTGCCAGCCGCGAAGCTTTCACCCGGTCCTTGCTTTGATCTGTCAATAAAACTATTCATCGCCCGTAATGATGGGACGTACCGGCTATTAATTGTCACTTATTTCACGACTAACAAATGATGCGGCGCTAATCGCGAGCGGAGCATACACGAGCGTTATCTATAGACTGTATCCGTTGACTGCTCAACGGTTCACGAGTTGGACTCGCCGATGCCATTGTGGTGAGTGTCGTCGGTTCGATCTCATCGGGACCAGAGTTCTTGTTCATGAACAGTGTGGCAGCATATTGGTGAACTATTTCCCATGGCATGCATTTTTGAAGAACTGATTAAAATTATGCGGAGTTTAGAATCTTTAATCAGTACGGCGATAAGGTGGTAGGGCTACGCAAAAATTTCGGCTGTTGCACGAATGGGAAGGTCCAGCCGGATAAGTACCACAAGCTCACATAAGATCGGCGTGAAGTGTTTTACTTCTACGTTTCGTCTAGTGAGTGAGGTAGCAGGGCCCACTTTAGTAAAAGATGGATTATCTGCAACCCTACGGGTGTTGCAAATGTCTATGGGCGGCGGTTTTCACTTAACAACAGATGAACCGCCAGCTTGCTTGCCATCTTCTGACATAAAAAAGTTTCATTGCTGGTTTACACCAAGACGAAGATACTATTTTTAGTTTAGTTATTCTAATATTATTTTATATATTGTGTACTTAAATTGTTATTTTTAAGTTTTGTATATTCATTTTTGTATGTTCATTCACGGTCTGAGCACAATGGATATTGTGCTCAGACCGTGAATGAACGTTTCTTCTTCTTCTTCTATTCGAAGGCCCGCTTGGATTATTCTCGGTTCCTGGCCCAAATGCCCTTCACCTTTGGCACCCAATACTACCGTATGGTTCATCTAGTAATTGGGGGTCGCAATATAGCACGATACGGTGTCTTCGGTGTCTTCTTTAGGCATTAGAAAGCGACGCGGGAGCAAAACTAAAATGTATTGTTTACGCACTAGTTCGAAACGTTAGATTTAAAAACGCTTAGTTTCATTCTTTTTTTATGTGAAAAGTTGCCAAGCAATCTGACGGTTCACCTGATGTTAAGTGAATAGAATCGCGCATAGACATCTGCTACACCCGAGGGTTGCAGATGCGTCGACAACCTTTTGCAAATTGGGCTCATTACTAAAAGAAACTAATTATGCGGATTTAACGCGTTTATTTTTAATTTGTTTTACCGACGTTTCCAAACCTTTTCAGAGATCATGGTCACGGGACTACACAGACTGTTCCGTTGTATAAAATAAGTTTCATTAAGTTTGGTTTTTAGTCGCTTTTGAGGCTGTATAAAAATATGCATGCGTGACAATAGAACTGGGTGCATATTTCCATGGTTTTTAATTGTGTTTGCGGTGCACATTACGAGTTTGTCTCGATTAATATCCGAAAAGTGTACTTAATGTAAAAAATAATATCTTCTTTTCTTTTCCTGCCTTTATCCCACCTAATGTGGGGTCGGCACAAAATGTCAATCATGTTGTTAATGGGATTGGTTAGGGTTTCTACGACCAGCCCCCTGACGTAGTTAATTAGTTTTATATATTCGTTGGGAATATATAAAACTAGTCGGGCCGTACGAAACTTTCGCACAATAATGTGATTAGTCACCGTATGGTAATATAGAAAAGTGTAAATAAGTATTTATCAATTAAAGGTATTTAGAATAATAACGCTTTTCAGTCTTTCTTTTAATTTAAAATCTTCTCTTTAATTTAAAAAGAAATTAAATATTATCAGACATCTCAATCAGATGGAATTATCAGACATTCTCTATAAGAAATTTTTGAACGAAAGTATTTTTATGAAAATATCAACTACATTCCACCTGCCTATATATCGTCAATAGTGGTAAATAAAAGCTTTAAAAATATTGTTTTAATTAATAAATATGATGAAGAATTATGGAAGTCATGGAATCACGTGAAGCAAAAAGTTTGTACTCCTTTTTACGAAAATTACGCGGACGGAGGAATATGAAATTTGCAGAATGCTAATATTTTTTTTAATTATGCATAAAAATACATTTAATCAATAAAAATAACACATTATACCCACTACCAAGTATAATTAATTATGGTCGAATTTCAACCACTGGGAAACCACTACTACTACATAATTATAATTTACAGATTACTAATAAATCAATCCCCCATTTAATTTATCTATTCATTCACATTTAATAAACAAATTGGAAGTGATTGTCTAAACAATACGCTAAGACTGGAAGCATTGAAGATAGCATCGCTAAATGCGGGCTGGGGGTGACCTATAAAATGAGAGAGAGAAACGTAAATTGGACGCATTTGTTTCTCGGTTATATGCAAGTCGTTCACCGTTAGACGAAAATTCCACGGGCGCACAATGCACGCGTCAAAGGCGCCGTGGACGGTCAATTTGGATTTCCATTGTGCCGACACCGAAGGGCCTCGTTAACGAAGAAGATTGGGAAACCAACGGAGTGGAACCCACGTCATCGCTCTAATGGAAACGCGGGAGGCGGGAAAAGAGATCAAAACGGGCGGCACACAACGCGTCCGCTCGGCGCGGTGAAATAACAGTAGTGGCACGAAATAAAAAGGCGGCAGGTGTAAAAAGAGGACCGGCGACAAATGCACCAGAAAACGTTCAACCAGAGGTACAAATTTTCGATGATGCGGTTATTTTTTGTTTCGGTTGACGAATCTGACGGGTGCGTGCCGGAATGGAAGGACCCGCCGTTTGCGATCGCCTTTTTTATGTGGGAAGGTGGCAAGCGAGCTGATGTTAAGGGATAACCGACCAACTTTTAAGCAACGCTAAAAGTAAAATGGCCTTAAGGCACGAATTATTATTATATAAGACCTGCGTACGACCTATTATGTCCTACGCATGCAAGACCTACGCCCACACGCACCCTACTCCCTTGTACAAGATGCAAATAGTACAAAATAAGTTCATCCGCCGCGCAACCAGTGCGCAGTGGTATGTCGACAACGCAATGTCGACCTGCACATCGATTACAAACTCCCGACGATTCGCGAATG